ATTGGGGCATCCATAAGGAGACCTCGGTCGACCTCGAGACTCTCACTGTACACATCATTTCCGAGACCGGGTGCTAATGATCATCATACGCAAAAATGGGTGCCATCATCGATGAACAGATCTGCACCAGTTACCCAGAGGGTGGTAGAGGCTTCGATAGGGATGGTAATCCATTTGTCAGCAATGGCCGTCTTGCTGGTATCGACGCTTGGAACGAGGGACACGAAGGGCCTGATATCTTTATTGAAATTGCCTGACAGCAGGATTGGATCAGAAAGGTCACCGGTATCTAAGGATCTTTCCTGTGTAATTGTCATCGCTATGATTACTGATTTATCGTACTTTGATTTTGTTTTTCTTATCTATATCTTCGTTAAAATAATTAAATTTAATTACGCTTTAAATATTTATGATATTCTATTTTCTCCCCTATTCGAACTATACGATTACACGTGCTGGGCCGACCTAATCAAAATTATATTATGCATTGTAACGCTCGCTCCTTGTTTTAGAAAATGATAAGGGATATAAGGATGACGTCATTCACGTAAAATTTATCTGCATCGATATCGCCGACTGAAAATGTCCTTGCCCTGCAAGGAAGTGTCTTCTTGGTACGGAAGCTACGCCTGAGCTGACAGACAAAAGTTGAATTAGCTTAAAAAAAAGACAGAAATTCAGCGAAGCAGAGAAGAGTCGTTCTAGGATCGATGAAGGTTATAAAAAGTAAATGAACCGCGAAGGTGAAAGCATAACGGGGGATAATTATGGGCGACTGGGTGTTCACAGAAAACCTTGTAAGAATTTATCATCCACCTGGATAGTCCTAGTGGAATGCCAAGAACAGGCGTGAACGAAGTTTTGGACTTTTTTTCTCTAAATTCTCCCTCTCTCTCTCTCCCTCCCTCTCTCTCTCTCTCTCTCTCTCTCTCTCTCTCTCTCTCTCTCTCTCTCTATCTCTCTCTTTATACGACAACTGCCAGTTTACACTGCCGACTAATTGAACGAAAGACAAATGAGGTTTACAAAAGATTATGGAGTCTCAGAAGTTGCGAGGAATTATTAAAGCATAATTTAGTGGAGGACCACATAGTCAAACAAGAGTCGTCCGCCATTACTTCATGGATCGATAAACCAATAGGAGCAACAACTATATTTGACCCAGTGTTTGTACGGCGTAGCGTCCATTTTGTTTTGGCGACAACAACCCTCTCCCCTCTATCCCCACCCCACACCGTCGATCGTTCCACGGTCCCGGATAATAAATCGATCGATCTATTATTACGACTTGAGCCCTCTTTGTGCCAACCGAAAAAAAAATGCCAAAAAATTGTATGAAAAGAAATTCCGCAAAGACTCAATAAACTTGAAGGAATTGAAAAGGGACTGCGATCGCGTGCCGTTCATTCCTCTTAGCGTTCCTTAAGGCGCGTGTCCAACCGTCGAAATGGTGCCAAGGTGGCGTCGCTTGGACTGCGTGGTTTTCGTATCCGCGTGTAAGACTCGCTAAACTCTTAGGCCTCGTTGGTAAAAGAGGGTCAAACCGAGAGCCAAGATTGGCCGAGTGCTTAATTATAACCACTTGCCTCTCTGGCCCTGATAGGCTGTCCGCAGTGTCCGTCGCAGGGAAATAGAGACGCGGCCGCTTAGCTGTGCATACAAAAGCGACTGTGTTTTCGTTTGACTATCCACGAGTGAGAGGAAAATTGTCAGGGAAATTAAAGGGACTAGGGATAGGGGGTGGTGGAGAAAAAAAATATTTTCATTTACATATCATATAAGGCATTCGATCCGCTATAGGTTCGAGGTAACACGCTCTCTTTTGAATCTCCCGCTAAAATTAGGGAGTCAAATTAGCAAGGCGGATATTGGCCTCTCTCCCCTATACTCTTCTACGCTATTATTCTCACTATCATGCAAACGGGCGCGCGCAAAAATAGCCGACCGATCGATAGCCACTACCGGGTTAGATAGTCGTATGGGTACGTACGTGTACTTTTATTTCCTTCTTTCCTTCCATCCTACTTGACTTTCTTTAAAATTTATTATTTCTCTTGAATTACTTCGAACGATCCTTATGGAACTCTTGCTGTTTATACTAATTTGCCACGTTCTTCGTTTGTTTGAAATAATTTTTCGTATCTATATACTTACGTGTACGTATATGAAGATCATTCAATAATAATTATACTATACTGTATGGATTTTAGCTTTCTATAATTCCTCATACATATTCCAACTGCGATACACATTTCGATTAGAATCGATTTTATGCATCTAGCGTAAGCTATTTGCTTTATGTACTGTAGGTATTTACTAAGCACTGTATACGATCTGAGTAGCAACATAGAAGTAGGTTAGGTAACGATAGATAACAGTTAATTCTTTCAAGGATTCTAATCAATTCGCCTTAAAGCAACTTTGCATTGGGCGATATGAAATTTCGAGTAATTTCACAAAAGTCCCTAGAAAAAGTACCTAGATAGTCACGAGGTCACGCCAGGCACTGATCGTGATGCTTAAGGGGTTGGTACCAGCTTAGAAGGGTCTAATTAGTTAGCGGTGAACATCGAGGAAAGACCTTAAAATCCTGAAAGTGGCTAAAAAATTATGCCAAAGAAAATCCCTAGGAAGACTAGACTCCTCTATACTCCCCTACTTCTTCGCTCTTGATTTTCATCTTCTCATCCCACTCCTCATCCACCGACTAACGAAGCATCTTCCGTGCTTTGATATTACCTGGGAATTTTCAAGGGACGTTAACCCTACAAGATGACAGAGTACGTGAGATGGATGAAAAAGAAAAAAAAAAGAAAAATTGAGACAACGCCAAGGACAATGACCCTCTCAAAACCGGAAGTTGAAACGAGACTCCAATTATCAATGAAGGAGTTCACAACCGTGCGACCCGAGAGTTCTTGTTGTTTAGCTCAGTGTAAATCTCGAGTCAGGATAAAACAAGGAATGTCAAACGTACAAGTGAAATTCTTTGCCAGCCATAATTTTTTTACCTCCTTTTCCCCTAGGACTATAAATCGTCGAATTTTGTAAAATTCAACGTAACTGTCAAAACCACTCCTCGTCTTATCGACACGCGTACTTGGACCTTCACCTATGCTGTAGAATTAAGGATTTATGAAAATATTGAAAAATTCGTAAAATAATGTCGATGAAGTTTCTTTTGAGGTAAACAGGGCAAATAAAATGCCTACTTACTCCGTATAACATAGGCCGATACAACGCTCCAGATAAACCGGATGCGATGCTCGTCAGAGAAAGTGGTATCCCGTGTATCCTCGTGACATCCTGTTTACCCGTGCATGCGACAATAATCATGTTACGCATAAATGGAGTCCTCGGAATAAGCCATTCGATTTCACGTAACATGGACATGTGAGAATTTACATAATGCCCACCCCTCCCCTCGTGAATGCATAAATTAACGTCTAACATAAACGAATGTCAATTCATATAGGGTGTCAAAATTTAACGTCTCTCACAAAAATCATTATCGATCACAGTGGGTGCTTCTCGTTGAAGCGATATGAATCAACCCTAAAATATAAACCAGCAGAATTTACCACGAAATCAAGGGGCTATTAAACTACGCTTTTAGATAATCTTTTAAACGTTTTAAATAATTTACTTAATAAGTCTTGGCCATATAACTCTGGCTTACCACATTGTGGATACTGCGGCATTCAAAGTACCGTAGACGCTTTACGTATACATGAGCACGTGATATATAATTATATATATGAAAAATATATATTTTATTTAATAACAGCAAAGGTATATCTATACGGAAAAAGCATATACATGAAAAAAAAAAATTAAATCAGTCGATGATATAACCACTGACGAATAGTTCGTGGAAAATATTAAATCGAGTGTACCCTGCGAGATAGCGAATAATAAAGAGGATTAAATCGATGGGACTTGACCCTTGGGTAAAGAGGGGGGGGGGAGGGTGTAATTTATTTTGAGGTTTGATTTCGCAGAATCGTCAATCCACCCCAATCGTTTATCGCGATTACTCACGATTTTATCATTATTATGAATTATCAGATTGAATTAAGACAGGGTGAGGTGAAAAGAGGGAGAATGTTTTAGCGGGGAGTTTAAATACCGTATATACATATATATTAGAATAAGTACGGTTAACAATCGTAAAGGCATAACCTAAGCTCGTAAGTATAATATGCTCAGGCATGCACGAATCGGGCCACGGGGCCAAGGCTGAACAGCACCCCAAGAACCCCACTTTTTCACCTAGTGTCGACCCCCCTAACAACCCTTACTAACCTAGCAACTGTCGTAGCACCTAGTAGTAGAGAAAGACGCTTTGTATAAACTAGGGCTTTGTGACTTGGATTATAAATAACCGCGCCATAATGCAGCTACCCTATATAGATTTCTGTACGGGATATATATGAATACGATGTCGGGAATATACTACCCTTGTAATATCCAAACCCCCTTGCAGTACACGTCACTGGAGTACTTTGTAACCCACGTATGTACTTTTGTACATATCACATATGGTGTTAATTTTTTCAAACGAATTTAAAAAAAAAACCGTATTAAATTTTCATATTTCTCTTGTAATTTTTTTTTTTTTTTCGTTCATTACTGTACGCTAACTCAATGCTATCTACAAGGGGAAAATAACGTTAAGAAAAGGCATAGCTGTTCTTGTAATCCACGATGCTACGGCAGACTGTCGGTTGTATTAGAAGGTATAGTCTATGGTTTACCAGCTGAACTGACTTTTCTGCTGGAAGAGGAATACATCTGTACCGGATCTGATGTACCTTGACACATGGGTCTTATTGTATTCTTGTGCGTTCTTAAATTCCCTGTTATCCTTACGTTTTACTTTTTTCCAACGGCTACTTCGAATGTCTTTTACTTGTTTTACGGTACGAAATAAAATATCTGCTCGGACGAAAGCGACGAGCTCAGGCTTACTTGGTTATTTCATTTCCGGTTATATTTCTTCCAGACACCGGAGCGGAAGCGTGGGAAAGACAATATGGCGAGCTAAGGGCTCCGGCGATTTTTTCGCAAAGGGAAAGGGGACAGGAGCCGGCGATGCGCGGGGAAAAAAGTTAAAGGAGCCTACACAACGAAAAGCGGCAATCTGCCTCGTCCGTTGCGGCCAGCCACATTTCTATCGCTAAGGTAAAGTATTACGGCATTTTTTTTAAATTTCGAACAACAGTACGTTCTAATCGATTTGAGTTTTTTCGATTTTTTTTTTAATTTTTATGTCTTATATTTGGCACCATTCACAACCCTCAATTCGTCTTACAAGCCAGTAGAATAGGTAACGGATCTATTCAGCCAATTGACCCTGTTTCGGATCATATATTTCCGGTACCCGTTCAGACACTGCCAGAAAAAGTCAAATAAATCAATAGAACACTGATCCAACGGTTTAAAATTCTCCAAGAAAGCCATAAAAATAAAAATAAAATTAAACTTTGCAAGACTGCCAAGCAAAATGAGTGGTACCTTTAATACCCAAGGTACAAACGGTACCAGTCGTTCCTTAAAAACGTGACCTGAATGATTCAACAGAAGCTTCCTGAGTCTTTCTGATTTCCCATGGCTTATGCCATACGATTTGTCTTAGGATAAAAGAAGCAACCCTTAATATCCCGTGAGAATTTTTGACCCTTATTTAAAATTGCAAGAATAAAAAAAATAAGTATTAAAATAAATATTCATAGCAGAAATAAGGACAGTATATTTATTATTGAATTTATGTAATAATCAACCAAAAGCTAATTTCAAAATGATTACATGTTTTCTTATAAATCATACATTTAACAGGTGACCAGGCTGAAGTCAAAAGTCAAAGAGAACACCTACCCAAAGTTATTTGTCCGGTTAACGCAAGGGCGCATTTCCCGTCGTTAATCATTCGACCCTCCCAACGACCTTGGCCTACCGTCCTACCCAATCCCTTCCGCGCCCTCAAAGATCGCCTGAGTCACATCCTATTCATCCACGAGACACCTGACCACGTAGTAGTATCTACCTTACAGCAGGGAGTAAAACTTAAGGGGATGAAGGCAATAGGTTAGCTACGTGAAGACGTCAGGGTTCAAAGTAAAATGAAGTATATGACTAAACCCTTGGGCAGTATCGAAAGAATATTACTATGCTACAGGTATTACTATACTTCCTGAATAATCTTCGTCAGCCAATAACAAGGGTAGTTAATAGCCGTAATGTTGTTCCCAAGAACACGCTTGTAAGATTTTATATGAATTAACGTCATAGAGGGTTGGACGTAAAAATTTCATCATTTTCATTGCCCCCTGATGGTTTAATCAGGATTGCACACTGATCGATACTCTTGGCTCGGACTGTGATAATTGAGTAATATTTTTATCGATATCTTCATCCTCGATAAATACCTATTTTTGGGCTTTCTTAAGGATGGAGAACGTAGACACTCCCCCGGACGTCCTTTGCTCTACTCCTTGAAAATCGTAAATAACAGCGAAGATTACAAAACTTCCCGGAGAATCGGGGCTCGGCTTTTAGCGGTTTTTGTGGAGGGACGCTGTCACGGGTTTTTTTTTGGTTAAGGCGATGAGGGTGGAAAATAAATGAGAGACCATGGAGGAGTTATCTGCATGGGTTATAGCTTCGTCATCCAGCCGTTCTAAGTGGGTCAGGATGTCCAGGTCCCTTTAATAGGTAACCGAGTGAGATAGAGAGATTCAAGAGCTATGAATCTTTAAAGTGAATTTCGAAAAAGATAAGAAAACGAAATATGATAAATTTATATGATATCCTAATAGAAATTGCAAATTACATTTCACATTCAGGTTGATAAGAGGACAATGTTACTATGTCTGATATACTGTAATATCGTGATGCTCGCTACCATTAATTATGAATATTAATGTATGCTCGCGTCACAAGGAAACTACAGCGACTTCTCTACCGGTTGGAATAGCTTTCCGTTTGGCGTGCAGGCACGTAACGACGCCTGGCGTCCGAGCGTCTGGCTCAATGGCGTCCCCAGTCAATCTGATACCATAGGTGACTCCAGAAAGACGGTCACAGCCCTTGGATATATATAATAAAAAAAATAGTACAAGGCTTTTCAAAACGCATGGTAACTTATCCTGAGCCATTATAATTTTTTCCAAAATTTCATCGACAATGAAAACTGTATGTTGTTTGTGAAAAATATTTAGAAGAAGGGGGATACGTCAGACAGCTGTCGATTTAAATGTAAAAAATATTGTCACTCCTAAACTTATTTGCAAAATTCTTTTTCCTCTTCGAATATGCCTTTCGAAACACCCTGTAGCAGTCGCGCAGGGAAGGGACTCAGAATGGGTCGGGCTAAGCCACGTGACGTAGTCCGTAGCGTTTCGTGCCGCAACGCCCCGTATTGATCGGCTGAACATCAGCTGTATGGTTGGTAGCATTGCCAAGCGCTCGGCCGTCTGACAACGAACGGACCTTTTCTACGAGCGCCACTGCTACCCAACATCCTAAAGTTCTTTTACACTAACCACCCGCTGCACAACCCTCGGCACTGTACAACAACAGAAACAAGCGCGAGAGAGCTTCGACTACCATTGTTTTACATATCCATTGAAACCGCAACTTCCGATTAGGCTCTTTTGGATTTTTGCTTCCTGGAAAAGAATACTAGATTTTTTTCAATCTACGAAAATTCGTCAATACCATACAAACAACGTTTATCGATGCTTCAGTCTCGACACACGTGCGTCAATGTAAAAACTGTTGTACGTTATTATTTAAGTATAACAATTTTTGTTACCTTCTCATTTTGTGACTCTAAGAATGAGATACCTTCCGTATTTATTTTAGTAAAATTTTTTAAACTCGATTTTAATTAATACGGTAACCATCCGAGGAACTTGTAAGAAATTGTGTTGTATCACGTAGTACAGGCTGATCTAGAGCACTTTACGAGATAGACTCTAAGAGGTTAATGATCCCTTTGTAAAACGATAAGCCTAAGTCGGTATACACCGGTCAAGCTTAAGTGATAGCCCAGGGCGACAAGTTCAGTTAGCATTTTCCCTGGTGAAGTTACGAGAGTGCAAACACGACCTTCCGTGAAACACCCTGGAGGCCTCCAAGCGTCAAGAGGTTGAACCGTGTTTATGCAATAGCAATGGGATCGTATGACGTCAGATCAATTTTCAGAAAATAAGAGACGTCACCGGTCAATATTAACGATGGTATCAAAAATTGTTATAAATAAATTAAAAAATTGCATCAGCACCTATGTCTTGTACGGTATAGGTTAAATTCGTTTACCTTGATCCTTTTCATATACTAAATCTAATCTATGGACGATACCAGCTAATATCCCAGGTCGACAAGCGTCAAGATTTTCAACGTGATAAATTCAAATCTAGCACGTAGACCCTTAAGTGACTACTTGGCTGTCACCTCTCGCTCCATTACGTGGACGAGAAAGAGAAATGACAGTGGCTCTTGTCTCTTCTTAGACACGAGGTCTCAACCCACTTCAAAAGGGATGAAGATTTTAACGGGTTCGCTTGAGTTTTCAAGTAATTCTGAAAGATCCTGTAAACCCTTGGACTTGGATATTAAGACTATTTAAATTTTCCCGCGCCTCTAAGGGTATTTTATACCAGCACTGTCAAGCCATCCGGTTCAACTGAGCGTATGTAATCGGCTTTCTTGGATATGTACGGCATTAGAAACCCTTCTGATAGAACTTAGTCAAATTGCCCAAGTAATTTCTTCGCACGGCCTTAAACAAACCCCTTGTTGATTTATTTGTCCATCCCTTATTTTTTTACAATTAAATTCACTCCTGCTACGTGTACCGTGGTGGTGTTATTCTTGAAGTAAAACTTTGGAAAATTCTCAGGGGTGTACTTTGCCCTGGGTTGTCAAAGGTCAGGCGAGCGTCTAAGGTATTTATAGCATCGACAACTTCAGCCGGATGTAACTTGAAGAGACGTATTGAGTCAGCCGTGAAACAACGCTGAGGTAACAAGGTGAAACCGGAAGCGACGGACGCGCTGGAGTTTCACGATGGGGGAAAAATCGTCAAGGGGATGATTGAGCTTGGAAAAAGTTTTCCGATCCCCGCAGCCCTGTATATACATAACGTATTTCGCGATTGGGCTGAGAAGTAAAAAAAAAATGGCAAATAAAAAATTAAGGGTAAAAAAGTAAAGGAGGATTAACAGATAAAACAATGCTGGCAGAATCTGTCCCACGTGATCAAATAATAACAATAATGTTGAAACGCCTCTGCGTTAATTATTCGCGAATTCGACGATCACTTTAATTACTGGAAATGTTTGACGAGCGTGACTCTCATCAAAACCACGAGAAACCACCATGATAATTAATTCCATCCTGAATCCAAACTCCTCAGATATCATCAGACTCCATGGCCCCTCCGCAGAGGATTGTCCCACGAGATATTAATTCCACCAGCTCAATTAATATCTAACCAAAAAGAAATACATATAATATATTACACTAGCGTAAAAATAGGGCTCGTAGGGGCTCAGAACATTGCAATCGTGCAGAAGGAATGTTTTAAATTTTAACCTGAAAGTACCAGGCTAAAAATTTGAAAAAACCACGTTGGTCACGACCTATACCTAACGTTCGACCCAATTAAAGTCTGACCTGAAAATTTGATTGTTTGGCTCCCAGAGATCCGCCCGCCATCTTTTTTTCCTATATTTTTTTGCATTTACTCCACATCCCCTATATTCGTTTCTTCGTCTCTTCCTTATCGTATCCATTTGACTCGTCTTCCTTCTAAGCACCATCCACAATCTCACGTCCGACTTCCGCCGGAAGTGACGCTAATTTCACGCTGTTCTTTCTGTTCCAGATGACATAGAATGGGTTGGGTGGCGCTAGGGCGGCGTATGGGTGGTGGCAGCCGCCTATCACCCATCCTCTCGCTGTCTCTCGCCTCCCTCGCAAGTTCCCTCATCCTTACGACCTTCTGTGTCCTCACCCTCGCCCTGACCCTAGCCACCCTCGTGCGTTCAGAGGACATGTACGTATTAAATAAATCCTTAGACTCGGGACACTCGATAGAGAGACACGTCAATACGAAATCCTACAGGATCATTCGGAAGTGACTTTACCGACTGAGCTTAGCGTTAACATTTTATTCCACTAGTGAAACCATCTTCGGACGGTAGGTCAATACCGAATGACCCTGTATACATAGGTACAGGGTGCTTTGTATGTTTAATTAGTGGAACTTGAATAACCCTGTACATACCTGATAATGCTGAACTACATCCTTCGGCAGGTTCCACTGCATATGCATAATAACTATATGCACTATATATAATACCTAACTATGTAATACCTGACTCACTGGACCAGTTCACAAACTGACAGCTGACTCTATTAGCAGTTGCCGAACCCCCTTTGATCAGGTTCAAAGGACGTTAGATTTGCATGATCTCCTATATGGATATTTACACGTGACCTCTCCTACGTTATAATGGTCAGGACCTTGACGGCTTCGATATACCGAAGGTCCTGACTGTCTTCACAACAGGTTATGTTGCAGCTTCGAGGAGGGAAAATCGGACAAGGAGATCCTGGACAACCTGCTGCTGTCGACCCGGTACGACAAGCGGCTTCTACCCCCGGTCCAAGGTACACTGAGGCCCCCGCCCCATACTCGCCAAGATGACTACATCCCTGACCTCGACCCCAATGACCCCGACCACCCCGAGCACCTCAAACATCACCGGCACTACCATCACACAGCACCACACAACCATAGTTCACTGCTCACCCCCCGACAAAAGGGTATACAAATACAAGGCCCTGTCAAGCAGTCCTCAGTGCAGATTATTTAACGTAGGGATGCGCTCGGCCGAACCAGGGCCGTACAGGCCAAACCAAACGCCTCGGCTATGGACGAGGGTGCAACAAGTATCGGTGCGCGATGAGGACCGACCCTTAGTCCATAGAGCGAACGCTTTGCTCCCTGAGGCCAGGTCGTTCCTTAAAAGAAAAATTTTACATTTTCACTAGCATTTCCTGCCTACCACCGTCGTCGCATTGAAACTCCCCTAATTGTGGTTGATGTAAATCTTTTTTTGCTTTTTACAAACATTTTAATTTTATCATTAATTATTCTTTCTATTTTTTTTAATTTAACATACCACGAAACTGTTCTGTATGCGTATTACGTACGGTGGAGGGGGGGGGTCTTATCAATTTATTATTTTTCATCACGGTAATTTCAAACATCGCGTGTCACCTTGTATAAACGTGCTTGCAATAACAATTCCCTGATCGAAATTGCGAATTACAGAAATCACCCAGGATCTTGCGTTGCGGCCTTTTTTACTCAAGGTTTCACATCTATATGCATGTAATATATGCCTTGGAATTCTCAAGCAGGAAATCGATAACAAATCCGCAAAGCTTGTCGCCAATCTTAACCGGATCCAAAGGAAATTCCCCAGGTTCCTCAATTCGTGTAAGCGCGATGGTAATACCCATATATATATATATATATATATATATATATATATATATACTCAACACTCTCCCGGACAGTTTCCACCTATAACCCTGCTCGTAAATCGTTCTAGTTCCGACGTGGATTGGCCGAGAGGCCCTTGGTTCGGTATATAAAGTAACACAGTGTATATTATACATATGTATCCTTGCACTGGCCAGTAACGTAACAAAAAAAAAAGAAAAAAATAAAAGAACGAAGAAAGAAAGAAAGAAAGAGAAAAAAGAAGTACAGCGAGTTCAGCAAATTTGAAGCTTTATCGATCCACGCGTAATTAGCGATTTTACTAATTACACGTGATCTTCAAGCTGAGTCACTGCAGTAAACGCGAGCCTTGCCAAAAATGCTTGCAAAACGCTATCACACTGTAGTATTTATGCCTTTTTATGCGCGAATAATATTTTTTTTTTTCTATATTACATTATTGCGCCGCTATACGAATTTAGCTTTTATATATATTAACGATAATAATAATTTTTTTCTACTTTGTATATAATACACATATATGTATACGTATGTATAGTAAAACTTGATCCTGCAGGAGCACTCCGTGTTTGCCACGACGCATTACTTGTGGGGGAATGAAGAAAAAAAAAAGAGAGAAATTTCTAGCTTTCACGGGGGATGAAAATGCGTAAAATGCTTCTTTTGTATTCTTCTCATTTTATTTGGATTTACCAAAACCACTTTCTTGTTTTTTAAATATTTTATCTGCAGGGCAGGATAATTAACTTTGTAACGGGATGAGGGGGGAGGGCAACAGGGGTGGAATGAACAAATCATCCCTCGAATGCAAAAGACACAGCTACTCTGGAGTGCTCCTTGTGGGGGTTGCGAAAACGCTTGGAGAATTGCGTAAAGTGTGCTACGAATGAGAGGGTTGTTATTTTTCGTATTCTCTACGGATTTTGCCGAGGGACGATGTCCGTCGTGAATGTAAATTTGATTTTCTTTTTTTTCCATTGCGTAACGTTTACATGGTAACTATAAATGACTGTGTAGTTATATGCATACTTCATCGTTCAGAATTGACTCCTTTTGGGGTAAGGGGGAAATGCGAACACAATGGAGAAATATTTCTTTGTTCCGCGCTAGGGGTTTGTAAGTCAGTAGTGACTCTTTGTATTGGCTGTACAAAAGGTTTGCGGCTGTTACAGGGGTTTCCTACGATTGTATCTACGTCAAGGAAGAGTACGTATTTCTGGAGAGACTAAAAATATTTGGTCAAATAACAAGGTTTGCTTGGTCAAATTAAAAAATAGTGAAAAATCAGTAGGGTTGATTTGAAAGAGAAATTTTTTAATTTTTTTTTCAAAATGTATGAAAAAATTTTATTAGACAAAAAACATCCCTCTCGTTGCTGCACAATTGCTTGGGTATGGGTCTGAAATTTTTGGTGGTCACAAAATATAAATTTCGGAAAACTTTTTCTAAAGAAAAACTAACTTTCGTATAATTAATGGGGATGAAAAAAATAAGCCCCAATCGATATAAAAAATATACATGACGAAACTTAACGACGATCCTTCCCAGTGTGTAATTGTACATACAATAAATTAATACGTATATATACGAGAATAGAGAAAAAAAATATTGCTATAATTAGAGAGTTTCCCAATGATACTGGTATGGTTTTTAAAAATAATAATTTGTACACACTATATACCCGTAATAATCGACGTTGACCTTTACCACCAAGCTATAGAGAAAGCCGACCTCCCCCTTACCAGGTAATAAGCAAACACTCCCTTAACCCCGACCTACACAGTAGTACATTCCTCGGAGGGAAAACCATCCCCTTAAGGATAGAACACGTAATAAACACGCACACATACACTAAAATCCTGAATGGGAGATAAGTCCTCGCGACAACCCCTAAATTTACACACACGACATGCGCAGACATACGAGTGAGTGCGAGATTGAGAGAATGCGAGTCGAAAGAGTTGCGAGCCCGATTGAAAGAGAGGTTAAGAAAAAAAAAATAATAATTTTTCAAAATTACCAAAAAAAATTGTCCAAATAAGACAAATTAGAAGAAAAACCTCGTTATGGATAGAATTATTTCAGAAACGTGAAAGTATGACAGAGACAGCACGACAGAGTGTTGTTCCTCCCAGAGTGATTGAAGAAGACAGAGAAAAAATTTTTTTAATCATACATAGACTCCGCAATTGAAATTTGATATCGACCTAAGGGATGAAAAAAAAAGTCATGGCCTTGAAAAAAAAAAAAATCTAGCAGGACATCTAGTAGGCAAGGGTTATTGGGTGTTACAGATGCGGATTTCTGCTGCGGATTGCGATGGCCTGGTGACGCAACCAGCCTGACAAACGAGTCGACGATCTCTAACAACCCCAAGCAGAACAAGAACCAGAACAATAACCACTACACGCCGCACCAACACCTTCGCACTCACCTTCGCGGTCCGTCCCGCTGCTTAATTTCGTAACCAAAACTTTTCCTAATCACGATTGCAATTCGCCCACGTGGTCCATTCAGGAAGTGACGTGCCAGTCTGACTGGAATATAATATTTTCCACAACCAAAAAAAAACCACTCCATTCCTTCGAACCTGTACAACAATCACTCGACAGTCCCTTCCCCTCGGCCCGTGCCAAACTCTTTTGTACAATCTTGGATACCGTGTGTTCCAATTGTGATGGCAACAGTCATTCTTTCTAATTACGTCATTAAAGAAACTGTCTTGTCGGACGACCATTGGTTCCTGAACGGACTGTAAAGGCGAATCCACAACGGTGCGGGGGTTTGCAGGTCGATTGAACTTCACAATAAAAATAAATTATTGACATCGCAAAAAGAATCTACATTGGAGTCTTTGTTATCAATCGTCATTCCTATTTTTTTTCACACTATAACCCCGAATTCCCTCAGAATTATAAAAAATCAGATCTGATCGAAAATCCATTTTTTTTTAAATTATCTCTCGATAACTTTTATTTCTTGATTAAAAATTGACCTGGTCCGACCTCGACCCCGGGCACAATACATTCTCCCCCCCCCCCACACACACATGACACTGTAAGGATCGTGGTATATGTGCGTCTGTGCGTGTGTGTGAAAAAAAAAATAAAGCGTGTGTGTGCGTGTACGTGTTCGCTAATATACATAATTGTTTACCTGTACGTTTTACATAGTCTATAGATATCCATACAATATATATATTGCATGTATATCTATATATACGACTCACACATATCTGTTGTGGGAGTGTCATTTGCGATGTGTATGCTAGTTGTGGCTGTAGCCTTACGTAATTCGTAAACACGTGTGTAAAGACAGTACAAAAAGAATTCTATTTGAAAAACACCCCATTGTCATACAGAGAGAATCATTGATAAGGAATCATTCGCAGAATGAAATCGTACGTTAATTGAATCCATCGTTCTTTCATGTTCATATACGTGTTACGTCATTGGGTGTTCTATATCAGAGGAAAAATGGCTAATTTTCATAATAAATAAAATAACGAGCAATGCACTGGAACGAGTAATGCAAATCGAAGTCTTGTTTATTGTATTCGTACCTATATTATATATATACAGGTTAGGTATATTACGTGTCTGACCGCCGTAACGTTCTTATCGCGAACGTCTCGGGGTTTTGTTGCTTAATGCATCGATCGTTTAATTAATATTTATTAGCTATATACGTCTTACCGACAATGAAAAATTGCGTGAATTTACATTTGATATCGCTTATCGATTCTTATACGGAAAGTTGGTAAGCTCAGGAAGCTTATATACGTATATAGATCCATGACGTGATAGCCGTGACACATATAATTAACGTTTTTAATGAGGTCTTACGTGGACTCTCTGCAACCTCGCTGGTCGCTGCGTTTTAAATTTGAAATATTTTTACAAGACGAGGCACACGTGGCATTTGACTGGACAGGGGTAACATTGACCATGTGAGGGAAGACGACATTTTGTATTATCGTAAAAGACTCATCTTGGAGGGAAAAAGTTTTTCACGATATTTTCTTTTTTTTTCGATGAATTATACGTCATTAATTTGGGTCGTATATTTCAATGGCATTTGGCATAATCGCTCTTTACGCCCATCCGTAACACATGCATTTTACACCGATTCGCGGCCGCTTGGAATTATACAGAAATACGTGAAAAGTATCGGGTTCGCAATTATTGCAATTCTTTTTTTGGTTTTTGTCGAATACAAATTTTCAAAATTCATACGCGACCGCGATGCGGCCGTTTCGTATGGTCATGATAAAAACTTATTATCGTAGTATTATTTTTGTCGACAGATTATTTATAGTTTTGCAATAGAATCAATCGTGAATGAGGATATTGGAAAAATATTCAATAAATATATTTTGGGATTATGGGTAACGAGAACGAGGTCGCTGTTGGGACTCTTTGATTTTCATGAAACTTCAGATCAATTTCAGTCGTCGCTCAAGTCCTAACCGCAACTCCGTGAACGTAACTGTCGGCAAAATCCAAGCTGCTGCATGTGCACAGCATGGCTCGTTAGTATATATACATATATACGTATTTGAAAAAAATACAAAAAACGCTTCAGCCTGTCTAGCATTATTTAACTTAGAAGTTGGTCGTTTATTGTACACGCTCATACCTATGCAGTACAGCCTTAAGGAATTCTCGTTGCGATGCTGTCAAAAATTTTGTATGCTTTCACCGACAGAGAATCCCTATATGTATACACATATATATCTGTATACTATATATATGTTAGATATATTCGACGCCATCGTCGTGAGCGCAATTTAAACACATTTTTTTTTTCGCGCCACTTACTTTTTGATCGTTATCATTAATTTAATTAATCAAAGCTGTCTTACCAGTCAGGCAGAGAAGAAGGGTCTCCCAGGGGAAGCGACACTTCATCTTGGATGTATCTGATTCGTCACGAAATCTTTGTTCTTGGTTTATACTTGAAAGAAAAAAAAGTTTATTAAAAAAATCAACAAACTTTATATGATTTATTTTTCTTTATGTTTTATATAATTAATTTAGTGATTCTCACGTTTTATAATCGTTCCGTTTCTCACGAATGTCCTTTATCAAATGACCGTCTTTGGCGTCACGACGATCGCTCGATGCTTTTGCGTAATGGTTGTGTTGTTAGCTGGAAGAAAAAAAGCGAGAAAAAAGTAAGAAAAAAAGAAAAAATAGGAAAAATGAATAAGTGGACGTGTGTGTATGACGCTGGTTCGTTAGTTTGAACTGTTAAGGAAATGGCAATGATCACGTGCCACGATTTGATGGACAGTGACAAATCGCTCGTATGTACGTAGTGTAGCTTTTCTTTTTTTTTTTATTATTGGGAGGACTGGCGCGGTTGACGCAACAATTTTTCAAAAAAATCGACGTCGCTTGAATTCCGGTATTATTTTATTTCTCTCGTTAAGATACGCGAGAACCGCGAGAGGTCTCCCTGGTTCTCAATGCAACTTTATTCTTTGCTTTATACGAGAGACTTCCGCTTGGCTGTCTCTTGGATTTTAAAAGCAATCATTTTTATTTTAATTATCGGACGATACGGAATAAGCTAAAATATTCTCGTAATATCTGTTTCAGGAACTTTGACCGTCAACGTGAGCGTATTGCTCTTGAGTCTGGCTTCCCCCGACGAATCTAGTTTGGTAATTGACAATTGATCTTTTTTTTTCCAATCACCAAAAACTTGATTCATTTCTCTAAAGCACTGACTCTAATGTTCCGACTTCGCACTGGTACAACTAATACGTAGTCGTGAGAATTTCTAGAGTAAAAAGACAAAAAAAAAAGCGAATAAACTGAATTCCCCTAGAGTAATAATGTAATAAAAAATGTTAAAAAGACAAAAAAAAGTAAAATTACCTTTGCATCTCCAATCTCAGTGGGTTAATAAATCCGTTATACTTTTTCCATCAGGGATAGTCTGCTTTAATTTTGCATATTCCGTGTCCCGACCTAAACATGTATAACGAAAAGTGAACTTTTGGAATATAAAACCGGAAGTTCTACGTTAATGAAATAATTTTCTAAGTAGAATAAAAAGAGAGGAGTCTAGTGATTAATTGAATTAGAACTGCACACACGTTGATATAAAATAAAATTAGTCGTTAGAAGTTACTCGAGATATTTTAAGAGCTTTTTTACGTCAATCATTTTATTTAGTAGTTTTATTCACTAATAATTATCAATACGCATTCAGCTATCTCTATTACAGTCTATATACACCCATTCTAATTCTCTCTGTTTATATTCCTCTTTTTATCATACCCGTTATACAATCTTAATATAATTCTTTGCCTTTCTTTACATTTCACGTACTAGAAATACGAAGTGGAGTTTCTCCTGCAGCAACAATGGTACGATCCTCGTCTGCGATACAGCAACAGATCTCGTTACGAGTTTCTCAATGCGATTCATCATCACAACGACATCTGGCTCCCGGACACGTATTTCATAATGCACGGAGACTTCAAGGATCCTCTTATCCCGGTCCATTTCGCTTTGCGAATATATCGAAATGGAACCGTCAATTACCTTATGCGGTATTATCAAAATTAACTATTACAGACGCACCACCCGAACTTAGCCTATTTACTTTTACACAAACAGTATTTGATCTTTATAAAAACAATCCTTTTCATTCATAAACTATTTTCTATACGATATCCTAGAAACTGTCATTAAACTAAAAATTAATTTCAGACGTCATCTCATATTATCCTGTCAGGGAAGACTCAATATATTCCCATTCGATGACCCACTGTGTTCATTCGCTATCGAGAGCAGTAAGTATAATGAGATTTTATTGATAAATCTATAAATCAAAGATGCTGTCTACGATCACGAAGCAGTTTGATGATTCCTTGTAATTACTTTATCTTTCAGTATCCTACGAGCAAACAGCCATTACGTACGTGTGGAAGAACGATGAGGACACTTTGAGAAAAAGTCCAAGTCTAACGACCCTGAATGCCTATCTCATCCAGAATCAGACAATCACCTGTCCGATAAAGGCTAGCTGGAGGGGTAAGAGTTTGCCTAAAAAGAAATTGAAAGTATTTATCTTTTTACTGATATATTTATATATACATATACCTCACAATAGAAAATCCTTCCAGATTATCCTTCGCATCCTTACGTGTCTGATCCTTTGTTTACTGGATGCCTGTAAGAAATTCTTCGATTATCAATCCCTCACGAGAAGAATATATCACTGATACAGATATATTATTAGTTATCTAACCTTGAGAAAATATATTTCTTCCATAGAGTCTTGTTGCACCAGCATCCCACCGCTGTATCACGATTACCCTACGTCACTTGTATAACTCCACGAGTCTACTTGGATCGATAAAGCTGGTTAGCCTCTTCTGAAAAAAAAAAACAGAAAAAAAATATTAAAGTAATTGAAATTCTCCATGGCGCCCCAGGCGAGTGTATACATTAGTTTACCTGAAAACGATAACTACGTGCACTCTCGCGCTTCCAGTATTGCAAATATAAATTCCACTGCTTTAAAAAAAAAAAAAATTGTCCCACCTAGTAAATATTTCATTTTTCACAAGACCCATAATGCATTACGCTATTCAATAACGAAGCAGTGACAGCTCCCTGTCTATCTTAGGAATGAACATCGAATATGTCCTATCGGTAATTCTCCTATCAGTTCCCAGAAAAAAGTAGACAGAAACAAAGATGCTAAAAAATCCTACTTAATGATCCAATAGCAATCAGGTAAGTCAGCATCCCGTATGACAAAGTAGAAGAGTGTTATTTATTTAGACTTTCACATTCCCTAGTTGTGTACTGTGATCGACGAATGTCTGTAAAAATGCAAAAGCCATGCCTAATCAAAATAAACAACAATAACCAACCAGCTGCAATGCACTCTTATCAATGCAAACAATTGTCGAATCGTAGTGCAACGATTAGAATCCAATAACGAGCATATACTTTCCAAACACTAAATCTCCTAATCAGTGGTATCTTTGCCTAGCGCAATCCCATTAATCCCAGCACAATGCGTTAATTATTCCCATAAATAGCACCGATTAGTAACACGTCTATCTATATACACGTATCAGTACCCACCTACGTATTAGCATACCACTTCGCACTTCATTAGTAGTCACAGCAAAAAAGAAGATCTTGAGCACGTTACACGTCTTTTCAAAATAAAAAGATCCTAAAAGACAAATAGAATAAAAAATTCTACTAGTAAAGTAATAAAAAATTAATTTCTTTAAATTATCCAAATACATTGATAACGAATATACATACCGATCTGAAAGGTATACCATATTTTCGCTACTCTCCATTACAATTTCTCTGCACGTGGTGTGAACCATGCGTGTGATAGACAAGGAACTTGGTAGAGGTACGTGAGGAGCACATGAAAGAGAAATGATACACCCCGCATATGTGATAACCAATTGCATGAGATAGCGTGTGAAAGTCATTTTGAAATATATTAGATATGTTACTGCATATATATATATGTATTTATATATATATATATATATATATATATGTATATATATGTATGTATAGTAGGTACTATTAGTATTTGCATTGGCAATCTTGGTTCCTGTCTCGCTTAACGTCGATTCGCCGTGGTTCACTTTGGGATCCTATGGAAATTGCCACAGCTCATTATTCCATGGGATAATATATGTTATACGTATAAAACATACTTGTTAAGGGTTATCAAAGAATTAGTAAAAAATAATTGTATAACACTGAACAGCGGATCCCAACCACGGTGATGAGCTATGCTTGGTCTATATACTATATAGATAGTGTGGCGAGTGTAATGTTATCCGATAGAATTGGATGAGATACCGAAAGTGAACACTGTGATGAGAAGAAAAGGGATTATATTCTTTTTTCTAATTTAATTACTAGAATATATATATTTTTCTGTGCTATCGAGTGAACGCACCAGTATGTGATCCATGAGTGCGTGACTTAGGTGATATCATAGTCGGTGAAGGATTGTCTTACCAGGAGAGAGAGGGGGAGAGAGAGAGAAAGAGAGAAATAAATAAAAAGGAAGATAAGGGGAATCGATAGGACCCGGGCAAGATAGTGGCTGTTCTGTTCCAGCTGACGGACAGCTGATCGTTGACTGCGAGGACGAGTTCGATGATTTCGGGGACTCTAAGTGCTCGCTGTGCCAGCGCAGGTTTGAGGAGCAAGGTAAAGGTCACATACCTCTCTTAAGAATGACCCTTGACAGAGAGAAAGAGAGAGAGATATAATAAAAAAAAAAAAGAAAAGAAAGGAACTTACGACATTGAGAAAATGAAGAAATCAGCTTTTGAATACGTGTGAAAGTGTGAGAGAATCAAAGAGAGACAGGACCAAGCTTACCAACGCGTCAGACCTGCCAACCTCATCCTGATTAATATCATCGGCGTACGCTTGTCAGAAGAAATTGTTTTACGTCATGCAAATCATTCATTAAGAATTAGGAGCGTCATATCAAGCTGTCGTTATTGGCTGATGATTCTCAATGCGGTCCAGTTTGGCTGTGCTTGTGCTTGATATTCGACTGCAAAGGGAAAAGCGAATCTTAGCAGGTGTGAAAGTTGTGGATGAAAGTTATTTTTTTTTTTTTTTCATCGAACGTTTGAAACGAATGTCTGAGTACACACGTTTTTACCCGATACAAGAATTTTTTAAGAATTCTCTCTTTGCTCCAGTATTCCTCTGACCGATGACTTACTCTCTTCTTTTTTCCATTGTCAAAAGTTGCTTCATTGAATCGTTCCTGCACTCAAGTCTCGATCGATTCATCCATCCCAACCTGACAGTATCCATCTCCCCCACTGCAATGCGACCGCTAGGAGTACGTGAACTATGTCACCGAGTATGCCAGTCATGCCTGATAACTCGAAGGTGGAACGTGCTGTAGGAGACTAGGTGGAATTTGCATTTTGGTCAAATACAGCCGCACTCTGGCACTGACGCTATTTCTGTGCTCTTATGTTTGTCTATCCTTAATGTATATATATGTCTATATACAGGGATATACATGTGTATATACAGGGATATATATGTACATCTTGTTTCTCCATTTACTTCGTACAATATCTCTGTTACCACTATCGCTATTTTATTATACATTGTGTTAGCATTACGTTAGGCTTCTGCGAGATAAAAATTTTAGAACGCCATTCATGGATGTGCTTGTCCAACAGTATGGGCTTTCACGAATGAAACGTACTGTATATTATATATGCTAGTTGTATAAATACGAGGAAACATGTTCAACGTTCCTTTCAAGTTCATGAATATAGTCTTATGCATGAAGAGATTTCATTCTTAGAAACCAAAAAACCGTGGTAATCTTCATGACGATTATTTCACGGGTCATCGTATAACTCCTGGTATGGACTTGGGAGTGTTTCAGCTTCTCGTGATGGCATTACAAAACGAAACAAATACATAAAGCTTCTATGTCCAGAGTTCCTTCAGCATCCAAAAAGACGCCTTTTTATCCCCTGCCTGTTTCCATCTGTAGCGGCTGAAAGTGACAGTAGCGGCTAAAAAAAAAGTGAAATATACAGTGTGTAAGATTCAGCTGGATATAAAGAACGAAAGAAATACGAAGAACGATTGAGAATACTTTTGAAACACCGTGTATAGGTACATACACAGAAAATAAATCTAAAAGATCTAAACCACGTGCCGTTAACCCAAGCTATAATCATTATCCTTGAAGTAATGACGAACCGAGTATAGTTGGACCAACCGTGTCTGACCATACAGGATGTTTCCCCTTAGCAAATAAAGAAGTCTACACTCCCTGGTAAAACCTGGTAGTCAGAAACCTTGATCTTAACAGCAATAGTAATAGCAGTACGACAGTAGTAGTACCCAGCATCCTTATTATCCATTTGACACATAGAACCACAATATGTATAAATAGTTCTAAACATTGTCAAAGCCTCCGATATCTATACACGGTGTCCAAAAAATATCCCATGATAAACCACCATGATATCTCTATATAAAAACAACATAAGGTATCCTTTCTCAAACAGGTAACTACAGCTGTCTGAAGGTGGATCTGATCTTCACCAGAGATCGAGCATTCTACTTCACAACGGTATTCATACCCGGTATAATTCTAGTAACTAGCTCCTTCATAACTTTCTGGCTCGAGTGGAACGCCGTACCAGCACGCGTTATGATCGGTGAGTCCATAAAAAGATAATCTGAAATATATAAAATAATTGACTGTTAACAGAGAAGAAAGAAAGATCTCTCGTTAATCGTAAAATTAATTATTAACGTAATTAGACTCTGGTTAAGTCACACTAACAGCAGTTTGTATCCTCGCAGGCGTCACGACGATGCTCAATTTCTTCACGACCTCGAACGGCTTTAGATCGACGTTACCGGTCGTCTCAAATCTCACGGCCATGAACGTATGGGACGGAGTCTGCATGTGCTTCATATACGCCAGTCTCCTCGAGTTCGTCGCTGTTAATTACGTCGGACGTAAGAGACCTTTGCACAACGTTGTCTACCGTCCTGGAGAAAATCCCGTCACCCAGGTACTTTTGCTGATCGGCCATAGATCTAGATAAGAGATATGACAGTTAAACAGAAATTATATAATTCTTTATAATAATATACACGCGTTTAATATATATAAACAGCACTATCAGTGCTGCTATCAATTTTTATAAATACAGTACACATATGATTTCGTACTCGTATGTCGACTATACCTTAGCAGTACACGATACAGAGCATATAGATAGGTCGAGTATATAAATACGAAAGATCAAAGTCGAGAGGTTGGCTCAGAGCAATTAATATCGAAAAAACTTCGGATAATTGATTGACGAAGCTCCATTGTATCGCATCACGTTTCATTTGTGACCCGTTATACATATATTGAACGTACGTAAGGAGCGAGTGCGATGGAAATTTAAAATTATTATTAAGACTTCAAGATGCTATAACTTTTATTTAATTAGAGTGAGAAGGGAGGCAAAGGGATAATACATATGTGATATTCTAATTGGACCATCGCCCTCGGGCCCTGCGATACATTGTGAACTCGTTGGCGTGACGCACAACACGTGACTTTGTTATTTACCTACGATCGTTGCATCGTGAATCTTCGGCATCCTTCGGAATCCTTCGTTTTTACCCCTTGGGATGATTCGTAGTGCAGTTTTTCTTATGTTCTCTATCCAGAGATTGAACTTTATCAAAATGGGTCTTTTGAATTTCTGTCAAATTTTTTTTTAACAAAATCTTTAAAAAACAAGACTTTTCATTACTTGGCGATTGAATGCAAAAAAAAATCGAAAAAGAGATAACAAAGAGGGGGTGCCAATTTTTGCATGGCTCTGTAATACTTTCATTTCTATTTTGCCTCTTTGTCATCCTTTCATAGGTAAAGATACTTCTTACGGTACTCTTATTTATCATTGTTCATCCAGAATCTCTTTTTTATCTCTCTCTCCTTTCTAACGAAGACTATAGTTATTTCTCTGGTATACTTTTTCTGCTTATTTTCTTTACACCTATCTTTATTTCCTTTGCATTCCGAGGTCGTCCTGTTCTTACTCAATATTTCATAACACTCTCCCATGTCTCTCGTCTCTCTTATCGGTATTGTATCTTTTTTAATTACGTTTAAATACACTCTGTCGTTGTTATGTCTATCAGTTATTATAATCGTTACTGCTAATCACAGCTCGACTTATTATCTATATATTATATTATGTCGGATCACTGCTACGTGCAACGCATTTGCCTCAGGCGGAAGTTACGTGTATATGTTGCATGAGCGATCAGCCTATCAGAACATCTCTCTGTATTATTATTATATTTATTTTTTCTAAAATTAACCACGAACGAACCAAGATAAGGTCTCTTGTAAAGAAGCTGGGTACAGTCAGTATTAAGAATTAATCAGTATTATATGTTAATTATTCTGATTCTAAATACGAGCCACCATTTTCTTTTGATTCTTCATCAATCTCACACACTTCATTATATATTCTCAATCTTATTTAATATCCAATCTGTATCTGTTCATCGTTTATTATTTTATTCGTATTAACAATATCACTTTTTAGCCACCAGTCTGACTAATACTATTCTTCTACTACTTATTATCTGTTATGTACTGTATCTCGACGTAGTAGTAACACCCTAGCATAGTCAGCCGCCAATCAGTACCACGGTGCTAACACATTTAACCTAGAGTTAGTCGCTGCTAATTACTGCCATCTACTGGAATCTATTGCTAGTCATCGAGGCGCCTAAGGATCGACCGCCATTTTGGTACCGCACTTTGTACAGTTGGTATACAATTTCCGTATAATAATTGAAAGAAGAACGAAAATTAAGTATCGAGATGCACGTTTTGTTGGTCCCTTCAAAAATATATATAATTTACCCCTAAAATTCTATAGTCTGTAAAACACGAGATCAAACGTTTTTTTGATAATGATATATGTCACTTATTTGGTATATTGAAGGAATGCGACCCTTCTGACATTATTATTCATCCCCTTTAGTCCGAGTATCATGCGTGAAACAGGGGGCTTTAGATCGAGTTAATGACACAAGGTAATTTGCGTCTGGTGCGTGCTTAATTACATGCGTGACCTTATGCATACGAGTGCAAAGTCTCGAGTGGCCGCCATTTTGAAAGTGCCATCCAATTTAGAGAGTAACTAACCCTGCCGTGTACTCTTGAGGGATGAAACTTTTTGGTTCTGTAGGTCTGTTACGAATATTTTAATTCGAGCCTTGTTATTATTTTTAATTAAAAATGAGGATTCACGTGGAACGATTTTCAATCCTAAGTTCATCCCTTGCATTTGTATGGAATTCTGCACAGTTCATTTTTTTATTATTGTCTATCCCAACCCCCTTACACATTTTTCATTGCTTTCTCACGCGAATTAAAACGTACGCGCACGCACGCAATTACGCGTATTGCGTAATTTCACAGTGACGCTTGAAAAATCCACGCGGCTGCGTGACGATTGGAATCGGACAGACGATATATTCGTGTATAATGGATTCTTTGTGGTCTAAGGGAATTCTTATGATATCGCGTTAATATATTATAATAACGTATCATAGTATAATTTAATTATTTTGCTGATAAGAGAGGTAGCAATTGATATAATTAGATTTTTTGTCTGTCCTTCTCACTCGCCAACGTAATTCGGAGACAGTGCGGTTATTTTTATAAAAAAGCAAACAGATAAATTTGTGAGGATCTATTTTTTAAATACGTTTTCAAGAACAAATTTTTTTTAAATTTCTATCGCAAAACTTGATTCTTTCTTTTCTTGTGAGTTTTTGCATTCTTGGAAGAATACTATGTGTGAACTAGTTTTTTTTTTTTTCAAAAAAAAAAACAATGGTGTTGCACTTTTATATATTTTTGTCAATGCAAGCTTTCTCCTCCATACCACTTTGCCCGTGCATTTCTCTTTCTTTCAACGTAACTACCTTTGAAAAACCACTTGAAAATTTTGATTCGTTGTGGAGTGGTACATTTTTTTTTTTTTCAAAATTCCTCGCAAACCGATATAAGAGGCGAGCGATAACGAAAGAGAGAAAAATCGTTTAGTAAGATTGGTTGGTGGAATGTTGGTGAGTAAGTCTCTTTGTTTTGGTGTCTGTGATGTTGCAGCGGCTTCCAGCGGTGCTCAGCAGGATAGGGATTATATTGGCCAGCCCCTTGGTAAGATCCCCTTGACCACAGGGTGCGGTCGCGACTTCGTGCGTTTTGGTAGCAGTCTAAAAAATAAAACTACGTCAATCCCAAAACTCGACAAGCGCACATTAATTCTTATAAGCCACAAGTTAAATTAAACAAAAAAATTGACAATCCAACACGCGCGAGGTTCTAACCGCGCCCTAACACATACTACTTAACCCGCTGGGCCCTATAATGCCCAATTCTATTATTATCTTTATACTCGCACTGATACACGCATGTTCAATCACAATAACCTAGAATCTATACTGTGCTTCGTTCGAACGTTCAGGTCCTAAACTATATTTTTACTTGAAATCTACAAGAATCAAACAAATATAATATCAAATTTTTTGATTTATCAAAATTTATCTAACCACGTAAACAGGCTAAACAGTTACTGTACGATTCTTGTAGACATACTTGACTTCTTATATAATAAATTCTGCATGATCTTTGACATGCTTGTTAATCTAATGGAGAATGACTCGCCTGAAAAATACATAGAATGTGCGTTTGACTACAGTGCTCTTCGAAATCATTTGTATCGTATTACTGGCTTCAAACACGTCAAAATTTATGGATATAAAATAATAATACAAAATATTTTATCTTATATTTATTCCTATATTTTACCGCTTTTACGTAATATTCTCCAATAACCAAGAATTTCGAATCACGTATCTGTAGGGATAACATAGGATTTTGTCAGTCTGAAAAGCCCTGTACAAACTACACTACGTGCCTATACATACATATATAAATATAATAAATAGCTATCAAAGACATAGTTAAAGGTATAGTTAATAGTAATCCTGTGTATATAAATAATATATTTGTCACTATATACTTATATACTATCTTGCATCATATACTACAAGCTACTCTTCGTAAATGAGAAAAAAAATACTATTGTAGTCACGTCTTCCTTGCAGAAAAAAAGTTAAAAAAAACTTAAATTATGATAATAATAGTGAAATGACCGTAGTCATTAATAACTTTTATTATTGCACGTTATATATAACTATATATATTTAGCATGAACACTCGGCTCGCATCACCGCTTAATTTCGTACACGGCAGCTTCTCGCGTCGACATCTTTCGCACAGCTTTCATATCATTCGTAGAATCGACGACTTCGATATAAAAATGGACGATTAAATAAAAAAATTTACTCATAAATAATAAACAAACGATCGCGTATCGCTATTATCTCGCGTTACGTGGTAGGTAATTGTCAGCATATGCATATGTATATACAATTACACATGTATCAGATTATTCAGCCCAAACGGACCACCCAGTGCATCCATTTGATTTTTATGATAAAATCATGGTGGTTGCATTTGGACTGAATAACCCGGTATATGTATACACGCCTATATGTTATGTATGTATTAATTAAATACCGATTATTAATGGATGGGAGTAACGAAGTAAACAAATATTAGTCTAATTCAGAAACGGTATCACTTTTTTTCCAATTATTTGAAACAGTGACGAAGCGGTTGAACGTTAAATTTTTATTGCGAGAATAAAATAAATTTTTTGAAAATTAAGAAAAAAAATATAGGTCGCGCGAACGATTAAAAAAAAACGACGTGCTCTCTCGAATTGTATCTATTTATTGGCTTTCGATTGTAATAGAAAAAATATTGCTTCTTTTTGCAGTTGACATAATTTAAGCTTCACCGTAGCTATAAGCTTTGTCGACCTTGATTAACGCAGCTAGCTCAGATTCGCGAAAAATCTATTCGCACAATTTCACCCGGAAGAGATAGATATGACTTGCTTGTCAGATCGTGACGTAAAATACGAGCGAACCATGTACCTTTTCTATTCTTCTTTTTATCCTAACTAAAAGATAAACGTCAGTTGTGTATAGGCAGTTGAGGAAACAGGCGCCTCAGACTGTATAACGTTATTGATATACGGATGTTTATATAAGATTTTGACAGACGTCAAAATTCTATAAGTAGAAAATTTGCCGATCTGTCAATATCCGATGGTCGCATCTTCGTGGGACGTTTGTATAACCGTAGACAGAACGTCGGAGGTTACGGCAGCCTCGAATGTAGATAAATCGAGAGCATGTAATTCGTAAGTGATAAGTAAAGGCACGATAAGCGTTATCGAATATACATATGTATAATTAATGACTCGGGGAACGATTCACTTTTGTTTATACATCATAATTGACTCTTCTTACATATATATAGTCAGCTCTTGTACAAGCACGCTGATGGCACTCGCATTTCTCCCCTCACTTGTAGGGGCAGCTAAACCCCCCACTCTTCACCTAATGAACAATCGTGGGGATGGTATATCTAGTATAGTCTAATGTCCGTGACACACTGCGCATGCGCGTGCAGCTGGTGGGGACTCTTCATACAGTCCCATTTCAAATCCCAACGCGCGACTGTACAGAGTTGACTGTATATAAAACAGTTGTTAAATTTTCTTGTACAATAATGGTGAAATATAATTAAAAAAAAACAATTGGTATATCTAGCGGTACAAATAGTTTCTGAAGAAAAAAATTATAAGCCATTGGCATATAAGAAATATAATAAAAATGATATAAAGAAGGTGAATCGTTCGCGTTATAAAAATTTGAATATAAGTATCTGCTACGGAGACCCTGTCGCAGGGTAACAAGAAGCGAGAAGGTGGTGCTGGTACCGGAGGAGGAACTGGACCGAACGAGATCGTGACGTGTACGAATTGCGGTCCGAATCCTTGTACACACACAGCAACAAATGGCTGCGCCGCAGAGGTATGTAGATACTCAAGCAATGCCCTGCAACAAAAAACAATCTGGCTTCAGCATATAGTGACTTTTGTTAAAGAACCATAGACGGTCTAGTTACTTTTATGTTCTTTGAATATACCTAGCATATATTTGCCATGCGATTCCATAATGTCGTCTGAATGTCATAGAGCATCCATTCTCTTTACCCAACTGACCCCGTAATGACCCTGAGTAGTGCTGCTTTGTGCAGGTACGCAAAAAGGAACCACCCCATCCGATAAGGGTTGCCAAAACGATCGACGTGATAGCGCGTATCACATTCCCAGCCGCTTACTTCGTGTTCCTCATCTTCTTCTTCATACACTACAAGGGCGCCTCCTAAGCAGTTGCCGCTGACATCCTAATGGAAACCGGATGCTGCACGATCTTCATGGAGGGGCATCGGGACGTTCAACGTGTTGAGAAGAAAGTTGGTGAAGACAGAAAGTCACCAGAAAATAAACTGCGGTCTGTAACAACGAGAATACAGGTTATGCGGCTAACGCGGCAAATTTGAATTTTTCGGTTACGACGGCGTCCCGGACAGGGACGCGGGCGATCCTGGCGGCGAGGATCGGAAGCTTGTTAAAAAAATGTTTCACTTACTAAGACAAATGATTTAATTAAATCAACGCTTGCGTTAGCCTAGCCAAGGAGCCTTGGACTCGTGATAATTATCATTATCGTAATGCCGAGCAAGGGCGGCAATTTTTAAACGGGGAAGCATTGTCGTGTACCGTTAGTATCGAGAAATAATTTCTTGCTTGGCAGAGCTTCGCGCGCGATTTTAGCATGTGATTAATATCGAGCGCGTCTATCGGGACTAGCGAATTTCAATTCGCAAATATTTTTGGCGGATTAATTGTTCTAGCCTTTCGTCGCAGTCGCGCCGATTCATTACGATTTTAACTCTTAAGGATTATTGAAAGTAACACACGTGGTGCTTTTTCGGACTCTGCGTTAAGGTAAACGTTTAATTAATTAATTAATTAATTAATTAATTGACGACTTATAGTTATCTCTTACTGTAAGTTGTTATTTATTATAATGGTATAACGCTACACTAATTACTATTAACAAAATTAACTATTAACTAATACTGTCACTATTGCTACTACTATTACTAATAGCCACCCTTTATTACCATTTACTTCTATTACCGTACTATTACTACCACCGAACTACTACTATTATTATTATCATTATATACTTACTACTATTACGCGCTAAGGGTAAAAAAAAATTTATGCTACGTACTATTTGTACTAAAAATTTAAAAAAATATCCAGCAATATTACAGACCAATCTAAACCGCGTAAGCAGAATTAATTAAATAATCGACGTAACGTACTTGTATAGGTAGCGTTATTAGGACACGAGTTTACTATAATTACTGTACGCGTAATTTCGTCCTTTTTTGCGACAATTACACCTGATCACGCGGCATACAATTACATAAACCTATATTAAGAATGCGAAAAAAAATATAAACACAAAATGAACGCTAAACTTATCGTACGACACATATTAACTAGCACATGAAATTGCTCATTGGACACAAACAGGTACACAAGATCGCTTATGCGAAATCACAACGACACTCTTAAGCGATATATATATATATATATATATGTATATATATCTAGGTATATATATATATATTATATCGATGTGTAATAATTTCAGAAATCGTCTGAAAACCGACTGCCAAAAATTCATTAGATTGAGGCACATCGTGATCTTTTTTCTCCCATGGTTTTTTTTACGAATAAGAATACATACATATATATATGTATACAGAATAATACAAATAGGACATATGTATACGTATATATAGTTATATATCTTGCTGACTATAAAATTCTACGTGTATGCACAAATATAGTATAAAGCGCGTGCGCGCAAGGTGTTATTGGGGGGTTATGAAATTTGTGAAATAGTAAAAAAAAAAAGGAAGCAAATATGTACGGCGAAGCGAGCGCGAGGTAAGAGAAAAAATTGTTAAAAACAAAGAAAGAATGGAATAAGACGAAATTTTTGTGTGAGGAAAAGTGAAATACGAATGATAAAAAAAAATCGAAGCGCCTCTAGCGGCTGATGTGAGAAGTACACGGCTTTTTTATGCACTGGTATGCGGTTATTTAGATTTCTAAGGGAATGGTGATGTGGATGAGAGAAGGGAAAAAAAATAATAAGAAAACGATAAGAGGTTATCTCGGATCGTAATTAATCTCTATTATGATATAAGGGCTACGTTACTTCGTTAGAGGAGATTCTTTAATTAAAATATTACTATGAAGATCTATTATACATTTTATACACTATTACGTCCATCCACCGAGTCGTCCTTTGTATTTTCGCGATTCCGCTTTGCAAATCCGTTTGCAATTTGCGAGTTTGCGAATTTCATGGTTAAAGGAAGAACGTGGGTTTGTTTCGTGTTTTTTGAGATATGAAAAAAAAAAGGAACTGGAGCTGAGACGAAATCTTTTTAAAAATTTCAAAAAATATTCCGTACTGGTACCTACAGTCGCCATGTAAAATTTCCTAACGTGAAAATAGAAGAAAAAAGGAAAAGTATAACCAATCAGAAATAATGGATCGTCGAAAGAAGGTCAGGCTGGCCCATTGTAAATTGTTCATTATAGGAATACAAATTTGTCATATATATATATGACATGATAACAATAATCTTTAAATACGATACGTGCAATTTCGTCGTAATTTTTAGTGACTATCCCTACGCAATTAGCGAAATTCTGTTTACTCGCATGACAAGAAGAGACGCCTTGCGTGTCGCTTAATCTGCGACACAACCAGTCATCGTATCGGGCAGTCAAAAGAATTTAAAAAAAAAGACTGTAAAAGAGAGTAAAAATCACTGAAGATAAAAAAAGAGATATTATCGAAAAGTACATCTCGGCAAATGCTGCAATTCGAATAGAAATCGAGAAAAAGAGCTTAGGAAAAAATATAAAGAAAAAAATAATTACCGAAACGAAGCTTCGGCTGAAATATGAGGAAACGAAAAATAAAGCAAAAGCCAAGTTCGACAAGAGCCCCCGATACGTCATACATCACGCCGTACGTTATTTATTCCCAAAGTGACTGTTCAGCATTCGGCGTCGCGACGTCGCGCATCACACAACGAATATTGCATAGATAAATCGCGGACTATATTGAAACTTAGAGTTCACGTGAAAAACACGACAAATAAGAAAAATATTTACAAAAAATTTAAAAAACACATATACCTAATTCGTAAAAATTAAACGGAATCCGAGGTGGTAAGGTACGCGTTTCGCGCATGTAAATTTCTTAGGATTTCAACAAGATGAACCCAAAATACAGAAACGACCAAACGAAAGTTGTTATTAGACGAGAAAAGAAAAAAAAACATCTCTGAATGAATTTTTTTTAAGGCGAATCCAAAGAAATTCCACGATGCCATAAGATACATAGGATGGATCATTATTACAATTTTTGTATATCTCATGCTGTTTAATAAAAAAAAAATGAAGAAACCCTTAGATTATAGGTTACGCTACGATTATTATTATTAAACGTTTTAAACGCTCCACGGACCAAAGACAACACACGTAATCCTACGAGTTCTTGTTTGTCATAATAGCTGCACTTATATATTATAAACTATATAGGCTGTGGCCCGTTATTGAGAAAGAAAAAGAGATAAACATTCGACGTAAATGCAAAAAAAAATAGTCTTTGATGCGTCCCTGTAATAAATGAGGAAGAGGGTAGTGGTCGTCACATACAGGTCGTCCTAATTTTTACAAATGCTATTAGAAATCTACATTATCCCTGATACACGTGTTGTACATCGATATATATATATATATACATACATACATATAGTATTATCGATGGATACTGGAATGGAACTTTTGACGCCTGGGAATATCGAATGGGCGATTAAATGCGTCACGCAGCTATGCGACTGCCGTTTGACATTGCACGGATTAATATACATAATATACGTAAAATAAATAATAGATTAGGGAAAAAGAAATACATTATTTTTAGGAGATATATATCACTGTAGCCATCTGACGAAAAAATAATGAATTTCTTTTTCCCCAAGCTATTACATGCATACATGAATAAGATATTTAGTAAAAACTTATGGATTCGCATTGACGGTGGCTCCATCGCACGGATATACGTTGCATTATTGTTAATAATAATTATTTATAAACTGTATCGAGTACAGGTATGCCAGACACCGATATCAATTTTTTTATGCATTGAGTTTGTTATCTCTGCTGTGCAGCTGATCGTTGATCGATAACACGATTGTGATAAGTGTAATGGGGAATGGCAAAAAAAATCATAATTAAATGCGAAGACGCCGCGCTGGCTTTTTACAACATTATGATTTACGTTGCGTTTATGCTGTAATTATATTAGAAATTATAATACGTTGTTCGGTGTTGAGTCTATTGACAGTGTCTATTGGGTCGTTGGTAACTTTTGCCAGGAAGCTGCGTTATGGTGTCTTATTAATTGCTGTGGGTATTGAAATAAAGAGAAAAAAGAATAAGTGATAAGTGTATACGTATATATATGTTTTGTCAAAAATAAAAAATATTAATATCTTTTTTTTGGGATGATCGACGTCGCGGCTTCCGGGTAAAAAATTTGTTTGGTAATAGGTGAGATTGTGAGGCCTGGGTAGATGAAAGAGATAGGGAGAGAGGTAAAAAGGGAAATATCGAAAATGATATTACATTAATATATTGCTGTGCGTAGTACGAGCGCGGTTCGTGCGTTAAAAAGAAACAAAGCGAAGAATTTTAAAGGGGATAAGAGGGAGAGAAAGATAAGGAGAATATCTAATTAAGAAAAAAGCGACACACGTGAATACGAACATTGGTCGTCCTCGTCTTAAAAAAAAAAACACGGATCCGACCTGCTTCGCCTCCACCTATATTTAACTATATATATCTAATGCTAAAAGTCTATATTTGTCCAGTCTCCAATTCTATCCTTGTTATTTTTGTACCTTTTCACCGCGCTCGCATACAAAAATATTAAAGGAAATGAGAAAAAAAAATTATAAAAATCCCGCGTCACTGACTCGCGCGGATCCACGCGACGACACTCGAGGAGTTAGGAGAAAATATTGCGACTAGATGAAAAACAAAAAAAAATAAAGAAAACATCAAGAGAAAGTTAATGAAAATTTTTCGACAACAGTCAAATACGTATACATATATGCTCGTTTTACTTTATTCCCCTTGCATTTTGTGGCTTATCTTTTCTCGATTCTCTAATTCTACGACGGGACGGCAAATATAAATTCCTCGGGCGTCGCGACGCGGAATCGTGCGTTCCGCATTGAAATCGCCTACACTTATAAATATGTACATAAAGGGAGGGAGAACAATAATTAGAAAAAACAAAAAAGAAAAAGTTGAAAAAAGAGGGAGATAACGAAGCGAATGAAATTGTCAGGACAAGCCTTATATATTTAATATAGTCAGCAATCGATATTTATTACGCGATTTAAACAATTTTACAATGTATTACTGTTGCGTACTGTCGTTAATAATATATTGTATTATGATCATTCGTATTTATTACGTCATTATATCTTGCACTTTAAAATGCCCGAAATGAGTTCACGTCGATGATTACCAGCAGAGAAAGTGCGTACACGCGTTTACAAAAGAAAAATGTAATATATATATATATATATATATATATATATATATGACAAACAAGGGGCAAGATCGAGTTTAACGTACGAAAACGATGAAAACCTGTGATGTTAAGTTAAATGAAGAAAACGAAAAAAGAAAAGGAGGGAAACACTGTAAAATTTAAAAAATTTCTCCCACCCGGATGCCCGGAGGGATTCGTGGCTTTGCGAAAAAAAAAATGTACGTATGTATACGCGTACCCATACAAAACGCGTAATATATACACATACACATACACACGCATACAAAAACACATTGACAAATGATTTTTAATCTTAAGCGAATCTATTGATTATATTATAACGTAACGATCATTGATTATCTGATTTTTCGGCTGTGTTTGTAATGTACATGATTAAATATTAAATTGTCGATTAAAATAGTATTGAATCCTTACACGTCTTTTTCCTTTCTTTAATTCGTAGCATTTCGAGATTGTTAATAGTCTTTTTTTCAGTAGGCTGGCAAATGTTACTGATACACTTACGAATAGATGACTGATAAGATGATAGCAAGTGACAGTTTAAAAGTTTATACTAACTTTATTTCAGTCATTATTTCTACAGGATCATATTTCTATGCAATATTATTATAATACTTTAATCTATTGCTTTACTATCTTTTACATCTGAACATCTTCTACCTGGTCGCATACTTTTAATTTGCTTCAGAGCAGCTTCATCCGGGATATTGTCGAGCATAACTGTATCCTTCGTTAATTGAACTTCTGTAATAAAAAATTATAAGAGAAATTATTAATACAAAACATAGTTGACAAGTGACATAATCGTTTCAAGGCTTTCTTACGAAATTTTCCAGGCTCAACTTCAACAGCTTGAATAACGGTTGTTCGGACTTCGTGTTCAACGGCCTTTGCCAATTCGTTTAACTAAAATATATTATCACAAATTCTCATTATACCTTTGAGTAAAATATTCTGTTATTGTAATTTACCTCAGCGATGGCCTTTTCGTCAGTTACGTGTTTATATTTCGCGTATTCATCGTTTATCTTTTTCCTTGTGACTAAACACAGTGCAGTAAAATATTTGCTGAAGCGTCGTGTTAACTTTTATTACCATATGTTTTTAAATATATCGACTTACCATTCAAAGCGTGTTCGTCTCCTTTAAAAGTATTTAGACGAGTCTTGTGTAATTTTTTGAAAGTATTCAGCACCTAAATTTAATTAAAATTAAATTATCCAATGTAGGTAAAAGCTATTCTAGTACTGTTGACATTGCTCTTAAATTCAACAATGCACTGTATACATATTTGTAATGGACGAAAATTAATTAAAACATACAATGCCACTTATTCTTTCAATATTCCTTCTTGTTTAACCATCCAATTAAAAAAAAAGGCTTAATCGTATAGACTCGACACTGAAAACCGCATAAAAACTTAAAAAATATTAGCGTTTCTATAAGATTCATAGTTTCAATTTATGTTTTATGACTTTATACGTTTCTAATTCTTTCTATTCAATACAATTTCTAAGCAGGGTTACTATTGACACACGTGAAATAGTTAGTGACATCAAACCTAACCTCGTCACTAGCGAAAATAAAAATAATGATTAAAAAACTAGTAGAAGCTATTTACCTCCCTACGAAGAATTCCACTCATCGTCTCAAAAATATTAATGAATTACACTTAAAGCAATCGAATAACTTTGACAATACGATATTAAAAAAAAAAGGAGCATAAGAGGAGCAATTTAAGTACCAGGCTATATTATTTACGATATTAAAGTAGGTAGAGGGAGTACTCGTTACGACGTATCACAACCGGTGCGACCACACAGAGTTTTGATAAAAGCTGAACGATTCACAAGAAAGTTAATAGTGCGCCGATAATTATTACGAAAATATCTCTCATCACCAAGATGTCTAAGATTCATGAAACTGATCAGAGATTCAGGAGTGACTTTGACGTACGACGTCCAACCTACGCAGTATCATGACTTAACCTACCGCAACGTAACTCGTGGAGCAGTTTTGAAAGTTTTGACTTCTGTTTGCTCCACCCGGCTTGAATAAAGTGATACCTTTCATTGCCGATAATTCGTCAGATTCCATCTTGCCCAAAATGTGACATTTACCATTAATGAGCTGTCATAGAATAATAGTTGTTAATCGTTATTGGGCGTTTGAAAGCAACCAAAAATATCTTCAGACATGTTAATAGAAATAACAGCCAAGCATCTTCATTTACGATGTTCCTTATTATCCGGAGACTTTGGATTTCTAGTTGGTTCACATACAGTTCTTTAGGTTTCAATTATTTGAATGGCTATATGTCTTCGATGCATCTTATGATTGTGTAAATACTTTGATAAAGTACAATCTGTGTCATTCGAATCCTTGGTTTCTGCTTCTTTTAACCTGGAGCAATGTGCAAGCAATGTCCTGTGAGGGATATGATGAATTTTATTTTTGCCTAAGAAAAGGAAGAACAGGTTATGATGGGTGAAGAATGTCCAAACTGTAGGCAACTGACAAATGCATCTTTCTCGAGACTTGTTAAAGATACTTGTGGACATACTAAGTGCAGAATGTGCTTGGTATATGAGGAACAGGGCTGTAAAGCCTGTCAAAATGAACATCAGATAAAAACTATTGGGAACTTTGGTAAGGAAAGCTATAATCTTTATTACATTAAAAATTTTTGTTCAGTAACATTTCCTTAAGTAGTATCAAAACTATACTGCTCTTAGATTATCCACCCGCTACTGCTCAGCTGTCTGGAGATACAACATCTCCGGATAAAGAAACTACAATAGTCAACGAAGAAGTCATATTACCCTTGGAACTTGTAATAAACAAACTACCAGATCCCTTTGAAATTGAGTCCAGTGAAACAATAATTAACCCACTCATAGAAGAGTCAATACACATAGATAGATTATCCATTCATAAGGAAATGCCAAATATTTGTGAATCTATATCAAATAACAATGGCAATACCCATGATACAACCATACTGCATATTCCAAAGATGGAACCATTGGAACTAATTTCCAGTATCCGCACACATCTTGAGGAATCTACAGATCAACCAAAGGGAAATGATTTATCAGACGTATCAAAACCTGAAGCAAGGACCAGTGAATCAGAAAACGTAGTAAGTAAAACACAATCACATATTGATCCTGTTTTTCGTATACTTGTTATGTCATAAACTTGTTTTAATATTTTTTTCAGAAAGTTGACTCCAATTATCCAAGCAAGGAAAAGGCACCAAAGAATAAAAAGCAAAGGAAATATCCAGACAGGAGTCATATATCAGTGATACCAGGTTCACCAGAAAAGTATAAGTGCGGCGTCTGCGGAAAAATATTCCGCAATAAAAAAGGCAAATGCTATCACGACGCCTGTGTTACGGGGATAAAACCGTATCAGTGTACAATATGTGATAAAAGTTTTGTTAAGCGTTCTCACTTTGAGTATCACGAACGAGTACACAGTGGCTACAAACCATACAAGTGTACTTTATGCGACAAAGCTTTTCCGCAGAAGAACAAACTGAACCGACACATGTACTCTCATAATAGTAAGTGCTCTTTGCCTCGTTATACAACAAAGAAAAAAAAGCTAACACTCGATCCATTATAGAGGAAAAGCAATTTATCTGTACAAAATGTGGTAAGGGATACAGTAAAAGGGATGACTTGAGAAATCATTTAAATCTACATGCTGGTCTGGCTCCTTACTCTTGCAAAGTATGCGGAAAATCATTCCGCATGTTAACAAATTTGAAACGCCATATGCACACTCATTCCAGTAAGTATTAAGTATAGTTTTACATAAAATAATAGATGCAAATGATTTTCATTCAATATATTTTTAAATATTAGGCGAAAGACCTCATGTATGTGAACAGTGTGGCAAAAGTTTCAAGGACAAATCATTATTAGTACGTCATAAGCGTACCCATGGAAAAGATAGACCATTCTCTTGTGCTCATTGTGTACGAGTGTTCCTATCAAAAAGTGAATTGCGTCGTCATTTGGCTGTACATTCGGGTACGAATTGATTTTTAAGAAGTTATAAAAATAGTTAATACGCAAACAGTGGTAAGAGCTTGCTTTTTGTTTCAGATGACAAACCTTTTTCCTGTGAATTTTGCAATACTGTCTTCAGGCGAAAGGACAATTTGAATCGTCATATACGTCATCATCATTCAGAGGATTCGAATTACGACTCGACAGCTAAAGAACAATGTAAACTACCGGAAAAAGAAGCGAAACCAATAAAACCAAAGCAAACATGCGTAGCGAAACAGAAGCAGAAACCAAAAAGCAAACCGCGAATCGCTTTAGTGTCGCTGCCAAAGAGTCCAGCCAAAATATCGGTCGTTTATGTGAATTCGCGGGATCAAATTAATTCCAGATTGGATTCCATGGGTAACATAACTCCTATTATTAGGACTACCGGTGAAGTCAGTAACGCGGTACCGGTGATTAATGGTCCAATCAGCATTAAAAAGCTGGAGGAAAAGAGGGATACCCCGAAGAAGACGTTGACCTACATGGAGCCAATGCCATTGGCTGAGGCAGTCGTGATAAACAGAAGAATAGAGGAGAAACTTTATTCTCAAAATGTACCAAATCATCATTATTTTTTTCGAAATTGTTCAACCCTTGTCGACAGACAACTTCCTATTCACAAATTGTCACCGGTTAGACCAAATCTGCTGGTTAAAAGTCCTTCCTATAATAAAACTTCCTTTCCTGAGAAACTCTCCTTCGAAACCAGTGTTGCCTCACGACGTCCTAATGCACAAAATCAAAGCAATTCGCAGAAACAAAGTCAAAGTAACAGTAATGAAATTGTTCAACAGCAAAATACTACTAAGGATTCAATTACGAGTATCCAGGAGGCTGGTTCCAAACACACTCTTCTGAAGAAGAGAGTCATCCAGGAACTTGAAGAAGGAGCGATAAATATTGGTCAGGGTTATAGTGCTGTCACTGACTTAAAGAAGAGTAGTTCTAAAACCATTCAGGCAGAACGGGCTAATTGTGTTTCTACTATAACGAAACGTATGTGTCAAGCAGGTAATCATGAAATGGGTTCAACAAAAATTAATTTGGCTGATGATAAAGTTTCTAGTATTACAAAAGTAAGTGAAATACATTGGAGACGTAGAACCTCGGAAATATTGAAACCGTGCACTGACTATTCAAAGCAAACTGAGGACTGAAGGTACAAGTGCCATCGAAATTGTAATGTTTGGGAATTTTACAGGGCGATTAAGAGACTGGAATGGAAAATATATTAAAATTTTAGAGTTATCTTTGCTGCCAGCATTATAAGAGATAATTATCGATTGAAACATATTTGTACATTGTTCATTGTGATATACTTATTTAATATTTATTATGATTTTTATATGAATTGTTGATATGTTTAATATGGATTTTATTGGCAATTTTTTTTTAGAGAAAAAAGGGTTTATTTTTTTAAAAATACGAATCTACTGCAAATGAGTGAATTGCCTATTAGTCAAAAGGTTTTAATGTAATTATACTTTTTTAATTGGCTGTACTATATTGGTAAATTCAAGAATCTATAGATAATAACTTCAATTGTGTACTGAATAACTGTAGGTCCCAAGTTTTATGCAGTACTGTTAATATTATTTCCAAGCTGGCTTTATGCAGTGATATACATATATATATTTGTATTATATAGTATATTTGTTAATAAACATAGAACGCTATATAGCCAAGGTGTCATTAAAGTAGTACAACCTGGTACAAAACCATAATCTTATCAATATATTTCAAAACTAACAATTACAGTACCATATGTATAAATTCTGACTAGTGGCATATTAAAAAATTTTCACAGTTCTTACGAATACAAACATTTTCCAAATATAAAAATAATGAAGATTAGCCATTTGTCATATCATGAATATTAAACTCTTAACATATTTCTTTTATATCATAATATTATAAATTCTCTCTAAATATTTCCCTTTACTTAGTTTGCGATTTAGTATTAGGCCATATGAGTCTATCTTCATAGAATTGAATAACTATTTGAGGACAAATCACATTTGCCTCCTTTGCTGTTACTAAATCGGTTTCATCCGTTCCTTTCCTGAAAAAGCATAATGTACTAATTGCATACTGAATTACTTATGATATTATGTGCACACAAAATTATCTTTACCATTTCATTAAAAACATCAATTCTCCACAAGAGTCGGTAGCACCAATAATTTTTTCTGGTTGTAATGCCTTTTCAAACCCATGAGGCTTATTTTCCGTGTTATTAGTTTTTTCCTTATTCATTTTGAATTTCTTGTTTCAATGTTCAACAGCTAATCAGACAATAACTATTAAGGTTATAACCACTCGAAACTCACTAAAAGTGAAACGAATTATTTACATAATCAATTATAAATTTTCTAAAATTATATTCATTCTCTTACCTTACACATAAACCAATAATTCACTCTCTAGGATACAATTTTCTCTCTAACCGTTAACTGTCGGATCTCCTTGACATATTCACTGAATATCACACTTTCATGTTTATATCCGGAAATGCGACTTTTAAATTTCCCTCAAATGTAACAAAGTAAAATAATCTTCCGGCGCTACAATCGACCATCACAAAATACAGATGCCTTAAATAAACCATGAAAATCTATTTCTACATAAAAACACCAAGATTCTAAATTCCTCTAACAATATCTTGCACTTCGTACTTATGAAATCATAACGCATAACCTATTCAATTACTAAAACATATTATTTAACATTAAACCGGCTTGAAAGTTAAACTACGACAGTACTGCCACGCCGTTTTAGTACCGAGCATGTCGATACATCAAAATAATATGTTTATTAAAGAGTTACAATACTTAGTGTAAGTATGCATATAGAATTTAATAAATATGCTTTATTGTGCCATTTGAAAGTTAAATCAATACGTAATTGAGTATTTATCTATAAAATAGTCAATCATAAGTCAAAATACGCATGCGCAGATATGTTTATTTGAACATACTTCCCTTTTGGGGGTTTACTCGAGTATTTGGACGGAACCGAGAATCGATCGGCTGTCGTACTTCGGCTCTTACTTCCCAGCGAAGCCGCGTCGGGTGACTTTCTTGTTCAAGTACGTTGAGGGACGCTTTACCCTGTAAGAATCGTGAAGCATGGTTAAGATGGAGCACGACGTGAGTAATTATTTGTATTAATAAGTAATCAATCATTTGTATATCGACATAAGCAGTCATAAACCTAAAATATTTTAGAAGTGTGATACCAATGCAAATGATCCATTGTGATTTATTTGTAGTCTGAACGTATCGAAGATTGGTGGTATTAATTAATGTTGCTTATTGATTTGATGACAGTAAACTTCGTATTGTAATTGTCAAATTAAAAATATTCAATTTCTTTGTTATCCAAGCTACACTGTACTTTATTGAACAGTAATGGCGGCGTGGGTGTTGTGTCGCCTACTTACCATTAGCGAATTTCTGATCATTTAGAGCTGCATATATTGGTAATGGTGAATTTCTCTAGAAATTAGTGTGTTTATATTTTAATTAAGAATGTTAATGTTGAAATATGTCAGGTTATGATACTATGGACGAAATTGGAGGTTATAGAAACGTTGTAGGTGTCGTTCTTTAATTAGTTCATTGGACAGAGACTGTATGTGTTTCTTGAAGCAGAACGGCAGTATAAATGCGCCAATACTATTTTTATGTAGTAGTTTTGTAACCGCACAAAAAAATGGCGGATATTCTGCGTCTCCTTTTTAGCGATACGTTATCTGAACATATATCCTGCTGTGTTTACTCCCTGTTATCCACTATTAACTTTCTTTGTAAATTTCTATATTCATTTTTCAATCTCATATCTTTTATTGCCTTGTTATATTTATGTATATATAAAAAAACAGTATTATTCCTCTTAATGCACGCCTTGGCGTCGGCGTGCCCAAGCCGCGCCATCTTGATTATAGTGTACAGCTTTGGAGCAATGTTGAAATCAAATAGAGTAGATTAAATTAAAATATGGGTAGGATATATATATATGTGTTCTTATTTTCAGATGTGTCTTTTAAAAGTGATCAGTATGAAATAAATGTATATTTATTTTAGGATGGTAAAAATGAACCTGAACATGTCAGGAAGTTATTCATCGGAGGACTGGACTATAGAACAACTGATGATTCCCTCAAGAAGCATTTTGAACAATGGGGAGAAATTGTGGATGTCGTTGTGATGAAAGATCCAAAAACCAAAAGGTCACGAGGTTTTGGATTTATCACCTATTCCAGAGCACATATGGTGGATGATGCACAAAATGCACGACCGCACCGTGTGGATGGTCGGGTTGTTGAACCGAAACGTGCTGTACCACGTCAGGAAATCGGTAGACCAGAAGCTGGTGCAACTGTAAAGAAGCTGTTTGTTGGTGGATTGAAAGATGATCATGAAGAAGAGGATTTAAGGCAATATTTCCAAAGCTTCGGTAGCATAAATTCAATTAGCATTGTTACGGATAAGGAGACTGGGAAAAAACGAGGCTTTGGATTTGTTGAGTTCGATGACTATGATCCTGTGGACAAGATTTGTCTTCAACGTAACCATCAACTTCGAGGAAAACATGTGGATGTTAAGAAAGCCTTGAGCAGAGCTGAAATGGCTTCTGCGACGGGTGGTGGCGGCGGAGGTGGTAGTGGCAGTCGAGGAGGTCAGGGAGTTGGACGTGGACCTCGTGGTGGGAATCAAGGCGGTGGTAACTGGGGAGGCCGCGGTGGTGGCGGTGGTGGTGGAGACTGGAATAACGGAGGAAACCAAGGTGGATATGGAGGTGGAAATCAGGGAGGTTGGGGCAATCAAGGACCCTGGGAAAATCAGAATCAAAGTAGTTATTTTTTATTAAATAGATCACTATAAACAAGCTTCATTGTCTTTGATATTAATATGATCTTATTTTTAGGTGGTGGTTGGGGTGGTCAAGGAGGCCAAGGAGGCTATAACAGTGGTGGTAACTGGAGTAATGACAACTTTGGCGGAGGTTATCAGCAAGGATATGGTGGTGGTCCAGTACGAAATAACTTCAACTCCGGTGGACGGCCAGCACCCTACGGTATTAATATGGGTCCTAGTGGCCGACAATCTGGAGACTCGAGATGGCTACCACCCTTCGGTGGACAAGGTTGCTTCCCTCCTCAAAAAACAACGCGTCAGGCTCGCGCCTCCAGCATATCCGGACATTTCATTTTTTGTTTTAGTTAAATCTTATACCTATCCTACGATCTCCGTGAACGGTGAAAATTGTTTTATAGGATCTCCACCAGCATAGATGTTTTAGTAGCATTTCCAAATTTGCTTGGGGACGGAAATGTCTGATTGTGGGAGGAGCGTGCCAAATTGATCTTAAATTTTCGGAGCTTATCAGTAATATCATTAACCTCGTTAACGTGAAGACATTGGAACGTCAGGAATAACGTTAGATAGAGAATTTCGATCGTCGGTTGTCCCATTTTAAAATCCATCAATCACGTAAAGCAATTACTATTTGAATCAAGTCACTCAAAATACCTTTCTTTTTAACTGATAAATGCTATATTTGTTTTTACTCAAGATTATCCTGAAGAATTGCTCAAGAAAAATATTTCTTTGCTGAGTAACAAGGCGCGATGTTACAGTGAGGAGCGCCTTTGTCCACTCTTTATAATTCTTTCCTTTTTCTCTGACTTTTCTAAATTTTTTTTTTCTTACTCTCTTGCTACAATAATTATTATACTACGTTCATGATACTCCCAAAGTTCGAGTACCTTACTTAGCATCTCATTTTCAAGCTACCACGAAGAATGCTGAAGGCAACTACAGACGCAAGGATGAACATTCGCGTACGCACAATTTTTTCTTTATCTTTTCTAACCAATATATAATAGTTTTTCAAAAATCATTCGTGCTTTTGGGATTATACTGACCGACGTTAATTCACGTTACGGCTTTTCTCTATACAGTAAAATTAGTCGTAACTCAATTATACGTTTCAGTATACTAATGTTTATTTTCTCTTTGATCCGCTAGGTCCAATGGGAGGTGGCAATTCAGGTGGTGGCGGTGGATACGGAGGTGGCAATCAAGGAGGCTACGGAGGCAATTCCCTTGGTGGTGGAAACATGGGAGGCGGTGGTGGCGGTGGCGGTGGTGGCGGCGGTGGCAGAAGATACTAAATTGATCAGGAAACTCCCTCAAACGGTGAGTATCATTTTAAGGCGTTTTTATATGTGATGAAAGGAGATATACATGGAAGAGCACAGAGTTCGATATATTCGCGAACTGATTTTTGTTTTATTGTTTTTTTTTACCTTTTTTTTTTACTTCACTTTCATTTCGCAATTCTGGGGCACAGCCCGTATTTCTCTGTGCATTATTAGCGTTGAGAGGGAAGGAGCATGTATTTCTCAGTCGCATCTGTTCTCTTGCCATTTGGCAAGAAGTCAGGATGTCATTTACGCAATTTAATTTTTGGAATGGGTCTTGTCCTCGCGTTACCTATTGTCTCTTCCTATTTAATAATTATCCTTGTGACTAATAATTGCGCGCTTTTCCTCTCGACGCGGATAAGGCGAATTACGAGTTTCACAAACTCGTTCCTGATACATACTTTTTATGAAATATTATTTTGATGGCACAGTATAAAACCACGGACATTGCGTGACAATTAGGAGACAGAGTCCTTAGTTTGGTTTCAACAAAATTTAGGTGCTCTTTATATATTTTACAAATACAAAAAAGATAATCCCAAAATTTGTATACAAGTAATGACACTCGATTAAAATGAATCTCGCTATTAGCAATACAAAAAGCAAGAGCCCCGATCGAAAGGAAATTTTAGATTGAAGGATTGATAATAGTTTTAATGTCGTACAACAATTCTAGATTAGCAGTTTTAACGTAGGCCATCAGCATAAGGTCAATTTTATTGGTAGAAACGCCAAATTATACATTGATAGACAATATTTGCGCTTTTAAAGAGGCATAAATTTCCTTTACGTCACTACGTTTGTTTGCCAAAATCTCTTATTTACTTTCATTATACTCACGCGTAATGCATGTTACTCGCAGACACAAGATATCTTTACTTTTGTCTTCTAGTTACGTACACGGATGTTCCTTTTTATACAAAACTTAATTCATTGTTTGTTTTTTTGTTTTTTTCTTTTTCTATTTGGTCGAACGATCCTGTTTGTGGGGCTACTATTTGAAATAAAAATGCGGCTCGTATCACGAAGTGGTGCTTGCGGTTTTCATGATTACCATAATCCAAAGCAGAAACCGTAACGGAATCCGGATGTTTAACCATCCGATGTTAATTTACATGTAAAATCAAAAGAGCAAAGACCATTTTAATTGTTGAAAAAATTTCGTATAGTCATATCCAATCACAAACTGGCCCTACAAACTGAGCGATCACAACGATACGATACTTTAAACATACATGTATATATTGATTATACATAAAAGAAACATATCGTGATCAAAATTTAGGAATCGATCTGGTACACGAGACATATAGATGCAAGTGTACTAGAGAGAATTCCGTTTATAAGAGTTTAATCTAGAGCTTATAGAACAAACGTTTAACAGTGTGTTTAGCCGTTGTTAAATTAACTTGACTAACAGATTTGTGACTTTTGAACCTCAGGTGACCCCCTACTACTTGTCTTCTAGTCGCCAGTACTTCTGTACTGTTTAGTTTGGAGCAGGCAGGGCTAAAAGGCTAGAGACAGGACCAGGCAGGACAATCAGGATTCAGGACAGAGAAGCGTCACCCGTTTAGCTCGCAGTGAGGGAGGCTTAAGCCTGTATTACATTTGGTACCTAGCACCTACCGCAAACGTGTACACGTGTTCGGCCCACCATACAAGACAAAAGTTGTATATCCGCAATTTTATAGACTGCTTGCACGCCCAGTGTAGCACGTGTACCATTTGACAGGAAAAGAAAGGCAACAATTATTTATGTTATGATTATCACTATCATTACCACCTCCACTACCACTCTACCATCGTTACTGATGCCTACTATTACCTACTACTATCATCACCATCACCCAGCATACATGATATACGCTCTTACATACACAAGGAATACATATTTAACACTTCACAATGAATTTCATCTGTATTCCGATCGATGACAGTAAACATCTCGTGTTAATCCGATTTTATGGACTCGGATATCCGATTGTCTCCTTTGATCGATGACACAGGTCGCTCGAAGGTGACAATGAATCTCGGAAAATCGTGTCATGTATTAAGGTCGCTAGAGCACGCGTTGCTTCTGGATTACGTTGGAAATCGGTTATATGTTATATAATTTTACAAGAAAAAAAGCTACTTGCGTCGTATACAAAATTAAAAGCGTTACGGTCAATGTAAGAATCGAGAAAATTCTCCTTTTTTTTCTTCCTTTTTCGTCCAATGTCGACGAGCACTTTATTTTGGGTTAAGTCAGACTCGAAGGCGGTGATTCTTATATAGACCAAAAAGTGCGAGCGAGAGAGAGAGAGAGAGAGAGAGAAAGAGAGCAAAGGAAAGTAAGGCGTAATAACGAGAGCGAGAGTGAGTTTGAATGGATAAAGAAACAAAAGAAAGAAGAAAAAAATAAGAAATAAAAACTGAAGCAGTACGAAGGATAGAAAGAGAGCAAAGGAAAGTAAGGCGTAATTTCGTCCAATGTCGACGAGCACTTTATTTTGGGTTAAGTCAGACTCGAAGGCGGTGATTCTTATATAGACCAAAAAGTGCGAGCGAGAGAGAGAGAGAGAGAGAGAAAGAGAGCAAAGGAAAGTAAGGCGTAATAACGAGAGCGAGAGTGAGTTTGAATGGATAAAGAAACAAAAGAAAGAAGAAAAAAATAAGAAATAAAAACTGAAGCAGTACGAAGGATAACAAAAAAATATATATATGTTGGACAGCATTTCGTAGGTTACCTAGGTTAACCGATTTAACTTTTAAGTTGTAATGTTTTAAGAGTTAGATAATAAAAACGACCAGAACCTTTTTCCACGTCATTTTTTAATTTACGAAGGATAACAAAGGAAGGAATTTAACGAAGTGTACCATGGGGGAGTGTCGTGAGAGGGAGGAAAGAGAGAGAGAGAGAGGAAAGCATAGGTTTAAGTCACGTTATGTAGACACTTTTGAAAAAATTGTAGTTGACGGGATAACTCAAGTATTAAAAGGACAAGCAGATCAGGAATAAGGCGTAGCTTGGTGAAGCCGAAAATAAAAAGAAAGAAAGAAAAGAAATAATTAAATACGGTTTCGATAGACGTTTACTACAGGAATAAATTATTATGTATAATAGTAAAGGATGTCTGTAATATCTGTCAACTGTGTGTAGCCAATGGAAGCACCCTCGGGGGCTAAGTGTCAATGTGTAAACACAGTATTAAATAATTTGTACATAATCAATACCCACGACCAATCTTCTGTAGTTCTTACATCACCTAATTAAGGTACATGAATTTATAGATAAGAGATACGTGAGTCTACCGAAGAGCTTGATTAATCATAAGTTAATGTAAAACAGAGCGTGAAACGCCTTTTTTTTTGGCAATTTCGAACTTTTAAGAGTCAGAAAATAAAAAATAGACAATAGTCAAATTGAAATTTTGTCTCGTATCCGTATCAGAGATATTCGTTGAACGTTGTTTCATTGTACGTCAGACGGTATTTTTTTTTTTTTTTTTTTTTTTTTTTTTTTTTTTTTTTTTTTTTTTTTTTTTTTTTTTTTTTTTTTTTTTTTTTTTTTTTTTTTTTTTTTTTTTTTTTTTTTTTTTTTTTTTTTTTTTTTTTTTTTTTTTTTTTTTTTTTTTTTTTTTTTTTTTTTTTTTTTTTTTTTTTTTTTTTTTTTTTTTTTTTTTTTTTTTTTTTTTTTTTTTGTAATTCACGTTTAAGACTCACGTAACCCTCTCGGGTAAATTCATATGTTAAAGATAGCACGTTAAATAAATACATAACATGATTCAAGAAGAAGGTAGCTCAGTGTAGACGCTGAAGGATACCCCCGGCTGGCATCTAAGAATCGTTGTGTTAGACCCTAGTGCCAACTTCTATTACTAGCTTGATGTTGCTAGGTTGTACCTCCCTCCGTCTCGAGAGCCCAGATACCCTGGACAGTGTCACGTGAGGCAGTGAGAAAATGAAAGGAGGAAAAAGAGGGTCTCTAATACCGCCTTAGCTAGCCATTATCTAGCGAGGAAGGATTTTTGTAGAAGGATAATAAGAACGGAGAGGGCGCCCGAGGACAGAGAAAGACAATGATAATGAAACTAGTGACAGGCAGGTAGCAGAGCAAAGGGAGAATCTAGCCTCTACGAAAGACTAGACCTTGCTAGGCCTATCGCTAGCCTTCTTTAATAGGACGACCACAGGTAGGAGAAAACCTAGATTCATCTAATTTCATAATCGTACTGAGATATACGAATTATTAAGAAAAGAGTGTATGCATGACGTTTAGTGTTGCTCTGTCTTCTTCTCTATTAATTCATGCCTTGTACCACGAGCACAGTGTATCGATACGCGTCTTGTTACAGCGAATCAAGACTCTTGCATATATACGTGATATCTGTGTCCGTTGAGAGATTTATCTCATAAGAATCCACGCAAACAGTCACGTCTATCGTTAGGATGCTGTGGCTACTGTTACTCGTAATTGGGATGACGGGGAATTGAGGATTTCGTTAGACTTTTAATTTCATTTTTTTGCTTCTTTGTCTCTGGAAATATTCTTTTTGTGATAAATACTCAGGATGACGTCACGCAAGCATTCGATCATAATTTTCAAATTTACTGTCGCCGACGAAGAGAACGATTTGATTCTATGCTTTTAAACAATCAGATGCGAATAAGAGTTTGTGGAATGCTCGAGGTAAATTTCAACATGGGAGGAAGGATATTTTGTAATGTTGTAGGGAATACGTGTGATCGCGTAATAGTAATCGTGATCGTTAATAGTGTCATATTTTTTTTTCCTTTTTCTTCCTTTTTTTTTTTATATTTGTTTTCTCCTAAAGGAAGTACCAAGGCAGGGTGACTCATTGTCATTTATCGCTTCTTTGTTTTAATTTTTCTGTATTAATTGTTGTCTTTCGTTTTCATTAATTTCTGGTTTACCGTTTGGCCCGTCTACGACGAGAACGAACCCCCGTTGCCCGTCTACCTAAGCTGCGTTCAACCGCCGTTGGAGGTAAGTCTGCGTAAGTGCGAATTCCTTCACTTTTTTTTTCTTTTTTTCTTTCTATACACCCTGTATACCATTATCGTGTAACTGTATGACGTAGCTTTAAATAGGCTATGCGATTAAATCTGTAACTTATACGTATTTTTATTGCATGCTCGATAAATCGTATTACTGTACGCCTTGTTTATTACGGATTCACGATTAATTCGTCTTCGTTGATTCGACATAATGTAACTATTTGCCGATAGCGTTGAGACATTTGTTATAAATTTTTTTAATGAAAATACCGATATACCATTGTCAAAACTAATAAACTTTCTTTCAGTTGTAATAAAGCGTTTTATGTCATTTTTTTACAAACCTTCCATCGATATAAGCTACTAGGATTAATTAACGATGTAATATGGCTACAAATTGTTAATCAATGTATAAGATTTTTGTGGATGCAGGTAAACGGGATTAAGTATTTAACTTGGCTTTAGATACAATAAATTAATTTATTATAATTATTTCCTCGCCATATTGCATCCCTTGTTAATGACAACACGTGATATCGTTTTACAATGAAATATTAATACATATGTCAGGGATTCTTGAATTTTTTATATATTATATAATTAATACCTCGTGTACGGTAGCGTGTTCTTTTTTAAAAATTCTTTAAATAAATCATATAATACTTTCTACGTCTTTGGTTGTATTTTTCTCCCTCGATTATCAGACGCCTTCGCTAGCTTCTGGTTCCAGTTTGTGAAAGTCCTTCGGGAAGAGTCCTACATCGGTGAGACGGCCGTCGGTGGATTATCTGACGTTTCACTACCGCTACTGCTGGGCTGTGCCAGTTCTGTACTTCCGGCGGATGTATGGGCGGCGCACGTGTGTCCAGCAATACCACCGACAGTATCCTTGTAGAGGCAAAGTCCACAAAAGCCGGCGTTTCCGTATACTGGAAAATTCACCAGTCCTGTAGACATGGCGAAGTTGCTGGAATAATGAAAAAAATTAAAAATTACCACAACTATATACGTGTCTATATTCCTTTCTTTACGCGTCATTAAACTACGGAACTTCTTTTTCAATATTTTTATATATCCAATGACTGCTGACTTCGCTCAAGTTTACGTATGTAAGTAGCAACGAGCAATGGTCAAAATATATTATGTATACACATCATCTGAGACCATCTAGCGGATGGATGAAGACATAAAGTAAATTGGGGTGCTCTACGAGGGTGGTTTAGAAACTATAATCCAGAAGGGTATTTATCTCCGGGAAAATATCTGTAGGCAAGAGCACCTGGTGAGGAGTATCCTCCATTATATTGCCGTCAGACACGCCATCGTCATCAGGATACAATTAAACGAGGCTCGAATGACGAACGTTAATTCTTTGTCTTTGCGATCTAATTGGCGTCGAGAATCGCAGGGGGGGATTCTAGTGGAAAAGGAATAAAAAAGGGAAGAACGACTAGGACACTGCCGTAAGGGATGACAGTGTCCAGTTATTTCGTAGGGCGTTTTTTCGTAGACAAATTACAAGATACACCCGCTAATAACAATGAAGCTTTAACGAAGCGTTAATTGGAATCGCGATAACCAACACGCAACATCTAACTAATAAATTAGGTCATAAAACACGTACTAATGATGGTTCCTGTTGGATACGTTTAAGCGACCTAAAGAAAATTTTATCGTCTTAAAGGATTTAGAAAACTATTTTTCTCTAACGATCAGAAGTACTTCGTTCTCGTGTAGCAGTTAAAAATATAATTCCTATTGTCTGATGAGATTAATTATCCTCCAGTAAACGTTCTTGAGGTAGTGAACAGATTAGGAGTCTGCAAAGATCTTGAAAAGGAACGGGACTCGGATAACGCAAAGGATCCATTTAGCTGTGGACTTAAGAGCGAAATCGCGTGTTGCATTTCCATGGGCTTTTATAAGCCTAGACCAATATCATACAAGACGCCATTGCATAAAGATCTGACCAGGATTTGGATTTGGATTTTTCTGACCTGGTCATCAGGATTTGAGTAGAGAACAATTAAATTATAATCTCATAAACAATTGTTAACTATGTGTAGTTTCACGTGGATATAACTTAATGATCTGTATCTGACAGCTAATACACATTTACTATCTCTGGTCATCCTGTCTCTGCTTACTGTGTTGTAATATGAAGGGTGGACAAGAATCGGCCGGTCATGGGAATCATAAGGTGTTCCAAGTTCAATAACAATGGCGGACGTCATCCACTATACCAAGCATATGGTACTTCACGCAGCAGCCTCGGAACCCCAGAGGATTCATCCAGCTAAATCATTATCTTGTCATCCCTGATGTATAGCTCGACCGATCAATTTATTACTTGAGCCATTAGTAGATGCGTTTTACTAACGTGCATTTACCGTGCTTGAAAAACTTCATTTTTACATTGCTTATCTCAATTTTCATAACACGCTGTCGGTACTTGATTTCCTTGCCTTTGGCACAAGGGATAAGTGATCGCAAAACCCCAACTTCCGGTGAACAAGTGTACGAGGCACAATGGCATCACGCACGCGAATAATCCTACTTAAGGCTATTTAGGGGTGTCTCACACCCTTAATTCTAAACCTATCGCGAATCACAGTCAAGCCCCGCCTCAATCTCTATTGCTGTATTATTCTGCCAATCTGCACCTGATTTCTCTAAGCGTGGTGTAAACCATAGATAAACCTATGGATAAACGTTATTCCTGATTCCACACCATAGATTCTATAAGGTGGTCTGTCCACGTTCCCACGTTAGGGTCTACACGTCGAGAATTACTTTGTATATAGTCCACTGAAATGTAATATACACAATTATATAGTATAGTATAGTCTTATTTTTCTTAGTTTACCGGTATTGCTGATCCAGCTGTGCTTTTTCGATTCTCTTATCTTTGGCTCTACGATTCTGGAACCATATCTTTATCTGAGTCTCCGTTAACCTCAAAGACGCTGCCAATTCGAATCTTCGACCTCGTGATATGTATTCACCACGGCGATACTCCACTTCCAGGCGAAGAGTTTGTTCCCCGCTGAACGTCGTCCTCTGCCTCCTGGGTCGACCCTCCTTTCTTCTTCGACGAGCCACTATTAACGTTAACAATAAAAATCATTTATTCTTTCTTTTATTGATTTAATCTGTCAAGTAACTTTATTATGCTCGTGTGTGAATCGACCTTTTTTTTCATGTAACCAGACCGTTGAAAACGATCAAAAACTTTCCTGCTGTTCTAATGGGAACTAGGCCTAACCTAATGACTTGACGCCTTAGCAGCTGTCTCTAACAGAACGATCCATTGTTTGAGTTATGCTCGATTACCAATTATCAATGGAGAAATAAGGATCGACTTACGATCGCCGGTAAATTATCAATCACAATTAGACAATTTTATTACTTTCATTCTTCAGTCACTGTTTTATATAAACGTTTAATTGGACACCGGATATTTTCACTGGCCTCCGAATCTTTATGACGTTTCATAGCAGCATTAAGCACTTCACTTAATCTTACAGAAACTACATCAATATACCAATTTTCAAACGATCTCCACTGCGTTCAATAAAGCTTTGCTAAAATGGCCTTTCAGCTTTTATTTATCCGGATAAAGCATTTTCAATTTAACGCCAAATACCGCGACACCTCTTAAATCCATTCTAATTTGCACTACGCTAACCGCCGAACAGTCCAAACAAAAATTTTCAGATTATGAATTCACATTGGATGTCAACCCTATCAACAGAATAATATTCTACACGAATCCTTCGACGGTTTAAGTGAATACAATTTAATATACCGTGAAGAGAATAATGCCGTAAATAAAATATTCGTTCACGCGTTATTAATTCATCTGTAGGGTAATTGATTGTGTCAGCTAATTAAAGTCTTTCGGCCGGAACCATTTAGTTTTCAGATGTTTTTCGTGAGAACAGACACGTGTCATAGGTACGTATCTATCGAGTGCTGTATATTCCCAGCTTCACTGAACTGTACTGATCTAACACCTGGATACGACTGATACTAATTCAATTCGAAGGACATACAATGAAGGTATTACTAATTATGGAAGGACCTGTACATAGAAAGAGAATCCAAACGTGTCCAGGTTATGTGACGTATCAAGGCTCAAGCAACAATTAGTATCCTATTTCCGTTCCTCGACCAGATTGCGAAGCCTCGAGCACCCGATTTCCGGTATCACTTACCCACATCCTAATTATCCTACGAAGTGGATTGCCGAAGTGGAGTACAGTTACACGAATCAGAAATTCCCCGCTAAGCTAAAAATAGACCGTACTAATTTTTTAATTCTTCAAATTCATTTTGTACTTTTCTCGATTCAATAATCTATTTGAATTACGCGGCACGCTACCCTAGCGGATTCAATTAGAACGAAATCTGCCATTAAAAATCCTAGCCATAGAAATGACATGTGATGATCGTCCTCACTCAATAACTTAACATGTGCCGAATTATTCGAATGAAAAGCCACTCATTAATTTCTAATATACAAAGTCACAAGAATCTCCAGTAAATCAGTAAAAATTATAATTATACAAATAATTTCTAATAGCGTGCTATTATCGTGTGGGTTTTTAGTTAACGTGAAAGACCAGTGTAACGTTGTTGTCAATAACGATAACAATTTATTACACCTCGGTGAACTCATTGTCACCTGATCTGTTTCTCTACCTCGACATTCAATTTGCAATTAGGGCGCGCTAGGGACTTTGTTATTTATTAATCTACCCAGATCAATGGTTAACAATGATCGTAAAATTGATTCCATAACCTAGTAACTTTATACAGATATATATTACAGATTCGTTATAACAAGGGTGAGTGGTGTCACTTAGCAGCGTTGAAATCTCTAAACTCAACCAGGGGATGATTCGCACTCTTTCTCAAACAACTCAAGGTAGTGATGGCGCCATGACAACGGCTTAAAATCGCACGCGGTTGTCATTCATGGAAAACGAGAGAAACACGGGGGTTGAGAAAATATGGAGGGTGTTGGTTATATTGTACATTGAGATGCGGCCAACTGCGTTTCGTAATCTCATCACAATATCGCTACGAGGTGGCGAGGCGCGATAAATCCTAGAGAACGTATTGGTGAGTTTCCGTGCGAATTTATTTGATTGTTTGTTTGTGACAGTATATTGAATTGGCGTTTACGTCCAACACCAAGTTGACATTACTAACAAATTAGAAGACACATTGATCGAGGACATTATGCATAACAGAATTATCGATGCTGGATTTTAACAGTGATTTTTGGTAATCAAAGGATGTTTAGATTTAAACAATTTATTAATTGTATGTTTATTATAAATTTGCATAGATAAATTTGTGATATTTTCTTTAATTTCATAGAATTAAATGCAAATCGCGAATTTGACACTGCATGGATATTAAATGAATACGTTCAAACCCATATGCATTTTATCGTGTCTTTTGTATATCGAATCGACATATCCTCTCATTGTGAAATAAATTTTTTTTTTAAAGAAACACTAATGCAAATACCTTGCGCAGAGTATTGGCTATTGAAAAATATAAAAATCTCTACAAAATAAATTCTACCAAGTGGATATTTGTGGTATCATATAGAGGTGTACAGTATCGCATATCCTACAACATAATACTGGACAAGCCTTCTTAGAGATTTATTGAGAAGAGTTTCTACATCTTTTCGTCTCTGACCACAAAAATATATAAAGAAAGAGCGAGAGGGAAGGAGGGATCCAAGGATCCTCTATTTATATCCTGAGTCCTGTCCACGGTAGGAATGGTAAACAGATTTCACTGAGTCACAGTACAGCATCCAGGATTAAGAAACTTCCACTGGTCTGATTCTTGGATAAGAAAATCCTGGATGAATCAACGATTTTATATTTTGTCATATTCAAATCACCCGTGTCATTTTTCAGAGAAAATATAATCCGAAAGAAACTCACGAAAAGCGGAGAAACCATGAAAATGAGCTTCGGATCCCAAAGGCGGTAAACCGTGAAGATGAGGCGGAGGAGGTCCGACATGCGTCAGGTGCGTGAGAGGGTGCGTAGGGCCGCCAGGAAAGAATCCGTGCGACAAAAAAGGTAAACTCAATCCTGGTAGACCAAGTGTCGTTCTTTCAGGTCTTCTTTCATCCTCCTGGGACACTCTTGCACATCCTTCCGGTTTGGGTATTAACCCTTCGGAGGTTTCCGCGTTCTCCGGTGTACCGGAATCACTTGGGGAACCTGGTGAATCTGTTCTGGATCCTAAAATCTCTGTTGAATCATCGTCCTTGGAATCTTTTGAGTCTTTCGACTCTAAGTGACCATAAATTCTTGCGAAAAATCGTCGCGGCGAAGATGGCCGTGCTGTTGATTGCGTCTTTGTTGCCATTTTATTATGAACTCTCTTCAATAGAAAACACTATGTTACACTCATTATTGAGACACCGAAAAAAAAATATGCTAAATTTTCATTTGTTCTATTAAAAATCATTCATTTTTAATATTCGACTTTTTTATTGATTTAATACATGATTTATTCATTGACTACCTTGCAGTGAATTTTCAAAAATATTTTTCATTCTTATATTCTATGTGGCACTTCACTTGTTTTTTTTCTCTACCGATTCTTATATTACTTTTTATATTTTCACTAATGTCACGATCACTGGTAACACTATACTGAGTCTTCCCAGCCACTTTTTACTTCTCACGCTATTATTGCTGCTGCTGCTACTTTTGTACAACTGGTTGATGTCCGATTCTCAACAATGTTCAACTCTGTTCACTACGGCGCAAAATAGTCGGTTCACAGATCTGAATGAATGTGCATCACCATTCGCTCACATCGTGGTTTGGTATGAAAATGGAGAGGGCTAACCATAGCCTTCCCTCTTTTCTGCCCACGTTACTATACCAACTACATCCCCACTCTATGGTGCTCGCTTAATTCCCCGATTAATACCGACCCGCCCCTTTGATATCGTTTTACATTTTCCTGATAATAACGGATATCTTATGGTTAAAATAATCTACAACAATGAAAAGCGTATCAACATTTTTATTTGAATTTTTTAATATTTCTCAAATTAATCTATCGTTGAAATGTTTCAAACGTACGAATTTAAGGATTAAGTGAAAAATATTTATTTTTATAAATGTTTTGTGCATATTTAAAGTTTTTGTTCGAAATTTTTTTTTCCGGGTAAATAACTCTGTTTTGAATTATAGACAATTTTTATAACCAAGATTGCTACTAATGTAGCTTCATGTTCATGGTTAACTGCGCAACGGGCAATCTATCTTGGTATTCTTTTTCTTCAATTGAAATCCTGTGCATATTGAGAGGATGCTGGGAATCCTTCTTATTAGTAGGTATTCCTAATCTTTTTCTTTTTCTTTTGTATTCATCTCTTATTCTCGCATCTATACACATAAGATGATAGATATGTATACCAAGAAATGTGAATACATTCCAAAAGCAAAGTAAACGATTAGTTTTCTTTTTTCTTGATTGGTCAAAATTTCAATGAAAATTCTTGCGAATAAAGTAAAAAAAAAAGTCACTAAATTAAAATTATCAGCATAATGCATCTCGCTTAGAAGTAATGTCAAGCAAGGAATGCCGACACTCAATTATAAAATCATTCTGATGAATATCAAAAAATTTTATTAATAGAATTGAATACATTGGAGGGAGAATTTAGGGATGAGCCGCGCATGAACCGTTTCTCTTATCTCCTATTGGACGTTTCCAATTACATCGATTTCTTCCCGACTCCTCATTGGTCCTGCAGTTAAACTACGTCCTCCTACATTATCAGAGAGTTAAGGAGTGTGTATAATTCCCACGATATATTAAAACTTTATAAACCGCCCGCAAAGCCGTCCACAGTCCAATAAAATAATTAAAAAAGAAAACGATATATTTTTACATTAGATATATATCATTCATTTTTTCTTGACACCCCGTACATAATAGCCCAAAATTTATCTTGAAGTTTTCCCCATGCGTCGCACTTGTTTTTCTGTCACTTTAAAATTTTTAATAGGTTTATATAATTTCCTGTGACATCCACCATTGAAAATGGGAGATAAGATTTTCCATACCTAAAACAAAAATGGCCAGACTATGTCAAGCTAGAAGTTCCCCATTGCCAAGAATACACAGATCAACAAGAGAAAAGAAAAAATGTAGAAATGCGTCGCGACGCGTTACTCAGACTGCAGGAAATTTTGATATTTGTTCGAAATATCCAGGAGGACGTATGTATCTCATTCAAATTTTATTTTTCAGTATAATTAATTTTTTTTATTTTTAGGCAATTCAAATTCCCGTACCGTTACACAGTACCAGTCAAACCTGGAACTAAACGAATTGTCAAAATTATTAGAAGTGACCCGAAATGTTAAACGATTGAAAGAAAGGTGGCTGGCATTAGGTTTCTTTTGTGCACTGGCATTTATGCAATGTTGCATTTGGAATACTTGGGGACCGATAGCAGGTTCAGCCATGATGGCATTTCCTTCTTGGCACAAAAGCCTTGTGGCTCTTCTTTCGAATTGGGGATGCATCACGTATCTTACGTGCTGTTTTCCATGCTGTTGGCTTCTATATACGAAAGGTATATTTAATAATATTAACTTCGATACTATAGTCATTATAAAGATTACTACTTAAAGGTTTGCTGATCCCTATTCGTCTGGCTGCTATATTATCAAGCCTTGCAACTTTTATACGATGCTTGTCTTCGCAGGAAATTATTTTCACCACGTATGTATTTTAGTTTCTCTTTTTGATACAAGGTTAATCAAGCATTTAAAAATCTGATTCTTTGGTGTCCTAGAACAGCGCATATCGCGGCAATTTTAAATGGTTTGTCTGGAGTAATAGTAGGTCCAGCAACAGCTCTTGTATCTGGCATATGGTTTCCTAGTGGGGAACGCACCACGGCTACTGGTAAATATTTAAATATTCTTCGTAAATGAGACATTTCATTATTTTTTGAATTATTAGGAATTTCGGCAGCTTTCAATCAGCTGGGAATGGCACTGTCGTACTTAATTGGGCCTGCTATTGTTGGGATCCCAGTATCTAATGCAACTTACAGGGTATTTAATGTTACGGAAAATATAGTTTATGCCAGAAAAAAATATTCAGTTCATTCAATGCCAAGGATTGCCATGGATTCCGACGCCATTAAAATGTTTCCCAATGCTACGTTTGATCATGTCGCTCTACGCGTTCAAATCATGTCGTTCATGAGAATAGGTAATTCTGTCTTTAAATCAATAGATGATAAGTTTTCTTGTAAATAAAGACAAGCCTTTTTTAATAGAAATGATAGCTCAGTTATTGGTTCTCTTTGGCGTTCTTTGGCTTTTTCCAAAACAACCTTATACGACTGTAGAAACTTCTACTACGCAGTCATCTCACCTTACAGTGTTGGACTCCATTCTCCGTTTGCTTAAGTAATTATCAATTCTAATTGATTACGCATTTCAATGTCACTGAATAGTTCATGCTGAGTCACAAATTAATACTGGTTTTTTACAATTTTATAAAACTTACTTAAAAAATGCTTTCTCGTAAAAAGTATTAAAGTCCCTTTGGCGCAGAGGATAGCGCGTTGGACTTCTAATCCAAAGGTCGTGGGTTCGATCCCCACAAGGGATGTTTCCTTTTTTTTTTTATTAATGATTTCGACTCCTCTTCTCCTTTTGCAAAGAAATTTTTGTGCATTCATTATTGCTTTTTATAAAATCTCTTATATTATTTCATTTTATACATTTTTTTAAGCAATAAAAACATGTGGCGGTTATGCCTGGCTGCGGCTTTAAGCCAAGGAGTTACTGGACCCTGGTTAGCAATGATTACGATGACGTTCGGGCCAGCTGTCACTCAAGTAAATATAATTTTGTATCGACAAATGAAACTTCAATTATTAGAATTTATTATTCGTTTAGGATGAGGCGGACAGGCTTGCTTTTTGGACTATTATATGTAGCAGTGTCCTCAGCCTTACAGCATCCAGAGTCATGGATATATTTCAAGGACATCTCAAAATCGCCATATATACGCTTCTCGCAGTATCATCGGCGATGTTTCTCTGGGTTCTTCTACTCGACAGTCATATTCTATCTTTTCACAAACATGAACTTTACACTGCAGTGATCTTGGGTATTTCCGCCAGCTGGTCGACTCCTGCACTGTTTTTGGAACTGGCATCCGAGATTGCATTTCCCATTTCTGAAGCTATCGTTGGCGGTTACATGATCTTCCTAGCTAACGTAATCGGCAGCATGTTTTACTTTTTGTATTTTGTGCCAGAAATGGGTAAGACTACTATTGACTTATAAAGCGAAAAATTAAAAAGATGAATTGCACGCTTTCTTGTCATATTTCAGGAGAACATTGGTCCAGCTATTGTGTTTTCGGCAATCTCACCCTGGCCTTTATTTTAGTGATTTACGTGAAGGAGGAATATAATAGGACTAAACTGGAGTAAGTATTGCAAAATACGAACAAAGTTTTATTAGTACAAAAACATTGTTTCAGCATTACCAAAACGAAATGTCCTTATCTCTTAACTGATAAGGATCGTTGCTTGATTCTGCAAGAGAAGCGACAAGAAAAACCACGTCTCAAGCAGCGTAATAAAATAGTCAGAAATTTTTCTGAGAATAAAGAAAGGTTTTCTTTAAATTGACACATACGTATCCAATCTCATTAATAAACGTTATTATTCATAGTTATATTACGTTCTATTGTATCTATTCAATTGCAAGATCGGACGTTGCTCATTTCCGATGATTTAAAATGATTAAGATTGCAGTGCTCTAAGAGAATGAATTAAGCTTTCCTTTGTTTTGAACAATACTCCCAAGAGGATAATTTGCTTAATCAAATATCAATGAAAGTTTCTTATAGGAATTGAGATTGTTTTATTGTCCTATAATGACAAAGTTTGTTTCACTTTTCATAAATATTGAAATTTAATTTAAATGCTACAAGCAACATGGCGGTCAGTCGATAAAAATGTCAGTTGTGTCGCCAGTGAGTGTGAGCACTAAATTTTAATAATGCGTTCCTCTTATTATAAATGCCATTATACTGATCCATCATATTCAACGATACTGTGAGTTTATAGAGGTAGAGACGTCAACGAAGAACTGTGCAACTCCTTATTAATTTCAACTAAAATGGAAAGACAAAAGTCACGACAGGTAAGGTTAACCACACGCTGTCAATTATATTCGCATTGTCATTCAATCCTTGAAGCTTATTTAGAAGCATTAGCAATTAAGAAAATGACAATAAATAATCTAGATGATTGGATACGTCATACGTTGTCGATTTTGGCACGTTATGCATTGACGTAATATATTGCCTTATTTCATTTTTTTTTCTGACACTAAACATCTTTGCGTTCAGCACAGACTGACGAATTTACGTTGTATTAATTTTTGAAGTGTCCAATTTTCTTATTACTGTATATATAAACACGTGTTTAATACTTACATTCAAATGGCACCAGTAAAACAATGTGTACTATAGAAGAAGAAGAGAGAGCGAGGGAGGTCCATCACTTTGGAGAGCCAGATTCCTGATGCACCAACTCTGGAAGAATTTGAATGCCTCCTTGGAGAATCTCCGACAAACTATCCCAGAGTAGAGGCTGTTGAGAACATGGAAAGTGAATTACATTCGGCAGCAATAGACACAGAAGTATATGAGAAGGAAGCTGCTGAAAGAGAGGCCAATGATATGGAAGACAAATCGTATGCAGAAGATGCTGTTACATCTTGTATTGATGAAATCGATGAAGTAGATAATGAGATCACTGTGGCAGCAGCACCAATGAATGATGAGTTTGAAGAGAAAGTAGAAGAAGTTAGTGTAAATGTTTCCACAATTCAATTGCTAGATGTTGCTCCAACTGCTCCAGTGTTAATCAATGATGCTCAGTCTACTAAGTCTCAACAATTTGTTTCAAAATCAGTGGAAGTATCAGAACAAGAGAAGACTACCTCTTTGGAAAAACAACCAAAGAAATTACAAGAAGTAATTGTAAATAAATATGAAAAACCAAAAGTCACTTACAAGGATGTCAGACCTTTCACTGAGACACAGTTAACTGCGCTTTATACAAATCAAGAACTAGCCCTATCCAACCTATTTATAACAGAATTTGTGGAGACTCAACTACGAAGTAGTGCACTTCGTCAGCAACATAGATTATATGAACTTCTGATGAATTACCTTCGTGTCAGAAATCACTTGATCATAAACTCCCACGAATTGGAAAGTCTAAAGCGAATCTGTAAGGAAACTCAAAAACAGCTCTGGTGCTTAGATAAAGCTTCTATAACAGAAACCGGAGAATGTCAGGATGGGAATCCAGTTAATGCCACCCACGAATATTCAATTGCACATTTTAATCAACAGACTTTAAGCGCACTTTCTCGAAATTTATCATCCATTAAAGACTTGCTACACAATACGCAAGCATTATACTGCTATGAAGCAGAAATGCTGAAGATACACATCGAGCACTATGTTCAAAGAGTTTGTATTTCTTGCAAAGAATTTGCCAACCTGGCTCAAAATGCTCCTGTAAGTCTAGGCACAACGCAGACCCCGCCTCATATGATGCCACAACTAGCTGAATTGAGAATGTGTACCACAATACTTTTCAATTTCCAAAGAAAAGTACTGAAAGACGGAAAATTTGTATCAGACACTAGAGAATGGTTATCAAAGCTCGTAGCAGTGCTCCTAAGAGTAGCGAACTGGCAAGATCATCTTTTTCTACTGAATCACGTCCTGAGATGTCCTGGTGGTGTTACCAATTGGGCAGTCGGATACATTCAGACACCAGTACCCCTTCGAAACAGAGGATCAAGTAGTTCTCCATTAAACGATCCACACTTGAATCATATGATAACAATGCTTGCTATTATTTTGCTACCAGTTAAAGAGAGAGATAAATTTCTCGAACAGGTATGTATATTTTATAAGCTAATTGATAAACCTTCTTTAAAATTAACTATTCACATTGAAGGTTCAAATATCACTACAAGACACTAGTAACAGTCCTGGTGATACTGTATGGGTTATGCTCGACGAGGAGGGTGAGGACGATGAAGATATTGCTAACATAGGTGCAAATTTACGGGAGAGTGATCTTATTTCTCTACTTCATCAAATACCCTTGGACAAACTGTTCGAGCAAGTTCTATTGGTAGAACGACAAGATGAAAACTACAGACAAGATAAAAGTGCTGTGACGGAACATCATATATTACGAATATTTGCATTCTCTACTGTAGTTGTTCGATTATTACGTCAAGGTTTGAAGACATATGATTCTCCTAGATATCGACAATTAGCTAAACGACTGAGTGCACTTATCAGAGACGTAGTACAGTATGCTAGTGATCAATGGGAAGCCTTTGATAAAAGACAGGTACAATTGATAAATATTTTAAATACTTTTAATTATTTTAATATAATCTAACGAATAAATATATTAACGCAGATAACAGATCCATCGATACTAATAAGACTACAGACGGAATACGATTCTTTCTTTCTGAGGGCCGTCCAGTGTATATTTTCTTCGCGGCGGTTAGGTGCTTGGCAGTATCTTGCTGCTATACCCTATCACATTGTATCATCTTCTACATTATGGCATATTTTCCATATACTACACACCGACTCTTCTTCTGCGAATTTACCAGAGTCTGAAATATCCCCTACTGGTTAGTCAGTAGAATATAATAGTAGCATATAACTAATGTTCCTTTAATTTTCTCTGTATAATTTGTTACTGTTTATTATATAAAGAGTGGGAAACGGAATTGAATTCTCTAAATCTACGTAAAGAGTTTGAAGAAAAATTAAGCAGCATGGCAGGAGATGAATCGTATTTCCTTTTAACAACCTTTGCCAATATGGCAATGGCAAGACCTTATCAAGATTATCAGTTTGTACGAGCAACTACAATTGATTTATTTCAAGTAAGTCCTTACACCTTTTTCTTATGCGTTATAAGATTCTAATGTTGATATTATTATACAGATTGGATTTCTCAGTGAGAAAACACAGGAATCCTGTTCTAAGGATGCTCGATCTCTTTTATCAAATTTAACAAGCAAACATCCGTCACTCCTGTCCGACATAATTCACAAGCTAAAAGATAATTTTGTCACAGCCGGCAAGGTAATATTAGAATTTGATAGTGGGCCTCATTGTCTGGGATCAGTTAGATTAATGAAGCATCTTACATTTACAGTTAAGTTTATACCTGTTCACTGAATTAAGAATAGGAAAGTGGATTCCTGGAGACGATGACTTAACTATTATTTCTAATTGGTTGCATCAGCACCCGCTGTCCTCTACAGAAAATCATTTAGCACGCCTTGTTTTTAATAATCTGAACTGGGGATTTGATAGTAACGACAGTCTATACCTGCCCATAACATTACACAGACGTGTGGCTTTGCTAGTAGTCGAGCTTACAATGAAGTACGTACCGGATAGTCCGGCACAAACAACCTCTCTATTAGCAGAAGGTGTTAAACAGGTACAGATAATGATTAATCATTATCTTCAAATTATTGCAATTTACTGGACTTTACCTATTAAACAAATCTGCAATAGGTTTCGTCTATGGTACGACCTCAGAGTAATGAGCACGCATTCACATTGTGGGCATGGGAAATGATCTCTAGATTACGATTGCATCAACTTGATCAATCAGACTCTGCATCTCAATACGCCATATCAAATCCAGCTGTTGCCTTCTCGAGGTTACCTGATCTAGACTCAGACTCCTCATTGGAAAATCTATTAACTGGCGTACGTGAAAAGCAGCCTATAGCTTGTTACGTCGCAGCACTCATGACTACATGGGGCCACTCAGTACCGTTGATCTGTTCTAAGGGTTTTACTCAGTTGCAAGTTTTACAATGTTATTATAAGTACGAGCAGGTCTTGATAGCGTTGCATAATATTGTACCATTGTTCCTGGACTGTCACGATTCTTTACTTAAGAATGAAAGATTTGTCAGCCTCGTTATTTCACTGGTCACTGCCGACAGGACGTATATGAAAATGGCTAAGAATCTTATTACACCTGAATTCCCAGGACCGATACTCAAACTATTTTCAAGTATGATAGAATCCCATATGCAGAATTACAAAAGGTTATTGTTGTATATCGTACTGATACCTAGTTTTAAAACAGAGCTCTATGGTAATATGTTAATATATATATTATTCAGGTTTTGCCAGGAAAGTCCTGAACCTTTAGTGAATCTTTGGCTAAATGTTCTTGTAATGGTGCCTGATTGGAATAGGGACCAAAGTGTAATGTACTTGATGGACATATTAATACGTGCTGCCTTCTTTCATTTGAATGCCAGGGCGACAACAGAGAATATATTCCATAATCTATTTACGGTAATTACTTTTTTGTTTCTTTCACTGCTTTTGGCAATTTCACCCTTGAGGATACTCTTTTTTTTTACAATCTGTCTACGAAATGCTATGAACTAATTTCCCGTTTTATTAGCTAACAATAGAGGGAGGTAATGAGGTATGCTTCTTTGCCTTTGACATGTTATTTTTTATTATTACACCAAATCCTGCTCCTATGTGTAGGGATATGTTTTGTTTTTATTAACACATTTAATATCGTAAAAACTATAGACTATTATTAGGGTTAATTTAATTGACTGTATTGTTCCTCTTTAGAATATTCCTTTGGGCCGAAACTCTGGATCTTTTGGATCCTTCCTGAGTTGGGCAACAGGATCCTCAAACTCACCCAGTCTTTTGGGAGGATCTATACAATCAGTATGGCTTGCCTATCGCATATTGACTACTGAGCAGGAAGATAGGGAATTGAAAACTGGTCTCTGGCATGAAATTCTACGCGAATTATTATGGCAAACTAAAGCTTCTTTGGACATTGCGCTCAAGGTAGTATTATTATTTTACACTGAACGTTTAATTTTAGCATAGAATGTATTTATAATGTTTGAAATCGTTTTTAGAAAGCATGTGCTACTGTTAAAGTGCAACCTTTCGGTGTGAATGGATTAGCCATATACAGATGGTCTCAACAAGCTCTGGATACTCCAATGGATCATCCTATCTTGCCTTTACTGTGGCAAAATTTCTTTACCTTGTTTTTAGCGAGGGCTCCCAATGTTTCAGGGTGAGTGTCCCTTGTATAATATTGATATGACTGACTTAATTTACTTCTGAATCTTTTAATATAGCGCCGTTGATCGCGGTGGAATAGGAGACAGATTTTTTGAAGGGATGATTAACCTGAGTTACTTGAAAAAATTAAAAAAGCGCCTTCATGACACCACAGAATACTTTCAAGTTAAGGGTGAAAAGGACCTTGATAATGAGAGACCAATTACGGACGAGAGACGAGTATTTTACTTCAATGCAGCAAAGTAAGTATACTTTAATACAGGAGGTACACGGATCAATCAAGATGTGTAATTAAATTATTAATTTAGATTCTATAAGACATTGAGCTTATGGTTGGAGGAACCAAAACTGCAAGAATCCGGATTATACCTTCCTGCGTTACCGCCACAATACATGTCACAAAAATTGATGCTGCTCCTACAAGGAGATCGGGTATGAAATTTATATTTGCAATTAAAATATTTTCATTGGTATCTTAATTAATAAGAATTAATAACTTTAGACTCCTTGGTTGGAATACGTTGATTACTGGTCTGTTAAGCAAAGTCAATTAAAACTCGTACAAGAATGGCAACGCAGTTGCTTTCGCGATATCGATGCCCAGTATCAAAAGACAGCACATACTCCCACCACGCCGCTAGAGCCTGCCGATCCTTTACACAGGATCTTCAGAAGACTGAATACATATGAACAACCAATTCCACCACCTGCACTGAACAGAAACAATCTGGTCGTGAATCATATATCCAGAGACAATTTGTACAATCCAGATTCTGTTGTGAATCTTATAAAGCCACATCTCAAAGTAATCCTTGATTATGCTCAAACATATAATCTAATGGTATCCGAACATACGGCTGTGGATTGTACGTTTTTAGAACTTGTACCGACTTTGTATAAGGAAATTGAAAATCGAGTCACTTTACATGCCTTATGTGATCCTGCTCCTATGAGTCACAAAAGGTCGAGGTCTGGAACGCCACCTACGGTTCACTGTGCTGGACCTGCCGTTATTAGAATTAAGGTACTAAATTGATGGACTTAAGATAGTTTGTTTGAATTGAAAATTTATAGTTTCTTTAATTGTATAGGTAGCAGAAGCTCGTGTTAACGATGGAGTAGATCATATGATCAGTCAGAATAGAGCAGAGTATGAAAATCTGCTAGTGAGAGCAAGTCAACCACCTCCTAGTAAAGTTACTCAAGGATGTGTCTTTGCAGATCATTTGATAGGGTAGGTATATATTTTAATGTCATATGAGTCGACAATTTTAATAAAAAACAAATATTGATGCGTAGACTCCTTGAACATGAATTAAACTTAAGTCGAACAAGTGAAAATTCTACGATGCTCAAGAAAGTTCAGGAAAGTGGTGTAAAGCTCTTTTATCACTTGGTGGACTTTTATACGGAAGAAGTATCATTGTGTCCACCAACCAAACAGCTTATAACCACATGTATCGAGAAGCTTGGCCAGGTATTTTTGGATAAATAAATATTACATCAGTTATATATTAACATTGATTTTTACTTTGCCTAGATATTTATCAGTGGAGAAGAAACTCAGGGTCCACAGTTACTAAACACAATAATGCAACGGCCTAATCTTGGCGGCCTACTGGGCCCACATTTTACCCCTGTAGCAGGTGGCGCCTCCACCTTCTTACAAATGTATCATACCGTAGTAGAATTATCCACTGGGACAAATACCGATTTATGCTTCGTCTTATTATCCAAGGTAAATATTACAAAATTACCATAATTCATCCATCAACAATATTGAATGATCGGCATAATCATTTATCAATATTTGTCATAGTTTGATGTGGGGAGCTGGCTAAATTATAGAAGACCAAGACTCAGTGAGCGGTCAACATTCATTGATCTCGTATCAAGAGCCTTGTGCAATGTTGGATTAAATCCTGAGGAGGAAAAACTCATACTCCACGAGGTACTCTTCTTTCATTCATTTAGATTAAATTGATTATCTTAAAATACCTTTGCTTGTTATAAAACTATAATAGTTCCTACTGTATATACGGTAAATCATTTCTAATCAGCTATTTCGCAATCACCTACGGCTTGTGCTTCTACACGAATTTCCTGAGCATTACGGTGAAGTTTTAAGTGCTGTATTGAAAGGCAGTGAAGGTCAAAATCTCTCGTTGGACGTATGGCGAGATTTATTAGGCGCATTGAGTGGAAGATCAAAAACCGCGGCGCCAATTCATCCTACAAAGGTCAGAGATGAGATACGCCGTTATGCTACGGAACAAAGATTATTATCTCGTCAAGAGGTCAGTTTGTACAATAATAACTTTATAAAGAACGTGCATTAATATTCAGCATGTACAAAGTTACCTATAGCTGAATAATAATAAGAATAGATAATTTTTTGGAGGAACCAATAACTATCAGTGGGAAACTTTCGATTGTTTCAGATGCACGATACCGCTGTACTATTGAGCAAACACTTTATGAAAGAACGTCTACAGTACGGTCTTTACGGTCTATATCCTAAATACAGAGTATACAACGAACCCTTATCCACATTTCTTGGTATGGTTGGACACGCCCTTGTGGTTCTTACCTTACATTCTGACAGAGGATCCCTGGCGGATCAGCGTAAGTCAGAAATTAGACAAATTCTTTCTCGTATACTTTTATCACAGATAATTAGACTAGTTTATCATTATTAGTGTGCGAGAAAATATGGCCTGTACTGAGCGAAATGTTCGCTCCATGGATAACACCATACTGGACGAGAAATTTACGCGAACCAACAGCAGCCTGGATTCAACAGTTAACTGATGATAGATCTGTGTTATTACCATGGATAATAACAGATGGACCATACGCTAATCGAACTGTGGCCATGTTCGTTGAATGCATTAGATTTATTATCGATACTATGCCAGCATCCAGTAAAATTCTTTGTTACCTGTGGCAGTTCTACGTAACGAATTTCGCACATGCCTCAGTCAAGGAACACATTCTTAATGTTATTCATGGGAATTTCTTATCGTTGCCGTGGGATAGATTCTCACCTGGTACAGGAGACGTTGAATTTATGGTGAAAGTAGTTGATCAGTATTTACCTGATAGTCATTTATTTTTGGGAAGTGTATTTACCAGTGTTAATTGGCCATTGTGGATTAACGAGTTATTATCCACTCAGCCCCTTCCTGTGGCAGCCAGGATGTATATATGTTTATTAAATTTACTAGTTAAACTCTCTAATGAGCCTAATGTCAGACAGGTGAGTCTATAATGTTAATATTATAATTCAAGGATTAGAAGGTTACATTTTACTTTGATTTTATAGAATGATAAGGCTATTCAACTGATGGTAGAAGCTGAGAAATTTGCCTGGCACTTGGTTGATGCTACTGCTTATGATCAGGTAGTCAATTGGCATGTGATGAGCTGTGACCCTCGAGCCATTCTATGCCTGGAAAGTGACCAGAGTCATCCGATAGATGTGGCTGTTAATAAGTAATGATAGCTTCTTTATATTTTCACCAAATTAATAAGGATGCAATCAAGAATTAAACTTCTTTTTAGTTTACTCAAGATTGCTGCTGCGTATGATCCGTCTGTAACACACTTCCATCCGACAACCTTGAAGAAGAGGCAGATGTATGTCAGGTCTTCTGTGAAATTGCTAGTGAATTGTACAACTAGATATAAATCACTTTTATCCACGCATCCAAAAGCTTTTGTAAATACTTTAACAAGGATGCTGGACGATATGGAAAGTATAATCACAAGCAGTAAGTATAATATTATGAATGGTTTGAGGAAGAAAATATACGTTTTGAATTTTCCAGCTGTATCAGAACCACAACAAGTTTTAGAAGCTGGTTTATTAATTACTGAATTACTTCACTCGGTGAATCAAAGTGGATTACTGGTAGAGCAACTTCGAACTAGCTGGGCACAATGGCTTTTAGAAAAATCTGCTAGTAGTCCTACACTTATGGGGATACTGAGAGTTATAGGAATAGCTGTGGCTTCACCGTCTACCTTAGGAGAACTCATGGAAGCCGCCCTGGATGCTTACTTCAAGCACAACAGTAAGGAAATATTAAAATTAAATATTGACAAGCAACAAAATATATACTGTTATCCTTCAGTTACAGAGGACTTGAAACCAACCTGGTGCGCTGTCTTAACTATTCTCCAACCTGTGGTGCCTCGTCAGCCACCTGTAGAAGGAGTTTTAGTCGCTGAAGGTAGACTCCTTGCACTCTATGCACTGTTTTTGAAAAGACTGCCTTCTTGTCGAGATATCAGAGAGGAAGGAATGCTTCTTATAAATTTAATAGATTGGATTGCTGCTATTAAACCAACGTGAGTACTCAAATTCTAAGCTACTTTTCATACCGATTTATTAACATTAATTTTATAATAGTGATACAGTAGAAGAGAAGTTACCTCTGCTATGGGGGAAAGCTTTGGAATTAACCTACAGACAATGTCAGTACAGTGAAAATACAGTAATCGCTGCGAGAGCCTTGAAGGGTTTAGCTCGCGCATTACTAACCATGGCCGACGATGCTGGTCAGGGCTGGGGTATATTGGGAGCCATTGGTATAAGGAAAGGCTCTCAGCTATCTATCAGGTAACTTGACAATTAATGTCGTAACTCAGGTAGAACTTCATAAAGTTTCAAAACTTTAATAGAAGCTTCCATGTCCTTGCAGATGCAAGTTCCTCAGTAGAGCCTTAGGAGTGTACTGTCTGGCTCAACTTCCTGAATCAAAATCGGAACAGCAAATAGTACGTTACACTTCGCATTCTCCAGGTGTAGCGCCCACGAGATCTACCGACAATGACGCCATGGAAATTCGACCCAGCGCTGACGCCATTAAAGCAATGCAGAGTTTGGAAGCTCTTTTAACGAATAAACAGTATGCAGAACTTAAAGGGGATATAGAACAAGCGATTAAGCTTATCAGAGACTCTGCGAATTCACTTCACAATGCTGTAGCTGTCGCTGGGACTCTCACGGCTGAACTTTACACTCAGAGATATTTGCATGTTTTAACGGAATAATGGATGGTACTGTCCCTAATGAGTAGTACAGATGATTTCGTTTACGTGGACTAAGAACAAGATAATAAGGATTTGTTTTTATTTCTTATCCTCTTTAATCTTTTATATCATTTCAATTTTGTAATTAACCAATTTAATCAATTTCATTCGTACGAATCTAGTCATTAGTTGCTACTCTTTGAAAATTGGCGTTCTACTATTTCTTATATTCTTTCTCTTTTCTTTTATTGAGTTCAAGTGATAATCCAGTGCTCACATTCATATGTATGTTGTTCTTTAAGTTAAAACAAATCTGAAGGCTAAGTTTAGGATACATCGATAGGAGACTGCGACTTTCCAAGACATGTTTTTTATCAGGACAAGACGTATCTTTTCTCAGATCTTGCAAGAGGTAAGCGTATAACTGTATACCTGTGTACCATTGAAAAAGCAGGCAGCATCTTTTATGGCAGGTTTGGGATCAAAACTTGATACTGATGATACAATGACAATTTCTTAAAACTCACGAGATGCACTGTCTTACATTTAAGAAAAGGTAAAATATGCTAAGATGAATAAAACAAGGAACATGCAATATCTATTCTATTCGTAGAGTCTCTTTTAAACGTTGAAAGTGTTTTGACTTGAGACATTTGCACCTTTGCAAAATCTATTTAATAACAGTTGGACACAGTGATCCATAGTTCAGTATAGATCACTTGTATGGGGTGAGATATTCTCTTTAGCATTATTGAAAAAGATTTGATATGCTGCATATCGTAATTACTCAAAAAATTTCTGTACGTACATATTTCGTTTAAGGTAAATCCGCATACTCGGAGCATTGTGAATCGAGTAAATAGAAAAGTTAATGTCTCGTGATTATCTTGTTATTGTCACACAAAGACTCGACAAGCTCGTTGCGCGACTTTTACTTGTCATTTCTCTAATAGGCATAGAATCATCACTGTGCAACGATCATGATCACAATGATTGTTTAGTCGTTACTAATTTAAAATGTTTATAACATTTTTTTAACTGTTAAATCAAGACACGACCACTTTTAGTCGCGGTATAATATTCACGGTACGCTTTACAGTATCCCTTATGCTTGGCCTTAAACCAGGCTGTGACCATTTTTTGAATTAACTAGTTGTACATTTTAATAGTATATAGGCTGTGCCGAATATAGTTTTATTATTTGAGGTTGTATTATAATAATATATTGAAGAACACATGCTATTGATATGTTGTTAATGTATTTATTGACAAAAATATTAAAATACATTGCAATCTGAAAGTAGAGCATTCAGTATAATTTGATTAAAACACCATTAACAATAATAATTTGTAATTCATGCTGTCCGTATTGTAAAAATCCTAATTTTCATAGCTATTACTATTGCTTATACTAGAGCATTAATTAATCTAAATTTGATACTATGGTTATACTAATTTTAACTACTTTTTAATACTTCCTCTTTTGTAGCAGTTCGCAGTAACTGTGATGCTTCACCTGCTGGATATTCTATTAAAGAGCATTGAAACTCGTCTTTAAAGGCATTCTTGAATATTGGTATTACTTCTTCGACAGTGACTTCAGCATTAAGCTCTTTGGTGATGCTCGTCACACCCTTACCCTTTATACCACATGGAACTATGTGTTCGAACCATGTTAAATCAGTATTGCAATTTAAAGCTAATCCATGTGTTGTGATATAGCGACTACCATGAATGCCAATGGCACAGATCTTTTTGTCTTCGATCCAAACACCAGTGTCTGGTGAAGTTTGTCCCCTTAAACCAAATTCTGCACACAATCTTATTATCATTTTTTCTATTCGACAAACGTACCACCTAACACTTGCTTTAAACTGCCTCAAATCTATTATAGGATATGCTACTAGCTGGCCAGGTCCGTGAAAGGTTATGAGACCTCCTCTATTTGTCTTATAATACTCTGCACCAAGTTTTCTCAGCTTATCTTCATCTTCCTGAGTATAGCCTGTTGTTCGTATTCCAATTGTGTACACGGGATTGTGTTCTACTAGAACTAAAGTATTTCGTACTGCCATATTTAAATTTGTGTCATTATGATGAGAGGTCAATGCTTTTTGCAGACGAAGTCCTACTCCATAACCCAGTCTACCAGCCCATAGTACTTTTACTACTTTCTCACTCATTTTAGAAATGTATTTTAATTTGTACTCAGTCGGAAGTATTAACTTTTATCTTACTCGTGATCAAATTCAATCAAATTTCATAATTTTCCTTTTCTAATTTGAGAGCGAGTTCATCGGCCTTTTTTTGAATTGTTTGATGAAGCAGCAATGAGACCTAAAACAAATATAAAATGAATGTTTCATGTTACTGTTATTGAATTCTAAATATTTTAGCTTTTTTTAATCGGTCTAGAAATAATTTTCAGTAATGAAATTACGTACGTAGGCGTCTGTTGCTGCATAAGCTTTCTGTTCTTTGCTGAGCGGCTGAATATGCCACTTGCTCATTCGTACGCTGGGATCTTTGCTGATTTTTTTCTGTAACTGTAATAAAAGAGCAATGCACCGTTTTGCAATTATTAATGGATATGTTTTAAATCATAACTTCAATATTAGATTATTAACTAACCAAATACGCCGTTAGTTTTTGCAAACTCCAACGGCAGGAACGCTTTAGGATGCTATTTGCAAATGGACCACAATCAATACAATTGTTCTCTACAACTTGCTTTGCAGGAAACTCTTTAAAATCTCGTCCAAGTTTCCAAACATCACTGTAAAAGTTATAGTTTTCAATAGGAGAGTGAATAATTAGTAATTCTAATATCGGACATAAAAATTGTACCTACTTTTTAATGTTGACACCGACTAATCTAACTTTTGGATGTTTTAACAGCACAATGAGAGCTGCAGGTAATTTTTGCAAGTCGTAGAGATACAACAGATGACAAACTTTGTCAGAAAGACAAATCTGAGCCAGTGCTGTCTTTCCACTGCCTGTTTGAAAACTAAAAGGCCATTCTAAATCAAATCCTATAGGTACAATATCATCCTTGCTGCTCTCTACCTCATGTCTAAAAAAAAAAGTACGACTTTCTGTAATTTCACGTTTTTCAAAGGTGAATATAAATAATGAATACCCTTACATGATACCGTCAGAGACAATGGCACAGCCATAAAAATCATTGACATAATTAATAATTCCTTTAAATACAATGGACGGCAGGGTGGATATATCAGGTTCCTTGTATGAAATTTGTTGCTCTACCTTTTCCTACAAACAAATTCTATATCTTTATTGGTACTCGTGAGAGGATTTAGGAATGATGAAGAGTACTTTTACTCTTCATGATTTCCATTTTCCACAAGAGCGCAGTCACTCCTGTGCCAGAAAACTTGAAACTAATGGAACCGTGAGAACTGACAATTCACAAAGAAAAGTATTCGAAACACTAAATATAACGTACATTCTTTATATCAAATCCTCAACCATTTTATTCATATATAATAACAAGAAAATAATACATAGCATACCTTCAATAAATCCGGATTGTTTCTTGGTGATCGTCTTAGAAGTTTACTTTCTTCTTTAACAGCATTCTGAAATATCGTTGCCTTCAAGTGTGCTCCAAAATTTATATGCACCTACAAAATCCAAGTACTAACCTTGTTCGTTTTTCGCGTATAAGGATAGTTTGCGTTCCGTGTCTGCATCATAACTAATAGCAAAAACGAATTTTACTCACAATGTTTCACAAGATAACGCTGATCTGTGGTTTTAGAACAAATTTTGAAGTTCCCTTATTCAGCTGTGTAACGGCTCCACTCCGTAGGTCACTTGGCATTTCCCGCCAATAAAAGTATAATAGTATGTGTATACACAGATTGAACATTTTCAGGACCGTCTAATAAAAATCCACAAAAGGTCCTAGCACATGTATATTGTACAATATTAACTGATGAATCAACTAAATCACTAATAAAACCATTGGAGACACATTGATATCTCTAATCATATTCCCCATTAGAATATAATTACTTAAGTTGATTGGACCTATTGGCGTCTGTTAAGATTCACGTTAGGATAAACGCATTAATTCCATTTATCAGACTATTTACACTGTACAGTACCGAATTGCACGAGCCCAGTTCAATAGAGCGTATCGGCATCAAATTCCCTTTTCACTTGAAATAAAATCTCACGAATTAAGATAATTACGATTTGATGATGATTCCATACCATTTCGCCTCTCCATTCCACGATTACCCCAGCAACCTAAATAAAAATCTAAAAAAAGGATTATAATTCGGTATGTACAGATCAGTGTATAATAATCATTAAAATAAATAACACTACCTGTTGAAGAAAAATCATCGTATGAAATTCTAAGAGCAATAAGTCATCAGGAAATTGGGGAAAGCTTAGAGGATGGCTCTGACAGCTCTTATCGTCATTTAATTTAATGATTACTACGTGGAAGGGTACTCACAATCTCATTCAGTGTTATTACTGTATCCTGTGAAAAGTGTCTCCTATCGAGCGTATCTGAGCCAGCGAACGAAAGTAATCTAATGATTCAGTTTCTCGACGAATGCAAATGCAATTATTCCCGTACCTAACTCACGTGGAGAAGACTGATCTTATGGTACTAGTACATACTAGCAGTAGGTATCAGTAGGTAACGGCAGTATAGCTCTTCCTTTCTTTTATGCCAGAGTCGATTGTACATGCGGTTTCACTTTCTCATTCTATGTCTTCTCCTGACAGATACACAGCGAGATCTAAATTCACATAGAACAGAGATCGATAACGTTCGCTACTTATCTATACCTGCCAATTTCAAAGCTACTATCTATGGAAGAAACTGTATATACAGTACCATTAAAAGTTACTTACAAGATTGTATATACTTTGTATATATATATGGACAGTATGTAAATTAATGCATAGACTTTCATGGCAGTAAAGTAGAAACGATCTAAATGACTAAATGACTGTCTTGATGTTAAAAAGAGTTAAACAAAGTAGGCTGCGACCAGGTGAAAATATCTTCATTCTTCAATAACCTCTAGTACCTGGTAACGATCATCATTAACGAATCTCCATGGTATAATACAACTTGCAGTAAGAAACGTTGTAAATGACTTTCGATACTCTAGAATTTTCTCGATGATCGTTTTCTAACGCGATCCTATATCGTTGTTACTTCGGGTCAGCATTAGACTAGGTCTCAATTATACTGAACGTTACTTGCTTCTGTGCACCCTCAACTTTCCAACGTGGCTTGGAATCACGAAGAATGATTTCATGATGGGCTTCTTTCCCTATTGAAATTTTTATGGCAAAGTTTCAGGACGACTCTATGAAATTGATGTTCTTTTATTTTCCCTCTGGTTATGAGGATCTGAAGGAACGAGAGTACATATCGGAGTAATTATTTTAAGAACTGATGAATCACGTTACCAAACGTTTCATGACAAATCCTTTTTGAATATTATTATAAAAAATTTGAAATTTGAAAAAATGTATAGTCTGTTTTTACATCAGACATCAATTCCGTGGATGGATCCATTAATCTGATGCTTTGTTCCAGTGTTGAACATCGCAGCCAAGGTACAGTATGAGAACAATGGCAATGTACTTTTACATCGTTTTAGCCCTAGGCCGGGGTCCTCTTCAGGTGATTCATTTATGAACGACACAGAATTAAATTGAAATAAAATGCATGGATAGCCAATTTCGTCTTTAAAAAAGAAAAAAAGGACCTAATAAATCCAAAAGAAAGTGAAATTTTATAATAGTCATAAATCTCGTTAGAAAATTATGAATTTGACATAAAATTTCGCTTTGGTTAGATTTCGCACTCCCGGGTAGGCTCCCCTCCTTACAGAATCTACAACGATAATAACTTTCCTTAGACTTCTTGGGGATCGTTCACCAGGCTGATCATCCGGGAGGATCATACCACAGTAGTATCCTCGTATTCACATCGTGATCGGCTCTCTAGTGAGAATGTTCGTTGGCTCGTGAAAGTGCCATTACCTCAGGACGGTTAAGCGAGTGCCATCCTCTTATTTTTGAAGGATGTACCCAGGTCCTTTGGTAAAATAAAAAAACCGCTGGCTATACATACATATATATTTTACAAAAAGAAAACGTAAAACAAAATGAGGTTTCCACGTGGTTTTACCGCCATAATTATTATCGCCCTGGCAGGAAGTACCTCGTCGATGATGAAGTCAGGTCGCGACGATCATAGCAGTGAGTACAGATAGTAGGATGAGCTGTCATACGTTATAAGAATATATGATAATATTTTCTCTAGAGTGTGGTAGACCTGCCGTGTCGCAAAGACAACCACGATCGACAGGGCGACAGCCACGACCATCCACCGGGCGAATTTTTAATGGGAAACCAAGTAGACGTGGTGCTTGGCCTTGGCAAGTGTCACTTCAGCTACTTCATCCTAAACTAGGCTTCATCGGACACTGGTGTGGTGGCGTTCTGATAGATTCAAAATGGGTACTCACTGCAGCCCATTGCGTTCACAAGTAAGAACGACTTACTGCATATTGATTGAGAATACCGGAAATGCAAGACAATGAAATCTAAAGGCCGCGAAACATCCTCTGATTTTCTGCCCTCGTTTTCATCCGATATCAATCGCCACCAGTATTATTCTTGACTGCGATTCTTAGAAGACAGTTCTATTATATATCAGTATTATCTTAAAATTCAATTCCAATATTTCCTTCGTTCTCATCATCCACTTTTATAAATTTATACTGCTCATAGTTTCTCTGAATAGTTCCTGTGCCATTTGCCAAAAGTTCAATATTAGATCTACCGGAAAGTTCTGTCCGATAATGTCATCTCAAGTCAATTCAAAAAACAGACAGAACTTTCCGGTAGACCTAATGTTTTGTTATAACATTGAATTTCCTGCTTTTCCTTGTCATACGTTATCCATGTAAAATAATATCCCCATAGAAACCGCAGGAAGTACCTTTAAGTAAATTCGCGCCTACGCATAGATTAACTAATTCATTTTGAAAATCCCTGTATAAGTATTATTATATATATGCATACCTTCTATAACGACTAGACAACAATTAGTATATCCTTATTATATTTTTTAGTGAACTTTTCAATCTACCTATCGGCGCTCTCTGGACAGCCGTTTTGGGTGAGTGGGAATTGGATTCCGGTGGTCGTGGGTCAGCACGTCTTCCAGTGGAGAGAGTGATTCTTCACGAGCGATTTAACAACTACGTTCACGATATAGGTTAGTACAGACAAACAAGAAAATGAGATTACAATCTGAAGTAAAGTTTAACCAAAAGAAAATCTTTTACTCGTAGCACTGATGAAGCTGAGCAGACCAGCGCCATTGTCGAAAGTCGTAAGAATCATATGTCTTCCGGAATCGAAAGAAAAGTTCACTGACGCACAGTGCGTGGCCTCGGGTTGGGGTCGTTCAGGACCATCGCCGTCGCTCTCATCGGCGCTCCTCGAAGCCAGCGTGCCTTTATTGAATCTGGAGGAATGTAAAAAAGCTTATGGACAATCGGTTCCCATTCGTGGTGGTCATCTCTGCGCTGGACATACTGACGGCTCATCCGGAAGTTGCGTGGTAACGCGATTTAGATTCGCTTTCCAAATCGTGGTCACCTTGCAGGAACTGGAGCACGGCTTTGGTCACGGTTATCCTCTCGTTGGCCACGACGTACCCCGATACGCTTACTATAAAATTTTGCAACGTAATCTTCCAGCGTTTATTGTACAATCGTTAAGATCGACCCAAACACACTTTAGAAGATTGCCTAGTGGCGTCTAAAATTCAATCTGGTGCGAGGATCATTGGTCCTCGCCCTTAAGAATCAGAATCGTTCCCATTCGATTAGTAGGATTAGGATCGATTGACCTTGTCCAAGTAAACTTATCTGGTGCAGTACTTAGAATTCTAATATCTTCTTACACTTTCCTTTTACTCAAGGGTGACTCTGGTGGACCTTTGCAATGTCGACGAGCGGACGGTGATTGGCTGCTGGTTGGTATCACTTCATTTGGATCAGGTTGCGCAAGACCAGGATATCCTGACGTCTACACAAGGATACAACATTATTTAAACTGGATAAAGGATACCATGAATGCCGATGCGAACACCTGAATTAATTAATTAAGCGACTCTATCGAGAACTGTGATTTTGGATACTACGTCGTTTACGCGTAGGTGATACAAACTTGTATATAAGTCTAGGTAGTTTTATATTTTTTTAATGAGAGTTTAAAAATTGTTTCGTGCCTCAATATGTTCGGTACAGCTAATGTCCAGTATGATCCTAAGTGTTCTAGTAAGGATAATAAGCACGTACCTAGAGACATATATATATATAATACACTGGTCTAGTGTGGTAAGTAAGAATCTGTGTATATTGACATAAGGATCAATTACGTCCGAATCTTTATCCTTATGTTTACCAGGACTCTGGATATCGGAATCCTTCCAAAATTCTTGACAAACAATATCCCTGGTGTCTCTTGACATATATTTCTTATAGCTGGGACTGATCTTGTCTTCGAGCTTTGTTATAGAGTATTGATAAGCGTACGTGACTTTCATTCTGTTTGCCAAGAAATTGACCACGATTTTGGGGGATATATATATATATATATATATGCACACACGTTAAGGGTGAAGATACCCTTAAAGATTTCTTATTCATGCGAAATCAAATTCGCTAACTTTCAAAAGAAAAGTCATTTCCCTGAGGGCTCACGGTATTTCAATTTGAAACAGAAAAATCCATTTGAGCGAGCGTCACCTGTTGTATCTGGATACGCCATCTGAACATCTGCATTTATATAAGTACCTATCTCACGCCTCTCTCAATTCACATTGTTGCGTAAGTTCAAAGCGTACGCCCAGGAAGCTATGCTACTGCTATACATTGATAAAATTAGATATATCGATTTACCATGCACGTGTGTTCACATTCATACATATCATGTGCAAACTCAGGCTCGAGAAGCTACCTATGAGTACTCGCGGTGCATACTCGTAATTAACTTAATACGGCCCACTTAATATGCATACTAGATTGTTGATAGGCATATATGATAGTCTGGTAAGTTTCAGAAATTTGTAATATACTATAGGTATATACTATGTAGCAGTACTGATGAAAGTATCAGACAGTGCTCTAAGTGTCAGACTTTTAAAATAATTCTACTGTTAAATTGGAAAGTCGAGAAAGTTTATTGTACGTTAAAATCTTTTGGTAAGAGAAGAAATTTTTATTAATATTTTTCGATAAGGCTAGAACTGAAATTATGATATTTTATACTTTTTTTTTTGGAAAGGTTATTCCATAATTTTACTAGAGAGTATGTATAGTGCATTATGCAATTTCTGTCTATGTTTCTACTAGGTAAGTTTTAAGTGCAATTAGATACTTAATCCTATTATAGACTGTTTAACCAGATAGTGTTTCAAGCTTGTATTCATATTATAAATAGACTTGAGATTTTCGATATTCGAAAATGTCCTCTTTCGCGGACGCAGGTGTCATATTAGGGGAATTGAATCTACTTAGTAAATTAACATGGCTGAGCTTGTTTGGAACGGTCACGTCGAGTGTTAATTAGTAATTACATTAGATAGTTTGCGAGCTATTACAAAGCGCACCTGCTACATAGAAATATACATAGCCAGAATAGGAACGCAAGTGTCAGAGTGTTAAAAAAAAATCAAGTGAACGAAAAAACGCGTGACCAATTGAAATCATACGTCATGCAAAATGAAATTTTTTCTTTCGTCGCCACAGTTTTTTTATTTTCTCTTCGTCGCATCTCTCGATTTTCATTTGCAGATTTTAATAATTGCTGCCATAAATAAACGTCCATTATCATCATTGTAACGTTGTACAGTCGCAAGTTTCACGGGCTAAAAGATGAAAGTGCGAAACTTTCTTCACTCGCAGAGTGCTGATCGAGATGTTACTTTACAACCATGAAAATTAGGGTTACAATATTCACTGAGCCTTAGACTGTTATTAAAACATTTCAATTTAATTAGCATAACGCAAGTTTACTTCTCACTGAGCCTGCCAAGCCAAGGTTTGTCATTAATCCCAGCCATTACTTGATTAAAGGAACATGTCCCGCTGGGAAACACGGATGGGAGTGTCTTTTAATGTTAACACACGTGTCATGCTCTGAAACACGTATAATCAGTATTAATTGATTATTTAAAATCTTATACATAAGCATAGAATACCTTGTACAGAAACATTTCCCTATGTACATCCAATAGTAAAATCTCTTCTATCGTACAATACTGCTCAAGGCATTCGGATGAAATATTGAACCACTCTCCCCAGCTTCCTTCGAATAATATCAATTCCTAATTGAAAGAATAAAAATGCATCAAAACCTCGCAAATAAATTATCATACAACTTTTTGAGACTGTCCTTATGGCACATGCGCACAGAAATATTAGCAGCGGTTGATACATGAAAACTGTAAGGTGCACCGAGTATGTATTCACATGTACGCAGATCTTGTACTTGCGCATTGGGGTGAATCAGGGACGTGTATACGATTCTGGGAGTAAAGTAAAATCCAACGTAGTATCTTAAACGTCCAAAGCATCCTGTTGCTATGAAATTTCCACGACTGTATTATTATAAGAAAATTCTTAGCAGCATTCTCATAAACTGTAGATTCTTCGTAGGCACTTCATTTATGATGTATATGATATGTCACGAAGAAATAAAATTTAGAAATATCCCTGTATATACGCTCCTGGATTCTCTGTTGTGGGTGGCGTTGTCAGCGGGGGAGAGAACGCGTTCCTGCTCAGTAGCACACTTTCATCGGGTCGAGGAAAGTGAGTAAGTCTCTGCCGCTATATTCCCATAGTGCGGAGAGGAGTGGCGCGACGAGGAGATACGAAGAGGAAGAAACTAGCCTGGAACAGAGAAAGGACCATAAACGAAGAAAGAAAGACAACAACGAAGAAGGGAATATACAGGTTGAATTGGAAGAAACGAGAAAGTACAATACAATACAAAGTTGCTTTTGCTGCTGTTCTGCGTCAGGGCGATATAGACCATAAGCAGGGATACGAGGTTTTCAATATATCTGAGGACGAAACCGAAAGGAAACGTGTAGCGTCGTCGTGGCAGTGGCCAACCGTGAGTACAATCTCGTTCGCTTGAAGGATATTTAGAAAATATACAATGTCTCTCTCGCTGCACATACATGTGACTCATTTTCACACAGCCCCACCTTACAGATGGATTTAGCGCTTGTTTAATATCTGCAGTAGATGATTATAAACTTTTCATTGACTTTACGCTTACTTCTTTCGCCATTCTCGATCGATTCTGCCACTGCAGGGGTTGCACTGTCGTAAAGCTGTTTCTTTCACGCTATACTATTGTCAAAGGGTCAGACGGTTCGATAGTCCAGGGTGAGATACAGTGAATATGATGACTTCCTCGTAACAATGATTATTAGTATACATATTTGAAGCCTCTAGGTGCATCGTGGTCAATTAAATTCATTATTTCAGTTTAGCACCAACGTAGCGATTGATCTATGTTCATGTCAATAACCGTCAAATAAATTGACTTTAGCATCATAGTTTACTTCCCATAACTACAGCTCTCACTGGCAAAAATGTTCGTTTGGCTCTATTTCCTTAGTAAATGGTAAAACCGCGTTGTTTATTAACAACTTTTTCTAATAGAGTTTAGCGATAATTTAGGAAATCGGTTTCTCGGCATTTATCTGTTATATAGACCGTTTCCATTGGCAACGAGGTTTCGAACAGACCTTATATCCTCGGGGATATTTTCATGTAACTACGAAACACCACGCAAGGGCTTACAGTATCGACTGTGTGAACTCACTTCCGTATAACAGCTCTGGAAAATATTCATGAAATCGATACTCCAGGTGTCTATCTGCGTTTCCCTATACTAAGGATCAAATCTGTGATTGCAAAACCGTGTTTACTTAGCCAATGAATGGAGCATCGATAGGACTAGCTTTATGATTTTATATATTTTTTCTTTTTTATTGTCCCATAGGATCATGAGCGGTAACGAGGAGCCTATGGCATTAACTACACCACCTGCTATTCATGTAGGACCTATCGTTACGCCCGGATCGAACGAAACAATTTCCATTGTAATACCGTTATCGGCACAGTTGACTACAGTTGCCAGTCAAAGTACTGATCAGTCCTGTAAGGATTGTGGCAAGGATATGAAGAAGAGCGCTACTCCGAGTACAACAGTGTGGCAAAGGCCGGCAAATACCAAGGGATGTCCTTTTCCTACTTGTAGCAGGTATGGTAGAGCCTTCTCCAGGGCTCATGATCTCAAGAGACACATAGCACGACATGAGATGAGAAAGGAAAGATTGTCAGAGATTGAAAGGGCTGAAATACGTAATTGCTCTGAATGTGGACAAAATTTTGCTAATGAGATTGTACTCAGGAAGCATGCACAGTGCCATTTGAAACGTGGTGATGTTCAGGATACCAATGGGGAGGTCAAATGGTACTTCTGTCATTTGTGCAAGAAGAGATACACACAGGAGAGTAAATTGAAGGCACACATATCGGCACATAATAAGGTATTTTGATATGATTGACTGATCCTGATATTTTGGATGACAGATTATGCATTGGTGGGTTTGTTAGATTAGCATAAATTGATGAATTAATTGTTGCCCCTTGCATTCTCTCCCTTTTAGGGAATAATCAATGGATTTAATGGATATTGATTTAGTGGGAAGGGTGTGAAAGTTTCAGGAGAGTAATCAAGGCGACAGGAATAATATAATTTAGAATACTTGAGACCACGAAATTTATCATGTTTATTTATTATTTGTAGAAAGCTGTATGCAACATATGTGCTCTGTGCGGTTCCCGATTCGACCGCGAGGAGCTTCTCCAGAATCACATGAAGGAACATACCAGTAGTATCCTGCAGGCACAGGCTGCCTTCGGGAAACTTGATGGTACCCAGCAAGTTGCATTACAAGGAGATGGAGAATTCTTACTCGAAGAGATGCTTCTATTGAATAAGAAGACCAAAGCCGTTTCTGTGGCTACCACAAAAGCTGAAGCCAGCGCAAATTCAAATAAGATTCGTTGCGATTATTGCTCTAAGACTTTCAAATCAAAATGGACTCTGAACTCTCATGTAGCAGCTCACGAGGGACGATTTCAGTTTGATTGCGGTCAATGTGGTAAGCGATTCGTTAGGAAGAGCCATTTCGAGGGTCACGTACGCTCTCACGAAGCTGCCCGGCCCTATGTTTGCGAACAATGTGGAAAGACCTTTAAGGAACTAAAGCATCGACGAGAGCATACCAAACGGAAACATCCGGGAAACCAAAATGCCATCCAAAGTCTTTTGGATAGCATTACAGCCTGCGTTGCTGAAGAAACTGCAACGCCTGATCAGCCAAAGTTCACATTACTTATGCCTATGGATTTTAATGTTTAGAATTAAGCAAGTGACTCGAATGAACGTCCTAAACGTGTCTTCGAAGATGAACAGTATCTCCGTGAAATCAGAACATGTTTGTGTATAAAAAAAATTAGATATAACAAATAGCCAATCGTGATGTGCAATAGAGAGAAAAGGTAATGTTAAGAGTAGAATTCACCGAAATCAGTTAGTACTTTGTCTCAGTGTAATCGCGTTATACTTATTTTCGTACAAAATCTTCTACCTATGCTTGGGCGGGTCTTTTTGAAACATTTTCGATAACCAAAGAGTAAATGAAATTTCTAGAGAAAGTTGCCATCCTTACGTAAATGATTTCGGTTTTTGATAGCAGCCGATCACTATGTGCTATAACGTGTCATCTGTATCTGTTTATATTACATGTCATAATAAATACGTATATATATTTTTATCACGGAAGCACCAATGCCAATAAAATACATTAGAAACAAAAGAAATAACATAATTCAACAGACGGAAAAAAAAGGACACCGCGTATAAAATCACATTTCTTTAATATTCAAACAGCGAAAAGTCCTTATCGTTACAGGACGATGATTCTTTTGTTTTGCCATTGGACGTACCAGACATTTTAGATTTTACTAAATTTTTATCTGGAAAACATTTTACGAAGTAATGCCTGGACCGCGACCTCAATCATACGCAAAATATCAGGAGGTCATTCTGCGCTGATAATCATTCAGGAAACTTTTGATAGTACGGACTTCCGGATCTATTGAGGACTTGGAAAACCCTGCTTCTTATTTGTCAAACTGATTTCTTAGAGAACAGCAATTCCTTTCCTTTTTTTTTATTAAATGAGTTACGCCAAGAGACTGAGGTTGTCCACGGGCACGCAGACCAGGATCTTCACCAGACAAAGTAATGTTACTAGGACACATACTTTGGACACACTGCCACCAGAAGTCCTGGAGATGATCCTGCGTCTACTGCCACTTCATGATGTGGCCTCCTCGGTTCGCCTAGTCTCCAGGTACAATCATTATGAAAGTAATGACCCATTGTTCGGATCCTGATGGACATTCACTTCCAGGCAATGTTCAATAGTGGCTACTTCGGTATTGAATGGCGTGTTTTACGGTGCCGGCGTGCGTTTAGAAGCTATTATGAGTCATATAGAATCTACTATGCCGAAGGTCGCAACGGAAACGGATTTATTAGCCTGCAGTAAGGCCTTTAATGCCCTGGAATTGATCAGGGCGCAATACAGAATGCTCCGGGCAGTTACTTGGAGATATATACATCCACCCACTAGAGAAAAGTTTCCAAAGCTTTGTTTCTATGCTGGTATTTTGCTCGATGATCTGAACAATCTTCTTCGTTTGGCGAGGGTGAAACCGTCTGCTCTAACTGGATCTCATGGACCGGATTCCTGTGTCGTTTGTTTCATTTCCCTCTGCAAGAGATTCATGAACTACTTCGAGAAGGTTTCCGAAAGAAAAGTAAACAGGTGCTGATACTCATAAACTTTGACCTGTAACAGCTCATCGCTATTTTCTTTCAAATACTTGCCACAGGTCTGCCCTCATATCTGGATGCAAGGCCGTGGACGTTCTAGATTGTCTAGCGGAGGGTCGAGAGGTCGTTGCATTTCGAACTTCTACAGGAAGAGGAAACAGAGGTGGCATTATTAATATGAGATTGAAATATGTTATGAGAAGAGCTTGGTTCACCTGTTTAGAGGTGCCTAGTGCGCCTGATGAAAATTCATGGCGTGATGAACAGAGATTTATGTATCTCAGACTCCGTCGTCTTGTCGGCAGTGTTAACGAACATCTTTTTGAAAAGACACATTACGAAAGAGAACTTTTACTCCAGACACCGACTATACCATCTCCAAGACCACCTCCAGCCTCGACTTATTCCGGCTATGGAGAATATGGCGGTCAATTTTTTTATTATGGTAATATGAACAAGTACGCCTATGAGAGCAAGTTTAAGTTCACGTCCGTGGATGAACCGGAAGAGGATCGCGAAACGGAAACCATTCACGGAGCTCCTTGCTTTGATTTGGTATTTTTCGTGGTCCTACGTTGCTCCCCGGAATTAGCACCCTTGGCCATCAGATCATCTCTTAAATCCGATGATCTTGAGTCTCCTACGACCAATCATCAGCAGGAACTTTACCTCAAGGTTGATGTTACCTGTCCCGCCTCGGTAGCTAATAGACTACCTGGACATTTTAGCTGGGAACTTCGGAGTCCTCGACGCGGTCACCGTTCGTTCTGAGAAAATGTTTTATCCGCGTGCGACGCGGACGCTTTAGCTCGTTGTTAATTATACATTCTTGTACGATCTATATTGATTTTAGCATTGTCGACGTTGTATGCGTATGCCATATGGTTATTCAAAGACGGGGAAGTAAAGTACCTCGTGAATGATTTCAGAAATTTCGTCTTTTTTGTCATCTATATTTATATACACTTATGTTATTACACATTGGATAGAGATTAGTTTTGAGCCGCAATCGTCAATTTTTCCTCCATGTCCTCTTCAATTCTTTGTGGCATCCACGAAACGTTGTTTAATTTCTTAGCGCGTTCCTCCAACAGACCGTAGGCAAATGAATTCATCAGAATTCCACTAGGTATGGCCACTCCTTGAAACCGGTACAAATTTTCACCCTCGTCTGTTTGTATTTTATGCACTGCAGCAACTGTAGTACGACCCACTAGACTTGTATTGCCCACCATAGGTCCTTTACTAATGTCTATGTGATCTCCTATTCTGTATAGTGTTATCCTGTTCTCATTATGTTTGGCAATATCTGGTATTTGTTTAATTTTAAATCGATTCTCTTGGAACATTTCTATGGCTAGATCTTCCTGGACCACCAATCGTTCCACTGGTAATTCACGCAGTATTAGCTTTACGAATAGTGCTGACATTGCTTGTAGTTCGGGAACAGTTGGTTGCCAGTCAGGTAGATTTAGATATACATTAGATATAAAGCTACCTGATTTAATACTTGGCGCTGGAAAGCTATGTAGATGAACTTCAACATCGTCTTTGAAGGCGTTCTCTGCTACAGCGCCAAGGATGAGAGAGCAAGTACGCCAAAATGCTCTGTTAGTCGAGATATTAGGAGCCTTCAGTGTTGTGAATGTTAAATCACATGGACCAGTTAAAGGTCTGTGCATGTCCCAGGGTTTTTCATTAACAAGAGCCAATGCTGCAACTTTTGTAAGACCCTCAGAAATATGTTTTGCACAATCATGAGGTGTGGAAAGGTTCTTATTCATCGCAAGAATTACTTCTTCGGTTGGCCCATGATATTTAACATCTATTTTTTCAATTCTTCCTACAGCAGCTCGTTGTCTCTTTAGCTCTTCATCGTATAATTGATTTCTCTTCTTTTTTGCTTCTGCTTTAGTTAATGTACCGATACATCGTGAGTGTGTTTTTGATTGGAATCTCAATCCAATTGTGTAAAGTTGTCTGCACCTAGAGATACATTAAAAATAAATCTCATTGCATTTATATATTTATTAACACAATATAACATAACACAGAATTAGATTTCTTACCCGTGAAACATTTTTAGATAATGCGGTTATGTTTCCTCATGCGGTGTTCTTAAGCTCTTCAATTTTTAACGCAATCCGTCGCACTGCATCTAATACTGAATATAAAGAGAATACACAGATTTAAACAGGAGTAATAACTTAGTACTGACAATCAGAGTGTTTTCACACCTTTGCATGCAATGGTCGTTCAATATAAACCAATATAAACCTTCGTTTCGGAGTACAAAAAACAGAAGCTGGAAGAATGTATCAGGAAAGTATTACATGTAGTTTAGAAAATTACCACTAGATGCTAGGCTGCATCAATCATGAATGAATCATGAATCATGAAGTATGTAATATTATGGAGGAGACAAACTCTTGCCGGCCGCAGAGATGAATAGGGAGATGCACAACGCTACGATTTTCGGCGATACCAAAATCGTGGCGTTAAATCATAGCGGCGAGTCCGGAAGTAGGATATTGTGATCATCGCCTCCGTCGACAATACGAATCCCGTCGCAGCCGAGCTAAACGTGAACACGTACGCATAGCTTGGCGAGCAGAGGTTCTCCGCTACTCACCGCTGGTTCCCGAGAACGAGACCGAAAACTATAGAACTTCTGAAGAACTATTGAAAAAGTCTATTGTTGAAACATTTTTAAGGAAGCGCAGTGTCAACTTTACACCCGTGTAGCATCTCAATTTTTACTAAATATTATTGGATCTTGATTTACTTTCAAATTTTATTCAAAATATAAAATTGAGACTAAATCAAAATCTCGCAGAATATATGGAGTAGATAAAAATTGAATTGAAATTGTAGAATATCGAAAATAAATTACGTTCACTTCCTTATTTCTTTATATTTAATTCTTTACTTTTATACCCCTATTCCTTACTTTTCTACTTTTAAACTTCTTTATTTCTATCTTTCCTTCTGTCTTTCCATTTCACTCTGTTCCTTCTCACTTTTGATTGTGATTGTCTTGCTTGTCCCATTCCTTTGGTCTGATCGAGCATAATTATTCGAGTAGTCATATAAGGATAGTCACCTTGTTAGAGTAGCGACACATATAGACTATGGTGTCGGGGGTTGCCCTTTCGCCTCATCCTCTGAGCTTGCTCAGTGGGTCTGACCCAAGTTGTGGCCGCAAAAGGACCTTATGGGTCTACCGTTCGTCATTCGTCAAACATTATGATTGATGTGTAAATATTGTAATTTTAAATCGGTAAAACCGAAAAACTATAAAAATTTCACCTTAATACGTTATTATTATTGTTATAATGATTAGCAATTCTAAGGACCTGTTTACTGTACTTTTTAAATAAAATATTCTTTACTTTAATTCCTTAACACCTCTGTTACATTATATTGTAAATTATATGTATAGCTAAACTAAACCACCACGCGTCTTGTCACAAGCAATTCTTATCCTGAATCCTATTAGTTGTCAAGTTATGATTAAAAAATGAATTTTCGAATGCTGCTAGTATAATTTATAACTTTTGACATTTCACTTTTGTATTTTTATCGTTGATTGTTACTGCAGTGTTAATACCAGATAGGTATATGCACCGACTGATTTGAGATGGATTGGCGAGCGAAACGTAAACGGATCTGCAAGCTGAATATAATGATATTAAATCGACGAATTTACAAAGTTGAAGACTAACATAGGGCCTGCAATCGATAATTCCATTCACCTTGAAAACTGCTTATTGTTAATTAGAGACTGCTGTTTACAGTAATCTATTCATCAAATCTACCGTTACTTATTTTTATTTACCCTCTATTTCATTTATTTGCAGCACCTTTGATAGAGGATTCCGCTTGCCTCTACCTGAAATTCATAGTTATTCAAACATGTATTTTTCTCTATTTTAATAAATTGTGCCAACACAAATATTTTTCGTGTGATAGACTGTGATCTATCACCGTGTGTGATCTATCTGTCCCTCCGTGATCCAACACCGGATCGTTGTCGGGTTAACCCCTGAGCTGTGAGACCCAAAGAAAATCCCTTTTCGGGATAAGGATAAGGATACAATTAGATAAAAATTATTATAAAAATATTAAAGTTGCGTACAAAGGCTTGGACGAAGTCGTCTGTAGATCAAAAACACACGATCTAAGCCCATCCTTCATGGACAGCGGGGTTGCGAAGTGCTGTGTCGCAAAGGACTGTAGGGCCTTTGAAAGGGATTTCGAACTGTGACCAACTTTAGTCGTAGACGCAGAACACTAAAACAAATAGAAATTATTTATGCTATTAAAAAGTGAAACAGCGTGCCATAGATGTTTGTGCGGTGAGTGAGTGGCGGAGAACCTCTGCCCGCCAAGCTACGCGTTCGTGTTCACGTTTAGCTCGGCTACGACGGGATATGCTTTGTCGACAAAGGCGATGTTCATAAAATCGTATTTCCAGACTCACCGGTACGATTCAGCGCCATAATTTTGGTATCGCCTAAAATCATAGCGTTGTGCATCTCCCCACTCATCGCCGGTAAGGATCAAGATCAACAAAATGGAACATATCGCGCCATCTATGAATAAAAGAAGAAACGTACTTTCGATCAACATCTGATCTCGACCTCGACTTTTAGCTTGTGTGTTCTAGAAGAAATGGACGGTGATTTCTGTGTCGCTGTATAAGGTATTTAAGTGCGTTTAATTGATTAGGCCGGCCGATCGATTGCGAGCACGTTTCTCACGGATTGGCATTTCATTAAAAGTACGTTACAATTTCGGTGTAATAACGCGTGTACAGTACGGGTAACGCGCGATATTTTATTTATTTTCAACTTTCTTAAGTAACTGTGAATGTTTCTGGTCCTGGCATTTTTGTGCGTTAGCTTAAACAAGCGTTTTCCCGCGAGACCAGCTTGAGAACGTGTTTTCTGTATTCTTATCATTGAAAATGGTTTGTTAGTTCTGTGATTATTAGTCCAGTATACCAATGGGGGTCTGCAGACTATTTAAGAATCGCGATGCAGAAGCTCTCCTGAAAGATATTTTTGAGCTGAAAGAATAGCTTTTGCGTCTGCAGACACCTGGATCTTTGGTTTCTCTTTAATCTTTTGATATAAATATTTTTGGATCGCTCCGGTCAGTGGGATTAGTGCCATGAGGAGCATGTGGAAAATATATTTGATTTTGTTGAATATTTTGCAGAGAGCTAGATGACGTCCAGTGACATTATAGAGGCAATTTTTGTGAATGTTCAGTGACATCCAAAATTTCTTTTTTGGATTCACTGTTGAAGCTCTATACACCTGACAGAGGAAAAAATGCCTTCGATTTGTGGAGATGTCGTCGAAGTGCCTGGTAAGGCAAGACGTGGCTTAAAGAGGAATTAAATATTAATAAAAATGGTTGAAATTTATTTGTAAGGATTGTATATTTAGAAAACTACTAATGTTATATAAAAATATTTGCTATGCTTTTAATTGATTGCACTTGCTCTAGCTTTTGGTTGTTTGTTCTATTGCTCGACTGCTTAACTTATCAATAATATGATCAATAACACTGTGCTGGAAAAGAGCATTAACTTGTTAATAAGTAATTCATTTGCTGTAAACAAAATGATCAAGAAGTTTTATTGACTTTGGAGCAACAGATTAAATAGCATGAAAAATATACTGTTCATTAATAAGTCAATGATATGTATGCTTAAGTGAATGATGTTAATATTATACAAAGCAATAAAATTTGTATCTGTCAATGTGTAAATCAAAGTTTGTGAAAAATTAAGTTTTGCAAAAAATATATTCTATAAAAATATTTAGTGCTTGTCAAATTTCTATTCTTGAGCGAAAGTTCCAAACTTAATTCCTGTATACTTTAGCGTACTTGGGTATGGCCTTGGAATAGAATTCTAGTAATCTATTACTAGGAGGATACTTTACATAATTGGATGCTCCATTAAGTAGATACAATCTCAGTTGTTCACTTGATTTGGCTGAGCTTTAATTTTTAAACCAATATATCAAGTTTACTCTTTTCCACAAAACTTAGAATAACAATAAGGCATGCCTGGACTTTTATAGAAATGTGGAAGTACAAAGTATGGTGGATGTAAGTAATAGGTATTATCTTTTTTAGTCAACCACATCCTCATCAAGAAATATAACAAATAATCACTGATTACGAGGAAAAATTTAATTTACGTTTTTCGTAATGAGTCTAAAGACTTCGTTTGATTTTATTGTTCTGCAGTCTCTGTCGTGCAAGCTGGAGTCCCTGATGGTATCTCCAGCACCGACAGTGTCGGCACACACAGCGACGTCTCTGGTCACACAACCATTTCTGGAAGACCCAGGATGGACGTCGTTTGTGTCTTAGATCTACAGCAGCCTGAACATCTTGTTCAACGTAAAAGAGCACTTGAGGAAGTGAGGCAAGCCTGTAGCTTGGTGAACGCCAACATGCACCACATACAGGTAAGCTGGCGCCAATCGTTAACGCATTAATATTCTTGCGCATACAATTTAAAGACAAGTGTTTTGTTTGCTTCCCTTTGCAGTTTGAGAAATTGGATTTTGGCGAAACAAATGTGCTGGACACATTTTACAATGCGGATGTTGCCGTTGTTGATCTGAGCATTCAACTTCAACAGTCTTCGTTGTTCTATCATTTGGGAGTGAGAGAGAGTTTTGGAATGAGAGAAAATATCCTGTTGTACAATGACATGGACACAGAAGCTACAATTAGACTTAAGGTACGTTTCAAATTTACAAAACTGGCATGCTGCCTATTAGCAACAACGATTCTTTTTTCCTGAAATTACTATTACTTGGCGTGACGTTTCGTCGATGGCGAATGGAGATAAAATCACTATTGATTTAAGATTAAAATGTTTAATTCAGTTTGATGTTGCCACACGTTGGAATCGTATGAATAAACGTACGCATCGTTTAATAAATGAATACATGTGGGAGGGAGAAATAATATCTGGATGGCCTTGGCCATTTGTTAAAATGGATAGAACCGGGATAGGCGTCGAAGCAGTGGACTCAATTAAAGGCGTTATTAATAGCTTGATAATATGCAACTGGCCTACTATGTCTACTGAGAAATCTATTGTCAGAATAGATCCTATTAATAAAGTTCTTTTTATGCGTTTTGCCTCTTGGCTTCCCTGACGCTGTGACGTATAAATAAAACAGTTCAACGTCTCTGGACTTATGTCCATTAGAAGCACGTTGCTGACCAACAACAGCACCGAGAAAATCAATGAAAGTTCATGATTAAGTTCAGGTGTCCTCTGATATCTGAGCTTTTATGTGAGAATGTCGCGTTTCGCAACGACTCTTTAATCTGATAAAAGGAGTACCAAATAAATACCTCCATATGGAGCTGGAAAACATGAGTTCATGTTCTTAATATAGCTATTACCCATGCTGCCTGCCGTCCATGCGACTAGCCTAACCATTCGCGATTGTTTTGTGAGATTTACTGTTGACAGTTGTGGCTCGCGCCAGAAAGTAACTACCGTTCTTTGATAAAACTGCAAATTTATCTAATTCATTCGCCATGTACATTTGCGCGGTTAAACAATTTAAATGATATATGATAATACGAGCTGGGAGTGTTGTACAAAGGCTAAATAGTGGTGAAGTATCGATGATGGTAATGCACTGATAAAACAGTACCAGTGCAAAGTTCCAAGACTGTTGATTTTTAATTTCAAAGTGAACCCGAGGACAATGTCAATAATTTACGTAGCGTGTTGGGCTAAATCAGAGGATTTAAATATCAGTTTATTCGCCATTGACGCAGTATTTTTCATTTTGGTGATATCTTCATTCTGTGTGTGCACTGTACATTGGAGTAGATCAATTGTCAACTGAGTGAATGACGGATGCCACTGGAATTCAAATGTCCTACAAGAGATAAACTCATTAAGGCCTCATTGCGCTTTCTTAATTCGAGTTATGAGTATGGCCGGAATAACTTGATGCCATTAAGAAAGCGCAAAGTAGAGTTTCGAAGTTGACTGTGTGAATCACTCTTTGAAAATATAATCGATTAATTTCAGTTATCGTGCGGCAACTATACATTTGTTTCTTACCGTGTTGTGGAATGTGGTTCCTGCGTTTCAACAAGTCCAGCAGCTAGCAGAGCAACGGGAGAAGAAGTGATAGATCCAAAGCAGCACCTCACGCTCAAGCTCAAGAAACTCTTTCAGGATGTCGAAGTACAATCGAAGTGAGTTTACTTAATGTAACAAGAAATGCGACAAAAGTTAGCAATAGAAAACTGAAGTCTTGGATGAGGAGAGTGAGGAGTGATAAAAATTTTAAAATCGTTAAATTTCAAACATTTCTTATAATACGTCTGCGCCAGAGTGCACGAGTGTTTAACACTTGGTAATGCGCTTTTATCTTATCTTGTTTGCCCAGTGAACTGCTCCCATCGGAATATCTTGTGTTTAACTCTATCGTCGTAATCGAACAATCGATCTAATTGCAATTGCGATTACTATGTTTTAGAGCACATATGAAGGAAAAGTTCCTAGCGGATTTGCGCAAGGCGCGCGAGACCTACTCTGGGGAAGAGCTCTCCAGAGCTTTAAACAACATGAGAAAACGTTTGGATGATCCGAATGTTTTGTCAGGTGAAGTTGTGCTCAACGTTCTAATCTCTTTTCGCGAGATACAGGTAAATGCGAATTTGGATTAGGAATGATTTCTTTGTTGGATGAACAAAATGGAATAACTACATGAATTGTGTTGTTTCATATGGATCAATAGGATTATGATGCAATGGTTCAGCTTGTCGATGATCTACGAACAGTACCGAATCACAAAAACTATATAAGTACTCCAGCTATTTGTTACTTGTATGCGTTTGCCTTGAATCGGCGTAATAAGGAAGGTGATCGTGAAACGGCATTAAGAGTCATTGAAAAAGCTTTGGAGAAAAAGGAAAATCATGTACCGGATATGCTGTGCCTCTGTGGAAGGATCAACAAGGATAAATTTGTGGAGAGTAGGCATACGGATCAAGAGAGTCTGAAGAATGCTATTCATTGGTACAGAAAGGGTTTTGAGGTAATAATCAATTGGAAATCATAATAGTAAAATCATTGATTAATATTTTGGTTCGTCGTAGGTTCAACCGAATGAATATGCCGGCATAAATCTTGCGACGCTCTTAGTGATAGCAGGAAATGAATTTTCAAAGAGTGAAGAACTTCAACATATCGGAATGGTGCTAAATAATTTAATTGGAAAAAAGGGCAGTCTTTCCAGTTTGAAGGAATACTGGGACGTGGCAACATTTTTTGAAATCAGTGTCCTGGCCGAGGATTATTCGAAAGCTATACAAGCGGCGGAGTGTATGTTTAAATTGAAACCACCGAACTGGTACGTTTTTTTCTTCTTGGATTTAATGAACAGGGATATGTATCGATTAAAAGACAAAGATATCAAATAATCACATTGGCCTAGGTACCTGAAGTCAACGATAGGCAACATAACACTGATCGACAGATTTCGTAAAAAGAATGAAGAGGCTGAAGTGTCGTCAGAAGAACAAGTTTTCAGTTTTTGGATGGATTACTTCGTCGAGGCTACAAAGTCGGAAGTTGGAGACAGTATACGGTTTCCCGTAAGTTAAAGAAACAATATTTCTTCTCGGAATAGAATAACTCATACACGCATTTCTTATTTTATAGCTTTTGGTTTTGGAGCCAACTAAAATTTTAATGCCAAGTTATGTAAACGTGAATCTGGGAGCTGAAGAAAAGTCTATTCAAATTTGGAACTTGTGTCTAGACAATATGAAGAATAATTGCAAGCAAGTTCACGACTGGCTCTTCACGGCTAACATGATTCGCAGTGTGAGTTTGTACAAAAGGGACGAGCGATGTTTGTTCTTGTACGTGCATCAAAATTCTGATGATTTTCAAATGTACCTGCCGTCTGTACAATGCAGACAAAGATTTTATGACTTGGTCCTGGAGATGACCCGGGATCAGGAAGGAATGGTCACTGACTTGGATGCGTACATGACCGACGAGCGTATGAAGGTTTGTTGCAACAATACTTCTGCATTAACATTCTTGTGCGCAAGAAAAAAACTAAATTTCATTTTATATTCCAGTTCGAGTACGAATTAGATGATCAGAACAAACGTATAATACTTGGTAAAGGCACATACGGTATCGTATTTGCTGCCCGAGATCTGAATACACAAGTGAGGATAGCCGTGAAGGAGATTCGCGAGAGAAATCTGGGCGACGTGCAGCCTCTGCACGAGGAAATCAAATTGCACAGTCAGTTGAGGCATAGAAATATTGTGCAGTATTTAGGCTCCGTGAGCGAGGATGGTTACTTCAAAATTTTCATGGAACAAGTTCCTGGAGGTAAGCAGGTGCCTGAATAATTAAATCTTTAGAAATCAGCAGCTCTGTACTAATTCCATTCAACAATAATGTTACAGGCAGTTTATCAGCTTTGTTAAGATCGAAATGGGGTCCGTTGAAGGAAAATGAATCTACAATATCATACTACACGAAACAAATTCTGGAAGGCCTGAAATATCTCCATGATCAAAAAATTGTACATCGTGATATAAAAGGTGATATAATCAATCTCGCGTTATGCAAATTCAACATCATACGCATGTCGCAACATCGTGTTTCCCATGAGACTGTTCTCATTGCTCTTTGTTACGTAACTCCTCGTAAGGCTTGAATGGTGTTAGTAGTTTTATACTTCCTGCTGTGTACGGACCGTGAAGCAACATGCAAATATCGAACAGTCAGGGAGCGCCAACAATGATTTTACATTACCTATCTACTCCTAATCATGAATTATCCATAAGCTAATTAGTTTATTTCAAACTTTTATAATTATTCTTTCGTAGGCGACAATGTATTGGTCAACACCTACAGTGGTGTCGTTAAGATATCAGATTTCGGAATGTCCAAACGATTGGCAGGCCTTTGTCCGAGCACGGAGACCTTTACAGGAACTTTACAGTACATGGCACCGGAAGTTATTGATAAAGGACAACGTGGTTACGGTGCTCCGGTAAGACAATATTTATTTTATATATATATATATATATATTACAATCGACATATTTTCATAGTGTATATCTCTATTGCATCAATTGCATTGGATATAAAACTGACACAATTCAACTATACGTAATGATATGGTGGAAAATGCATTGGAACGATACTCATGTATTCAGTTTGTTGCTGACCTCGTTCTAGATATTCTCAGAATATTCATCCCGTATAGCAAATTCAAAGTGTATAGACATTCTCATAGATTTCAACCAGATGGTAGAAAAGTCACAGTGATTCTGCAAGTGCCTTAGCGTTCGTTTACTGTCAGAGAGAGAAGAAAGCGAATCATTAAAAATTATTTGACGTGCTTATAATCGATTGAAATTGGAATGTTTATCACAGGCAGATATTTGGTCTCTTGGCTGCACTATAGTGGAAATGGCAACTGGTAAACCTCCGTTTATCGAATTGGGATCACCTCAGGCTGCTGTTTTTAAGGTACAGAGTTTGGGAAATATTACAATATGATGCTTTGGTATTAGGAAGATCTTTTAATGATGCGAAATTTAAATAGGTCGGTTACTATAAGATTCATCCCGAGATACCGTCGGAATTATCCGAAAGAGCCAAGAGTTTTATTCTTCGCTGCTTCGAACCTAACCCTGACGTTCGTGCAACGGCTGCTGAACTGCTGGAAGACCCATTTCTTACGGAGTAAGTAGAATTTGGATATACTTCTCTAAATTGGTTTCGAAAATGAGGATTTTTTCTAGGAAAAAAAAGACGACAAGACTGGCAGCTCCTCCCGATTTCAGCAGAAGCATATCTGTGCCAGCTGAGAGGTTGGAGCGCTTAGGAAAATGTGATAAGACGAATAATAACCACATCGTGACTGCCCCAGCTATTCAAACGTCTCAATCGGATGACAGGTAAATAGCGGGTACGATCATTAAGAGTAACGTCTGTCCGCTAGATAATAATATTTCATAAAACATTTGTCAATATTTCAGTATTTCCATTATCGTCTATAACTTTATTCATAATTGCTTTAAACAATTTAATAAAATTTTTTGTCATTGCTCCCTATGACAAAAAAAAACTGTGCTACTAATACCACGCACATTGTTGTACGATCGTCAATGGATTCAATTAGTTTTTATTCACTATGTGAATGCAATTCAGCGCGTTTTTTTTATTTTGATATTTAATCGAATGATTTAGTAGTCGGAAAGCACGAAATTAAAATTCTAATTCCTGGAAAATGAATGTCTGAACGAGCATTACTCAATTTATGTTGTAATCAGTGGTCGGATGTGGGCAGGATGGTTAACTTGGCTGTAGATAAGCCAATTCGCTATTCTCACTTGTAAACAAATTTAAATAGTATCATATTGTTAGTTGCACGAGACATGTTGGACTTTAACATTTCCTTATAAAATTTGCTTGCGAAGAAATTTATCATAGACTATAATTAGATTGCAACTAGTATCAATTTTTTAATAAGTGGTCAAGATGGGGTTCTGTCAGCATGAAAAGAATAGAATGGAAATGCGTATGACGTTGAAACTGTATCCTGTAATAGACATGGAAAGCTGGACTTTTAAGTACACATGGTTTGTCAATATTTGATTCATACCTTTATAAAATCTATTCTCTGCAGCAGAATTATTCTTTGAGCTAATCGTCAGCTAGTTGAATGTGCAATTGATTTTTTAATGATGAATTCTTTATCTCTCGTGTACTATTGTTATTATTTATAACAATGTAAGTGTGGTGTGTAGCGGAGGGCTGACCAAATCAAGCCCACTGAGGGAGCGGAGTCCAGCACATCTTCTATCCCCAATCAGCATGCCTACCGCGACAATATCTTTTAACAGGTACTGTACTCTCGTCAAAAGGGTCCTGTAGACAATTTTCAATATTCAAAGAATAATAAGCTGTATCACTTGAAACGTGTATGGCACGTACAAATGAATCGAATTACGCTCACAGTATACATGAGATTTGTTTACAATTTTTTTTTCCTAACAAATTAAAGACAAAGAGGGAATCGAAATAGGTGAATTGACTAAAAAATAATTAATAATCTTTCTACCTAACCCCTACCCTATAACTATGTGCGCTTCTGTAGATTTGAAATCCACGGCTTATCACTCCAGTAATAATATTAATTTGACAATGTGACGTGAACTGTTACTTTAAAAACATGCAAAGACATTACGTCCGATAATCATTAGGTTCGTTTGATTGTCTTCGTTGACGGGTGCATCATTACATATCCAAGTTCTCACAGTGCTGAATAGCTTCTAGTGAAGTATTTGTCAGCTGCAAGGTGCCAGTAAGACAGTCAACGATTATTCGCGCTGACGGTGCAAGAATATTAAGTTACAATATCTAAGAATGCTATTCACCAAGCAAGATGCCAAACTGAAGTTGAATTCTATTTGTATCCTCAGTACGATCGGAAGTACGCCATCTATAGAAACCAGTGAAACTGACACTGCTGGTGCATCGATGACAAGAAGAAGCTCATCGGGTGCATTGCTGTCGCCGGAAGTCGAAATAACTGGTAGATTTATAGTATTCCTTTTAGAGTATTCCCTTTAGAGGAGTGATCAACCGGTGAGAGAAAGTTTTGAAGATTTATGAGAATTTTTGTACCAGGTCAACCAGGACAGAAATCGGGTGAGGAGCAAGAAGGATTTTATTTATTGAAGAAAGATAGTCAACGACGAATGACGTTGACCAGAGTCTTGAGTCAAGACGAGGCGAAGATTTGTGAAGTTTGGATGAGAAGCATACATCAAGATGTTGGACAGACCGTTTTGCGTATGGTGAGTTGTTTTTCTTTTATGGTGAAGCATATTTTTTACAATGTACAGTCAATTATCTTATTTGTGCTTTTCTTTATCCTTCGTGCAGAGTCACTTGGAGCTATTGATGCGTGGTCTAAGGGATTATATATCTGAACAAAGCCAAGACGTAATAACAACAGCCATCCGGACGTTGAAGGAGGAACTGGATTTCGATTCGACCGCAATTAATCATCTTCATCTGGCAATATACCTATTCCAAACAGCTGTTAACGAAGTTCTTAGAATGCACAGTATAAAGCCACACTGGATGTTTGCTCTGGACAATCTAGTCAGAAACGCTGTCCAGGCTGCCATTACAGAATTGTCACCTGGTGAGTTATAAACATTGATAATCTTATAGGTCAGGATGCCTCTGTTGAATTTAACATTAAACAAGGATAATATTTGCATCTTTAAAAGGGCATGTATCATGCTACTGGATCAATGACTCAGTCATAGTGATTTTTAGAAACTCTACTGAAACGTAATATGTAATTCTAAGTAATCATAAAACTTTCACCGCCCAAGACTTTATTTTCTCATGTAATTGATCTCTCATCGCGATCTTAAGAAGCTCAGCTTAACATTTACTCTGGACCAGATTGCGTAGGACCTTCTGTTATCTTAATAGGTTCACATGGATGGCATGTCGCGTGTTTACGGCACCGTAGCGTGACATGTGTAGCAAATAGTAGCCATATGTACGGATCCAGTATATTAATGTGTCAACTCTAAAAATATCCCGATGGAAAGTCGTCACCAATAATAAAGGGACCTCGCATCGTGAATGTCTCTCAGTTTTAGTCAGTCGCTACGATTTGATAGTGCAGCCAAGTGGTCACTGCCTGAATCTATATAGTATCAATGTTGGAAAAGTGTTATCGCAATGGTGACAATGAAATTTCGTTTGATCTTTCGTTAAAGTACGAAAGAATTTACCATCGAGGATCAAAAAACTCTTTTGTATTCCAGAATTGGGCGCAAATTTGCTGGGACAGGAACGCGTGCAATCCGTTGCTGAAGGAGCGGAAGAAGGCTCCACTTCCGGTGTCTCGACTGTCAACTCGGTGAAGTCCCAGAAGACAGTGGACTCTGTCGATAACAAATACTGGCGCGAGTATCGCGAACAAATGGGTGCCCTTAAGGTCGAGAACATGAGATTGCTACATGAATTGCTGGAGAGTCAGAAATCGTATCAGACGTTGCTGCAGCAGGCACTGGAGGAGCAGCGAGCTCAGGTCGGTGCCTTGACTCATTTGTGCGAAACTATCAACAGGAGAACAGCCAGACAGGAATCGGGGTGAGTTATCGTCATTTTATGGAGATTCATTTCTTACGTGGCCTTGTGGCTGGGCAATCAATTGATTAGCCATATAACCATGCCTGGATCAATATAAAGATCGGCGATGATAAACGCCAATTGGAAAGATACTGATTCACATTTTATTTATGAGATACTCTTCTTTCTCCTTTTTTTTCTAGCTACTAGTAGACACTGTTACCCTCGTATCTTCGCTCCGATAATATCTTGGTAGGATCACGTTTCTCAACATTTCTTTGATGTTGATCTTAGTGTTGTTAAGTGTTTTGCATAAGTTCATTAGCACCCGTATACCCTGTCGATGATAGACTTCTAATTGTTCTTGATACCGGAATTGACAGTACTTCTTTTCTCATCACAGCTACAACTCGACTATTTTCGATGGAAATGTTGTCTCCCCGCAAGAAGGCTTTGTACCCCAAATTAGTGTCACTGAGCATAATTCTAGCAGTCACAATGACAACAGACTCACGGAGTGGCTGCAAGAACTTTGGGTGGATGAAACATCGATTGACAGGGTAAATCTTTCTTAATTTTTTAATACTACATTTTTGAGCCTTTAATACAGAAATTGATTGCACAGTTAATAACAAGTATTCTTTTGTATCCAGTTCCTTTACGAGGAGTACACCCTGGAGGATATTCTCTATCACGTCACCCGGGACGATATTCGAAGATTAAATTTAAGGTGGGTCGAAAATCAATGATATACTTAGTTTTCAATATTGACAGCTAATACCTTCACGTTGTTTCTCTATATTAATAGAGGTGGCATCGAACTCAGGATATGGAAGGCTATACTTCAACACCGAAAGGACAATGACGTATAAAGGGAATATATATACATGATTTTCCCTAAAAGCTTCAAATCGTAATTCTTACGTGAAATATCAAGCAGGGTATTATAACCGAGCTGTAACTGACTGCCGTTAAAGTAAAATTGTACTTTAGACGATACAAAGCTGTACGCGCAACAATCGTTGACCTGTAGCAGTATGTGATCGGTCCTAGACTGAATCAACATTTTTTTTTCATTATGAAAAGAGAAAAAGTATGATGCAATTGAATATGGGGTCATGTAGTTCCTAGATATTGATTAATCGTTGTAAGCTATCGAATTGTTAAAGACGTAGAAAAAATTAAGCTTTCATTCGTTAACGAATGAACTCGGTTTTATACAGCCGTGCTACGGATGAATCTTTGATGCTGGAATACAAAAGAAAAATGAAAGTAACAGAAAGTAATTATGTTCAACTGCCGTTAAATATACCGTTAATGCCTCCACAATTTGTATAGTAACAAAGAGTAAGGTGAATTATTGAAATTTGGAAAAAAATTCTAGGAATTTTAATGTTCCTATATTATACATTGTACCGTCAGTACGTTATGGCTCTTGAGAATCTGAAAATTCGAGGGGACTAATAATTTCATGCGACTGCTTGCGAATTATTTTACGACGGTGTAAATCTTGGGGATGTACACGTGTATCTTGTGTGGTTTGTACAAAAAAAGAAGTTATAAGAAAAGTGAAATATGATAGAAAAAAAAAATTGGAAATTTTTGTAGTGCCTTAACAACGTAAACGAGCATGGAATTATGCGCAATCAATATACCTTTGCACTAATCAAATGTGTTCGTAAGAATGCACACATCTCGAATATCAATTCACGTGTATTGTTAGCATCTGCGAGTTATTCATAAGGGAAATGTAATAGGAAAAGCAAAATGAATCCCAAGCGCACAAAAGATAGAACTTTGTCTTCCGAAGGTAAATATTTTTGGAAATATCAACTTCATGTTTTTCACTGTAAGTTACGTTAAAAGGCGTATTGTATATACATATAACACAGCCTATGGTATTAGGTAATCGGTAATACCTTCATCATCCCCTATAGTGTTTCCTCTCTATACTTATATCATACAGTGAGTGCGCAAAGTCATTATGCAATCCGAGACTGTAAAAACTGCCGTGTTTTCAATTTTGAGTTTCATCCAAAAAAAAAAAAAAAAAAAAAAAAAAAAAAAAAAGTTTAACTTTATTCCCATCTCGTCGGTATAAGAATAAATCGCGAGGATGCTTTATTATGAAATCGGAAATTGGCGTCGATCTTCGGGCGAAGAGCGAGCGTTTCCAGAGTCGTAAGATAAATGTATACAGAGATGTGGTCCACTTTGAAGGAGTCCCATAGGTCCGGGCAATAAAAGCCAACCGAACGTAGCCTTTTCTTTAAGATAACCTTACACGTGTCACTGTTTCGTTTATTATTGGTGGAACTGACTTTGATGACGAAAAAGGCAAGCAGCCCACGTCGAAGATTTTTTTTTTGGACAATATAAAAAAACGGAACAAGAAAAAATTAGTAAAACAAAGAAAAAGGTATAAAGAGAAATATTCGTCGATATCTCGGATTTTCAAAATCAACACCACTATAAATGAAATGTTGTGTGATTTAGCGACTGACATTAATAAAAATAATTGAAGATTAATTAACGTACTACTTCTACAGTAGACTAATAAAATAATATAAGTGGATCATTGCAATAAATTGTTATCCAAAACTTCGAGTTACTTGTTTCTATATAGATAATTGATCGTACCTGCCAATAAAACAATAGAATCTATACTGAGCGAAACAAGTATCTCGAGAGTGCCTGTTAAATACGATTGTTTTCACTCACAATAATTGTTACGTACAAGAATCATTTATAATAAATCCATAAAAGATGAGATCCCCGTAGATTCTTTAACCACCATCCACTTACCACACAAATATCCCAGGAGATTCGGGAATGAGATAAAATTCTCAACTGATTTAAAGGTACGGCCGGGTTTGGCAGCTCACAATGTGAGCTCGTTTACCGAACGATCTCCTTAATTGAAATCGGAAAGAAAGGGGAAAAACGGTGG